GCAAAGAGCTTTGCCAAGGGGATCACATGGCCAAGGATGGGGGTTAAAGCAGTCACATGTAGGTTGTCGACAGCAGTCCAGTGTAGCCCCTAGCTCTCTAGGACTAGTGCCTGGTTTTGCTCACTCACGCAAGAGTAGATCCATCTCTCCAGGCACGCTCATATTAATCAAACTCACAAGACTGATTTTATTGCTCAAGATGACAAACCACATTATAATCAGGAGATTGTTTGCTAAGCATGAAATCCAGAAAAAGAGAGACTTGGGGGATTCAGACGTCTAATGAAACCAGGCCAATGTGGTGTGATGGTTGGCTAGACTATGAGCACAGCTTGGATGTGCAACTCCTATAAGCTGCCCCTTCTACCTCGGGGCCTCTCTACCCTGACCCCTGCCTCCCCGGCTGTGCTTAACCCTAGTGTCAGGGGAAGGGGGTGTGCTGTTCTCTCCAGATCTCATTCCCTGCCCTCCTTTAGGAACCGCTTGCCTTTGAGCTTGAGAATGCCCAGGACTTGGCCTGATTGGGGGGGGGGGGATGTTCCCTCTCCAGGAGACTCCATCAGACGCACCAACATTTGTCATCTTATATCTCTGCCTCCATTTCTCTCAGTGCCCTTGTCAGGGCCTTAGGGATTTGGGTTTCAGGGGAGAGAAACATGAAAGAAGAAAAATGTGATTGGGGCCATTTCTTCATATCCCACCACCACCCCATCCCATGTGCCCTCCTTGAAACTGGATGTCGCTGGTTGAGAATCTTGAGAATGAATTCAGCATTGTGTGCTCCTAAACACCTGGGAACAGGGCCCATTCCCTACCCCCAAGGAACTGAGTGTGGCAGGCTAGGCGGGTCCCTGGGCTGGCATGGAGACGACTCAGGCCACATCTGACCTTAGCCCAATATGACACATGAACTTCAGTGTCTATGACGACATCTTAAAGGTCATAGGAAGTGGGAAGTGGGCCCTGGGGAACCAGGTCAAATGTTTACAGCTCCCGCAGGCTACCAAGTTCTGAGTCCTGACTCAGGGACTGATCTGAAGGGCTGCAAAACCTACAGCTCCAGGAGGGGGTCCCAGCGCTGAAGGTCAGAATGGCTCTGGGCCCGCAAGGTAGGAATTCCTTCAAGTCCATGTCCAAGACAAGGAGGAGTTCTCCAGTGTACTTCTGAGAAGTGCCTGGAGTAAAGATCCATGGCCCAAGCTTGGCAGAGTTGGGTAAGTAGAAGCAAAACTGGCACCCCCTCCCTGAACATCTCCAAAGATCTGAGATGATAAAAATCCAAACCCAAAAATGCCAGAGCTCTGACCTCTGGGGATGACAGGTTGGCCGATGAAGAGCGGCTTGGGAAAGACAGAGGCAAGGGGCCAGGTGAGCTCTGCAGTCATGCCCTCAAGAACCCTCACTCCCCCATGCCCAAAAAGCCAGGTCTCCTCCAGACATCATAGTGCAGCACCGCAAACACATGAGAAGACTATCCAGAGTAGTCCCTGACCACCAACTGTCTGGCCCACCCCCTGCCCTGTCCTCCTCTGCCCTGTCCATCCCCTGCCCTGTCCACCCCCTGCCCTGTCCACCCCCTGCCTGCTCACTGATTTGCTTAGAGCAGGAGGCAACTCATTAGCTAAAGAAGAGAAGGGACTTGGGGTGTCAAAAAAAACTAGGCTTTTGGGGCACCTGTGTGGCTGAGTCGTTAAGCATCAGCCTTCGGCTCAGGTCATGATCCCAGGGTCCTGGGATCGAGCCCCACATCGGGCTCCCTGCTCGGCCGGGAGCCTGCTTCTCCCTCTCCCACTCCCCCTGCTTGTGTTCCCCTCTCTCGCTGTGTCTCTCTCTGTCAAATAAATAAAATCTTTAAAAAAAAGACTAGGCTTTTAACCTGGCTAGGCCTCTCGCCAACTGTACTTCCTTGGTCATTCCATTCAAACAGCCCTTTACAGTTTGCAGAGCACTTGCATATAAGCTGTCTTGTCTGATTTCCACAGCACAACGTAAGCAATCCAGGCATCACTGTTGCCACTAAAAGGGGAACTCCCGTGGTCAGGACCCTTTTGGTTGCCAGTGACAAAACCCAAGTCAAACCATCTAAACAAAAAAAGAAAATCCATTGGCTCATGTAACTGAGAAGCCTGGGGATGCTGTTCAGTTGGATCCAGGGATTCAAACAATGGCATCTGTCTCTGTCTCTCAACATTCTTCCCTCTAATTCGGCTTTCTTCACAGGAAGGCCTCACCTCATGGGGTCACATGACTGCCAGCAGGTCCAGGTCACAGCCCCAGGGCTGCTAGTTTCCACTAAAGTCCTAGATCTAATGCTTATTGGACAGAAATGAGTCATGTGCCCACCCCTGGAGGAGGAGTCGGTCCCACCCAAGCCCTATCGGCCACGCCTGGAAGAGTGTTTTCCAAGGAAGATGAGGGTGTGTTAGCTGTAGGCTAGTCATGCAAAAACAAGAGGACCCCATGGTAATCCCAGGGGAAGCTAGGTCCCAATTTTTTTTTTTTTAAATAGGCTTGACTCCACCTGGGCTAAGATCGAGAGTCAGCCGCTCAACCAACTGAGCCACTCAGGCGCGCCCCGTTTTTCTTTCTTTTTTCAGTATTTTTACATCTTTAATGAGAAGTGACTGAAAAAGAACTGAGCTAGTTGTGTCCCATACATGGTGTCATTTAAGACTGGATACCCAGACTTAGATTATTAATAGCCAGACTTAGGTAATGAACTGATGTCACCCTATAAAGCTTATTGGGGCTGTGGAGCCAGACCTCACCCTATGGGTGGGAGTAGACTTTCCTGTAGAGGAAACAGATGACCCAACTTTCAGCCACCCCAGAAGGAGGTCATTGTGGGGGCAGCGGATGAGGACACAGGAGGTGAGGCTCAGGTAGGAATGAGGGGCTAGCTCTTCCCCTGGTTTTGGGACCAGGGTCAGTCGGTGTGAAGACAACTGAATTTTTCCAGTGGGGGTGAGGCACGAGCAGTCTATGGCCACATGAAGGCAGATGAGAATTGGGATAGGAGACCCCCAAGTAAGTCCAGCTTCGTGGGTGGACAGTCACATGGGGCTCCACCTTTGGAAGGGCCCTATGATTGCTTTAATGCCCTGCTGTCCCTATCTTGAGATCTTCTCAATATTTTTGTACAAAGAGTCCCATATTTTCATTTTGTGCTGGACCCCAAACTGTGTAACTGTTGCTGCCGTCAAGTAAGAACCCCTAGAGGATCCGGGCACTTGGGTGGCTCAGTCGGTTGGGTGTCCCACTCTTAATTTCGGCTCAGGTCTCCATCTCAGGGTTGTGAGTTCGAGCCCCAAGTCGGGGTCCATGCTGGGCATGGAGTCTACTTAAAAAAGAAAAAGAAAAGAAAAAAGAACCCCCGGGGGGGTCTGAACCCAGGTCTGGGCAGTAGTTCTGAGCAGAATGGCAAAGGGGTGATCAGTATCTCCCCCCACCCAGGGCTGTCACTGTATCACCAGCGGCTTTCACTGGCAAGGAATGGTTGTGCCAAGCACAAGAGCAATCTGCAAGGGTCATGGGCAGCAGGAAGCATGTCGTGGAAGGCAGATCAGAACACCCAAAGGTGGACAGGCGAGGCCTCAGCCTCAGCGGTAGGTGCCTGCAACATTGGGCTGGGGAAGAAGTAAACGAGACTTGTATTTGTGACCTGAGCACTGGACAATCAACTTTTGTTGGCTACTAGTCAATCATAGGAGCCATTATTATTAATACCTAACTAATAGAGCTATTAATACCTAATTACAAAATTTGGGAAATGTAAAACAAAAATTACCTGTGATGCCACTGTTTCAAAGCCCCTATCTTAAATAAAAATGCAATTGCTTTCTAAAAATATATATATACAGTTTCCCCTTGAACAATATGGGTTTGAACTACACGGGTCCACTTGTATGCAGATTTTTTTCAGTAAATGCCATACAGTACAGTATGGTATTTCTCTTCCCTATGATTTTCTTAATAACATTTTCTTTTCTCTAGCTTACTTTATTGGAAGAAAACAGAATGGAATATATAACATGCAAAATATGTGTTGCTCAACTGTGCTATCAGTAAGGCTTCCAGTCAACAGTAGACTAAGTAGTTAAGTTTTGGGGGAGTCAAAAGTTATATGTGGATTTTCAATTGCGCAGGAGTCAACGCTCCTAACCCCCCCCCCCACAGTTGTTCAGGGTGGGCTGTATATATTTATATCCACCTCACAGACATTTTGTCATCCACATTTCATCCTCATTATTTTCTTTTTTTTTTTTAAGATTTTATTTATTTATTTGACAGAGAGAGACACAGCGAGAGAGGGAACACAAGCAGGGGGAGTGGGAGAGGGAGAAGCAGGCTTCCCTCCGAGCGGGGAGCCCGATGCGGGGCTCGATCCCAGGACCCTGGGATCATGACCTGAGCCGAAGGCAGACGCTTAACGACTGAGCCACCCAGGTACCCCCATCCTCATTATTTTCAATGACTGCATAGTATCCCATTGTGTGAACACATGAAAATTCATTATAATTCTGAAATGTTGAAGCTTATCAAAAAGCACAGAGAATACCATAACAAAAAAAGAAATGCCCCTGTACCCACCACCCATATTTACTAAATGCTAGCATTTTGCTTTAAAAAAGCCTTGAAGGAGCCTTCTATGGGGCATGTGAGTGGTAACTCCAAGGGACTTCTCAGAGATACATGGGATCTGCTGGAGAGATATGGGTGCGGACCCAAGCTATTACAAACTGGAAACCAGAAGGTTACTGTGGTTGTTTTGAAATCACAGGCCAGAGGGTGTGGCACTTCGGTGAAACTCTGTTATGCAGAGGAGTCAAGGGATGCCGAGAGACATTTTGTGATCGTGATCGTCCAAGGCCGCTCAGCAAGTAAATAAAAGACAGAACCCCACCCTAGGGCATCTGATCCCAAGTCCTGAACTCTTCCGAATTATCATGCTGACATGGCCCTCCCTGGACCCCCGGGATTCTCAGGGAAAGCAAGACTTGACCCGGAAACTGCCCCTTCTGATGCTGACTTCCCACAATTCTAGTGCAACCCTCGTGACAATTTCAACCTGGCCCAGGACACACACTAAAGCAGAGTCAGTGCCATGGGGGACATTCATGCGCAATGCAGATTCAAGACTGCCTCCAGAGCTGCCCAGATGCCACTGGAAAGCAGGCTTACTGCAGTGAGTCACTGTTAATTGGGTCTCAAGGGCAGAGGAGCCAAGCAATATTACCTCCTGGGGATTTGCCTCCATGAAACCCAACTGCAGGATAGCAACCCCAGGAAAGAAAGCCTAGACTCAACTGACACCAATACCACTCCGGGGAAGACTCCCCTTCACTTTACCTCCACTTCCTCTCTCTTCTGTTCTCATGTCTCCGTGTGTTTTAAGAGAAAATACTTTACCTCTCCACTGCTCCTACTTTTACTTGCCAAAGATTTCAGTGGAAGATCACAGGGTCTCTGGGGTTTAGTCCTTCTGCTTTTCTGGCTTATTATTAATCTTGCAGAGGCAGTGTGAAATTTTGAAATGAGGTCGTTGTCTGAACTTGGCAACTCCTTCCAATGACCAGAGGGCTGGCAGCGGGCAGTATGACTGAGACCAGGGGCTGTGACCTTTTGCTTTTTTTTTTTTTTAAAGATTTTGTTTGTTTGACAGAGAGAGACACAGCAAGAGAGAGAACACAAGCAGGGAGAGTGGGAGGGGGAGAAGCAGGCTTCCCGCAGACCGGGGAGCCCGATGTGGGGCTCGATCCCAGGACCCTGGGATCATGACCTGAGCTGAAGGCAGACACTTAACGACTGAGCCACCCAGGCGCCCCAACCTTTTGCTTCTTTATCACAGAAACCCTCACCATCCTTGACAGAGGGCAGTACTCTGTGTGGGAATTCCAGAAGGAAACTCTATGTGGCTGCTTTTCAAATAGCAAAACAATTGCCAGATCCTGAAATAACACAAAGGCACAATTGGGCATTGGTTTTATTGAGGGAGAAAAATAATATTAAAATAAGAAGAGCTGCATAGACTTGTCAGTTTGGTACAGAATGCTCCGTAATGCAGACCAGCTCCCCTGATGACCTTGCTAATTAACATGAAGGCAAGGAGAGTGGTTCAAGGGCTGTGAGGGAACCCGAAGCCACTTTATGCAAGCATATTCCTCCTTGGGAGGAAAAAAAAGGAAAATAATGAGCTGTGTGGCTTTGGTAGCATTGGTAAAACTCCATTTCTTCAGTAGGGTGGCAGGTACATGGGTGTTTGTTTCATTATGTTTTATATCATATATACACATTATATAGACTCACCAAATATTTCATAACTTAAAATGAGACAATAAGCTAAAAAAAAGACAGGATTGGGGACATCTGGGTCTGCAACACAGAAGAAGGAAGGTGATGATGGGGAGGGATGTGGGAGGCTTCAGAAACTCCCCAGGATGGAATTTTTATGCTGGAACCTGTAGTAAACACCTCCTCTCCGCTGAAGCAGATGTTCTACCACACCAAGGTCTAGAATGTCTCTTCTCTATCTGTGACCCTTAGGAACAAAGTCTTACCCCTTCTTTAATTCTGAACCTGTCCTCAGAGATTCCTTCAGCAGACCTGAGTTCATCATCCTTTCTTGATGCAAGAACTGCACACCCTCAAGACAGGGCCATGTGAGTTTGTAGTCACAATGGGCTAGTTTGGGGAAGGGCTTATGCTGTGCAGGGGGAATCTGGCTGAAGAGGCCCTTTTCCCAACTGATGTAGGGCCATGGGGCCATCGTGAATGACAACCTTAGTCAGCGTCCAGACAAATATGATTACTAGAGGCCTTTGGGGAACCCTAGGCCACACCAGCTGGGATATAGCAGAGAGAATCCATGTCCAGAGAACAGTGTGAATGAGATCAGTGGCTGCCAGTCCTTAGTCCACAGGTGAGTACCATCCCTGGACAAAGTATCAATCAATTTGTAGGAGATTACACACACACAGCCTAAACCATATTGGCAGAAAGCTATAAACTATCCTTTCTTTTTTTTTTTTTAAAGATTTATTTATTTGAGAGAGAATGAGAGAGCACATGAGAGGGGGGAGGGTCAGAGGGAGAAGCAGACTCCCCACCGAGCAGGGAGCCCGATGCGGGACTCGATCCAGGGACTCCAGGATCATGACCTGAGCCGAAGGCAGTCGCTTAACCAACTGAGCCACCCAGGCGCCCTCAACTATCCTTTCTTAGGAAACCTGCCTACTATTCTGGCCTGGTCCTGCTCAAATGTCCTTTCTTTTATGAAATTAGGGTCATAACAAATAGTTTAGTAGAAACTTTCTTAACAAAACCTTCTCTTAACCAATGTACCAGATTAGCCAACACTCTTCAAACTTTTGGTCAATCATACACACTAATTATAATTATGTCAATTAATCCACATATAAACTAATCAATTAAAAGTGCAAACAAAAAGGATATTGACCAATGTCATAAGAGGGTAAACAAAAAAAGAATGGTCATTTCTACAAAAACTAGATTGAATGCTTTGGAAAGACTCAATAAAATCATGTCGTTAAAAAAAAATTCTGTCAAAAAATTGCTAACTAAACTAGGAATGAGTGAGAGAACTGTAAAATATCAGGAGGAAAAAACATAAAAACGAAGAAAGGTTTTGTAATCTGATTGCTTCATAAGTGTCTAGAATGTCTTGCTCCATGTTAGAGAAACTAGAACAAGACAATACAACGTGGGCGGTTTGTGCAGAAACTGCAATGAGCTCTTCCTTCAGCAGACCTGTAAGCAAAGAAAAGACTTAGGTCTACATCAGAACACTAGCAAATTACTACACATTTCGATATTTTGAGTAGAAAGAAGTCACTTAAATAAAGAATATACTTCTTTGGGTGCCTGGGTGGCTCAGTTGGTTAAGCGACTGCCTTCGGCTCAGGTCATGATCCTGGAGTCCCGGGATCGAGTCCTGCATCGGGCTCCCTGCTCGGCAGGGAGTCTGCTTCTCCCTCTGACCCTCCCCCTCTCGTGTGCTCTGTCCCATTCTCTCTCTCTCAAATAAATAAATAAAATCTTTAAAAAAAAAAAGAATCTACTTCTTTTACAGTTTCCTGATTTAAGCAACTTTTTCAATGATCTGACCAATTCTCAATTCCATTTACATTGGAAAAGAATGCACCTGCTTGGTAAAAAAAAAAAATGGCTGACCACAATAGCAATCCCTTTCAATCTAAAAAAAGTACTGGTACATGATATCAACTGTTTCCAGCAGTCTGGCCTTTCCAAGGCTAAGTGGCTATGAACTCTATTTCCAAGGTATCAAGCAAAGGTAGGTTTTCAGTCTCACTTCAGTCCAACATTTATCTTTTTTTTTTTTTAAGATCTTATTTATTTATTTGAGAGAGAGAATGAGATAGAGAGAGAGAGAGCATGAGAGGGGGGAGGGTCAGAGGGAGAAGCAGGCTCCCTGCTCAGCGGGACTTGATCCCGGGACTTCAGGATCATGACCTGAGCCGCTTAACCAGCTAAGCCACCCAAGCACCCGTGTCCAACATTTATCTTAATCATGTATTTTGAAGATTACTGGCTCAGTATATTTCTCTCCCTCAACTGACTCTCAAAAAGGCTCCATCTTTGGGGCACCTGGGTGGCTCAGTCAGTTAAGGGTCTGCCTTTGGGTTAGGTCACGATCCCAGGTCCTGGGATCAAGTCCCACACTGGGCTCTCTGCTCAGCAGAGAGCCTGCTTTTCCCTCTGCCTGCCACTATCCCTGCTTGTGCTGTCTTGCTCCTTCTCTCTCTGTCAAATAAATAAATAAGATCTTTGGGGAAAAAAAAAAAAAAGAAGGCTCCATCTTCTGGGAGCCAGTAATATGCATACAGTTGTTGAAAGGAGACTTCTCCAAACCTACAATTTTCATAAGTGGGATCTTTAAATATTAATGATTTAAAAATCAAAGGAGGGAAAGCCCAGCAACTTTAGACAAGCTGTAAATAATTAGGCACTCAGTCAGAGCTGAGTGGTTAAATATCTTGGAGTTTGTCTGAACAGAATGTGCTTTCCTAGAAACCACAGAGCAAAATCCCACTCAGACCAGAGGAACCATATCTGAACTTCCTCATTCTTATGGTGAGGGTGCTAGTCTGTCACCTATCATCTGCCTTAGCAAAATCTTTACGGAGTGGCCGGATATGACTGAGACAACACCAAGATACCAATCTATAAACATTATGAAACAGTTTCCTTTCAGACTGCTTGTATATGTTTGCCTCCCTTCCCCTGGCCTTGACTACTTCCCCCCAGCGCTCTCTAAATTTCAGTTCAAGCTTGAACAAATTGGGCTGGACGCAGGGTGGATCCCTACAGTCATGACCCAAACCCGGAGAACCTGAATGCTTCCCGTGAGGACCACCAGTCAGAAATCTGCTCAGTCCAGCTGCAGAATGTAGAACGGACCGGACAGCTTTCACAACTGTCATGAGCTAGTCAACCTCACCTCTCAGGACAAGAAAAGGTCCCTTTTCAGACAGCCCCCAATCCAGATGGCTGGAATTTTGGATAAAGACATTATCTCTAGTTACATATCTGGCAGACATCTTTTGGAAGCTTGAATAAGGCAATCAAAAGTGATCAGAGTGGATCTGTCTTTCTAAGTGGATTTACCTTTCCTCAGTTCAGCTAGGCTGCCAGAACCTTCCATTTCCAGCCCATATGTAACGTCAAGATAAAGGCAGAATCAACCAGATTCCTCCAGCCAAACCAAACTGAGCTCAATTCTAGTCTTCCCTGTGTTTCTAGAGTTACATCAGAACTGTCAAGGCTCTAATTTTCACTAGTGTCTGTGATAGATTACTATCCAGAATTACCATGTACTTACAGGTTCTGTTTGTGTGCTGGTTGCTAAAAAAACTCAGCAATAAAGCTACTTTATGCACAATAGCTAAAATGGCCCAGTGATGCACTGGCCCAAGGCTTTCTATTATTCTTATACTTCAACTCACTCTAGTCTTGTTCTGCTTTGAGCTTTTTCACTTAAAGATCCCTCTGTAGCCACTTCTTGCTCTGGGTCAAAACAGTCTCACTGACCCAGCCAGCTTAAATGACCAGCCCAATAATATTTAAGTTTGCCTAGACTCTGCAAATTTCCCCTGGATGGTACTGCTCTTGAGGTTCTAAGGAATCATCATTCAGGGATTGGGAACAGGAGCAGAGAGCAACACATGCTGGGATGGACATCCACGAAGGCCACCTCCCCCAGACCACCTGGGGTATCTGTAGCTGTGAGAAGTTGGGCAACCCCAGGACACACTAACAGCAGCCCATAAACATGCCTAGAGCCCTTGTACCTGCTGGGGCACCTGCCTGCAGCCCGAGATTAGCTCATCATTTCTACCCAAGCCATGACTCCTTTCCCTGATGCTTCATCCCAGCACCCACCAAAAGAGACCTAAGTGAAGTAATGGAACTTTGTCCTCCAGTTAGGAGGAATCATGGCCCCTCCTGCCTCCCCTGGCTTTAGGAGGGGAGAAAGAAATCTCTCCACTTCATGCTTCTGGGAGTTTGATGCTGAAATTCCTTTGATTGCCCAGGTGGCTCAGGACCCTTTTCCTAGAATGACAGACTCAGGTGTCCCTGCTCCTGAAAGCTTGCCTCGTGTTCCCATGCCTGGACTGTCGCATTATTTATTCATTCAAGGCAACATAAAAACATTCAAGAATCCGCAATGTATGTGACCTTAAAACTAGGCAGGGGGATACAGCAGTAAGGGACTAAGTCCTCACCTTCAGGCAAACTACAGCCTAGTGGAGGGGGGAAACAATAAACCCACATGCCAATAAATAAGTTCATAAAGCTGTGCCTGCTATGAAGGAAGTAAGACAGGGCAACAGGACAGAGTGAAATTGGAGGTAGTGGCAGGGACTACTGCCTTTAAGGTGGTCAGGGAAGTCTACTCTGGGAGGGGACATTTGAGCTAAGATGTGATGATAAAAGAAGCTAACTGGTCACACATCTGTGAGGAGAACATTCCAGAAAGAAGATACAGCAAGTGTCAATGCCCTGAGAAAAGAGCAAGCTTCGTCTTTTCTTTCTTTCTTTTTTTTTTCTTAAGCTTCATCTTTTCAAAAGGAGAGTGGCTGGAGCTGGGGTCCTAGGGGCAGGCAGGGACCCGTGCTTCCCCGGGACTTCCTGCTGCATGCAGAAGAAGCCACCAGAAGGTGATAAGCAGCAAGTGACCAGGTCTGTGTTTTAAAAAGATCACTTTGGCTGCTGGAAGGAGTATGGTCTCTGGGGCTGGAAAGGAAAGAGGGACAGCGGGCAGGGGACTGGCTGGTTGCTTGGACTTGGCCGGTAACCACAGAGACAACGAGCCATGCCACCATCCTGGGACTCAGGACATACTCTGGAGGGAGGGCTGCCAGGACTCTAGAACAGAGGTGGTAAGTCCGGCACCTGTGAATACTCGCTAACAATCCCTGCACGAGTAGTGCTCCTACCCCCTCGTCCTTAGACGTGCCATGCAGGACAGTGGCCCAGACGCCAGACTCGGGAGCCCACATGCCCAAGTTCAAATTTCAACTCCTCCGCTTCCTAGCGATAAAACCTGGTACATCACTGAACCTCTCTGAACCTCGATTCCTCATCTGTAAAATGGAGGCAATGATAAAGACGCCCTCATAGTGTTGTTGCAAGGATTCGGCCAGTTACTGGGGGTAGAGAATTGGGGGAAGGTGCCTGCCACATAGCATATCTGTTTCCTGTTGATGCCATAACAAATGACCACACGTTTACTGAATTCATTAACACAACATCAATTTATTCTCCTATAATTCTGGAGGCCAGAAGGACAAAATCTGTTTCACTGGACTAAAGTCAGGGTGTTGGCAGGGCTGGTTCCTTCTAGAGGCTCCAGGGGACAATCCATTGCTTGCCTTTTCTGGCCACATCACTCCAACCTCTGCCTCTGTCATCGGCTGCCTTCTCCTCTTATGACCTTCTTGCCTCCTTCTTACAAGGACCCTTGTGATTATATTTAGGGCCCACCTGGAGAATCCAGACTACTCTCCCCATCTCAAAACCCTCAACTTCATACATCCACGTGGCTCCTTTTGCCATATTCACAGGTTCTGGGGATTGGGACGCAGAGAACTTTGGGGGCCATTATTCAGCCCACCACACATGTTAAGCAATAAATAAAGGTTAATTATTATTATCATCATTATCATTATCACTCCCTCAGCAACTCCAGAGCGTATCCCCAACCCCCTCTTAAGCTGTATGGGAGAAAAAGGGATGTAGAGAGACCCCTATCTACCTCCCGAAAGCCCCCTGAGACAAGGCCGAGGCTTCAGTCCCTGGTTGGTCCTCGTGAAGTGAATGGGGGCAGAAAGCAGACAGAGCAGGAACATGCTCACAGGCTTCATGTGGGGTTTGAGAGGGGAGCCTGGAGCTCAGGCTAAGATCTCCTAATGCTGCTGTATTCCGTGGATTCCTCATGGCTCCTGCTGGGAACGTGGGCAACATGGTAGTTCATGTTGTAATAGGTTGACTCCTCATTCAAAGCCTCCCAAGACAGAGCCATGTAGGAAATGTCCTCCTTCAGAAGGGCGGCCTGTAGTAAAGATTCCCAAGGGGTCAGAGCGGCAGGCAAGAGGCTTTGCCCAGGGAAGGAGGAGGACTTGGATGAGGTGGGGGCACAGAGCCTTCAGGGCAGAAGACCCTCCCTCCACTCCACGCTAGGGCAGCACAGTTCACATGGAATCCCAGGCCTGTCCAGGTCTCCGCTGCCAAGCATAAGGGCCATGTCTAATGGGACTCTGAGTCCCCCAGTGCTATGGAGACACTTCCAAAAGCCCAAAGTCTGGGGGAGCTACACAGGCAAGTCTTTCAATGGCTATGGCTTGACCCAGCACCTGCCCCTCCTCCTCTGTGCCCCCACGGGCGGGAGAAAGCCCATCCTCAGAGCAGGGGCAATGGCAGATCTGGCTCCAAGCCCCACAGCAGCCCCACCAAGTACACACCATGGTGATATATTCCACTTCCTGCTGATCATCCAGGGCAGAGGAGGAGGACTTTGTACAGGCCTTCTTCTGGGAGGAGTTGTGGGAGGTGCTGGTTGGCTCCAGGGCCAGGTTTGCATAACAGAGGTCCCCCTCTGGGGGCTGGACCACCTTGGAAAGAAAGCCCAGGTCATCTTCCCCAGAGGGACACAGACCCTGTGCTTCCCTGGGTCCCCCTCTCCCAGGTTCCTCTGCAACCCCCACACCTGCTCCCTTCCAGCCCTTCCCCCTTCTGGCTGTTCCCAGAGTCCACCCCCCATCCTCCCAGGCCGTGAACACACAGACACTTGGGCACATCGTTTGTCTGATATGTTTGGACCTCAGTGCTCCTGGGAGAAGGAAAATGAGGACGGAGAGAAAGGAGCTGTCTGGGGTCTCTGGTCTGACCTCAGGGACTCTTTTACCTGCTCTGGGGATATCCCAGCAGCTAAAAGACAAAAACAATCAGAATTAGAAAGCCCACCCATAGACTCGCAGGGCCCCCAGGTCTGGGGAAGAGAAATCTGGAAGAAAAGAGAATTGGGCTCCAGGCTCAGAGCCTGGTTCTGACTCCTCAGATGACACACTCTGTGACATTGGTCACTTCACCTCTTTGAGCTTTCAGTTCTCCACCTGAGAAATAAGGAGACCTCGCCCATCTCCCCCACATCACAGAAGGGCAATCAGCTGATCGGGTGGCCCTGCCACCAATTGGCGTCCCTGGGGTTAAGTTTCCTTCTGTGCAATTGCAGGCTCAGGCTAACTTCTGCCAGAAATCCTGCCTGGAATGACCCCATTTCTCTACTAGATTGGTCACTCAGGAGTCAACTCAAAGTCACACCTGTCTTCCCAGCTACCCAGGGTGCTGAATCCCTCCGTCTTCGGCTCCATGGTACTTGATTTCTATCTGTCTTGTCACCTCTGTCCCACTGAATTCCAGGTAGTCTTCAGGTGGGCTGTGGGCTGCTGGGCGGCTGAGCCTGTCCCCTCCTTGCATCACTGGTGCCTGGCCAATCCTAGCACACGAATGTCCCCTCCAGGCTGCCCTCTGAGTGAGATGCACAAGCTGGGTTAGCATCTGATGGGCCAACTTTCAAGTGCTTGTGGTTCCTGTTTCTCTCTGCCCACCCCCCCCCCCCAGTTTTACAGAAAACACAGAAATAAGTTCTTCTCTCCTGGTTTTTAGTTTCAAAAGCCTAGATATTGAGGAGCACAGAAAGTACTTAGAACTTAGGTCGCAGACATACACTGGGGAGGAAACATGATGAGCAAGAATGAGCCCCCACTCCTCCTTGACTACAAGAGTCCCCAGGCTGTGATGGGGGAGGGGTGCTGGAGAGCACCCCAAAAGAGCTGAGACCCTAGTGCGTTCTGAGGAAGGGGGTGCATTTACCGTGAGACTATGGAAGCAGAGCCAGCCATCAGCCCCACACTCCCACCCAGCCCAGCCCAGCCCCAGCGCAGCGTCAGCCATATCTGATCACCTCCCTTCTGCGGCTTCATCCTTCTCAAAGCCAAGAATGAGGCCGTCACCAGGAGAAGCAGTAACACAGCCAAGATGAGGGGAATCAGGATGCTGAGCTTCATGGAGTTAGCACTGGAAACAATAAAAGAACACCATGCACCCTGGCCCACCTCCTGCTTCCGGGCCACACCCCGGCCACCTGGTAGCAAGGAGGGCCACACACCTTTTGACCTGCAAGCCTGGGGTTTCTAGCCTGGGAACCCCACTCCTGGGTGTCCTCAGAGATGGTAAAAAAAGAATTTTTTTTAAAGGATAGGAGGGTTCCACAATGTTTCTGTGGGCCTAGACACCTAACGGAAATTGTATGGCAACGGGCTCTGGAAAGGTCTCTCCACTTCTACACTTGCCCCTGCTGTACTGGATTAAAGAGTGTCCCCCACCCCCACAATTCATGTTCATTCAGAACCTGTGAAGGTGACCTAGTTGGAAATAAGATCTTTGCAGATGTAATCAAGTTAATATGAGGTCCTATTGGATTGGGAGGTCCTAACCCAATAGCTGGTGTCCTTACAAGAGGGAAATTTAGCCACACGCAGATATGCGAAGGAAGAAGGCCATGTGACAACAGAGGCAGAAATTGAGGTCGCAGTGCCATAAAGCAAGGAGTGACAAGGATGGCCAAAAGCCACCACATTCTCCTTTTGAGACCCAAGAAGGAACCAACCATGCTGACACCTTGATCTCAGCTTCTGGCCTCCAGACTGTGTATAAATAAACATCTGTTCTTGAAGTGGCCCGGGATGTGGTGCTTTGTTAAGGCAGCCTGAGCCTGAGTCTAATGCAAAGACTATCTCTTATTCATCACTAGTCACAGAATTTATAGAATAAACTCATCAATCGATGAATTAATTAACTCTATCTGGCACATTAATTATCTTTCAATTGTAAGTACCTGGAATGCAGACAGCTTGATCATTCTGTTCTTCCTAGTACCCTCTTGTATTCCCCAAGAGAGTGATAGGCATGAGTGGGGGCTCAATAATTATTTGAATGAATGAATGAATGAATGAATCCATCTCATGCTGATCAAAGACCCTAATTGATACTTACATACAGCTTTGATTCATAAAAAGAGGAAACTCCTTAACTATTACTTATTAAAAGCAGGTTAGTAAAAAGAAACTTTTGAAACAGAGGGCAAATGGGAGAGGTGAAGAGAGGGGGTCCTGGGTGGGGGTAGAAGAATTGGGGACCTCCCATCCAGATTCTACAAGAAAGCCCAGCAAAAGGAGATCACAGCAAGTCTAGAAACAAAGTCAAAAGGGCCAAGGAGGCGATGGGAAGAGGCCTCTGAGCTTCCAGAAAGCCACTTCAGCTGCACTGGCTGGGCAGAGTGCTAAGAAGCATGAGAGAGACTCAGTTTCTTCCTCTATAAAATGGGCATTTGTATCTGCCTACTCGTCCTCATGAAGCAGGGTCCGAGAATTAACAGACGATGGACAGAAAAGCCCTCTGTGAGCTGACAGGTGCTCTCGAGATGGGGCAAACATCGGTACTGCTATTCTTGCCGTAACGGTAATTAGAGGGAACAGGATGTCTCCAAGTCCTCCCTGTTCTCCTGGCATTTGGACCAAGAGCTGTCCCTGTGGCCCTACGATATTGGTACCCCCCCCACACACACACACAGTGGTCACACCATCTGCACTGACTACCTGCTCATCAGTCTCCCACCCTGCACTCTGAGCTCCTGGGGGGCAGCTCCATGTCTATGCCTCCAGAGCTCAACAAAGGGCTGGCCATGTAGAAGTTAATTCAGTAAAAATGAGCTAGAAGAGTGAATGCACCAACACACCTACAAACTGTACTGGGCTCCCGGAGGAAGGATCTGAGGAGTTCCAAGGACACTGTGGGGCCTGATAGCAAGTGGGAAGAGCCCCTGGCATCCTCACCCTCTCAGAGGAGGAAAATGGTCTCGGGACAAGCTCTGGCTGGCACCTGGGACTGCAAAGGTCCCCTCATTGGAGGAGTCTGGGCCAAGTCGACCGCAGGGAACAGTGCACCGGAGCTGGCTTACCTGCCACTGGTGGGGCGGCTCACAGTCGGGGGGCCTTCGGTCTCTGCTGGTGCTGCGGACATGGTGGTTGAGGTGGTGGTGGTTGACACTGTAGTTGGTGCTAGGCATACAAACCAGATTATGCACTATTCAGCCTGCTAACCTGCCCACGGCCCTCCACGTGGCTTTGAGCCTGGGGTGGGCGGGGGAGCCTGGAGCTGGGCCATGGGAAAGTTCTATAGCCTGGACTGCTCATATCTCCCTGGCCACTAGGAGACTCAGCCTCAGAGGCAGGAAGGCCTGGGTACAGGTCCAGGGAGGATGTCAAGCGGGCCCTGGAAAGATTAGAGGGGGCCTAATGTTACCTCAGGGCAAAGGCAGCTGGAGTTCAGCCACTGCCTATGACAAGGTGTCTGCCAATGCCTCCCCCAGTCTCATTTATCCAGAAAGGACAGGAGCAGAAGGAGGAGCTGGCCTGGTGGCTAACACTCCCAAGATCTGTGACTTCTAAGGTCAGGACAAACTCATAATGTTCAGGAAGAGCCTTTGCTTTGGGCAAGTTATTAAGCTTCTACAGGGAGGAGAGTCACTTCTCAGGAACATTTTCCACGTTCGGTGAGACAGTGAAAGTGCTACCCTTTGCAGCAGTAACATGCCTCACAGGTTCAGGTAGGGTGGGGGCTCTGTAGACTCCATGCTGTCCCCTGGCCACAAGTGCCCTGTGAGCCGGTGCTTCTTATCTGGGGGTCAGAGAAGCAGAGCCCAACAGACCAGCTCATTCAAACCAAGGCACTGGGACCTCTGAGCTGCCCCCTCCCAGGAGTGTCTGCGTTCTAGAAGTACTTAAGAAGAGAACATCATTAGACCCAAATGCATATATGGCCTGTAATGGGATTTCAGGCACCAGAAATGCAGCCTTTTGACTGGGAAGGCCTTTTCGGACCTCAGGAATCAACCACAGAACCCCCATGGTGCTGGGCCTCTTCCCTCTCAGCCCGGGTATGGAACAGGGAGTGGGAATAGCCTGGCCCCAAACTCCAGAATGAGCAGGGACATGTGGGCACCAGAGGTCCAGGAAAGCATTAGCAGGAATTGGGTTCTCTGGGTCCCAAGGAAGAAGGTCCTTTGGTCCGCGGATGAAACTGGAACCATGACCTTGATCTCTATGGACAATAGACTCAAGCACTGTGCTGTGCAGAGGAACAGGTGCCCAGAAAGGCTTGATCCCATCCTGGAGGAGGTCCTGGGAGCCATGAGAGCATCTAAGAGAAGCCCTGTCCCTCCCAACCCATGGGGTCAGTTGGGGTCCTAGAAGAACTCAGGACTCAACCCCCCTATGTAACAGTTCACTGCAAGTGGCCTTAAGTCACTGGAGAGGAACCTCAGAGACCAGGACAGAGCAGGTCCTGAAGAGACACATCCACACACACACATAAACTCTTACCTGGGTCAATGGTCACTTTAACTTGAACCCCAAGGTCAGGTCCAGATCTCTTAATCCCACACCAGTAAGTGTCTGTATCGTCCCACCTGAGCTCCTTCATGGTCACGGTGAATGTGCGCAATTTGTGATTGTCCTTGATGGACACTCGGTCACCCTTCTTGTCCCGCTCTGATCCATCGGTTTGAACGAGGATATGGCAGTCTTTCCACTCAGCTCCTCGACACCACCACTTACTGTAGGTCCCCCACTTGGGTTCATAGCGACACTGCACGGTCAGTGAGCCCCGCACTGGGCCACTCACTGCCTTAGACACTGCTACGAGGGCAGATGAGCCTGAAAACACAAAGCCATGTGCTTGTCACACCCCACTCCACCCCTTGAGGGCAGAGCCACAAACTCCTGCATCACAAGTAGCCCCAATAAACCCAAGAGCCCGATGAGTTGAGTAACAGTCAAAGAGGGAATACACCTTCCACAAGATAGATCTTTGTCCTTCAAAACTCCACTGGGTCAAAGCCACCACAGAAATCACCTAAGAGCACAACTATACATCTCAGAGAAACAAAAATGTCCACACTGAGCAATGACAGCTTCCGATAATCCACTCCTCCCCCTCCCTGTGGTCAACGTCATATGGAGAGCAAATGACCCAATGGAAGGCATGGCCCCAGTCCACTTCAGCCTATTGTCCTCGTGCAAGATACGGGCTCTGTGGCTTCAGATCTTTTCATTTTTCTAGAGTAGCCAGGAATCCGGATTTTGTGTGGAACCTCTCAATTTGAAAACACTGGCTTCACTCGAAATGTCCCCACCAGCAATGGAGTGTGGCCACACAAACCCCACCTGCTAGCTGACCCTGGCTGTCAGGTCTCAGCTCCAGCCCTATAGTCCTAAGGAAGGCTCTTTTCTGGAATTTCCTTTGTGCTGTCTGCTGAGGTTTGATATGAGATGCTCCTTTTACACAATTAATCTGGCAGATTTATATCTTTTCCATGTGCCGAGATCAGTACATAAATAGAGCAAAGGAATTTCTGTGTCTTTAGAATCCTAAGAAATTATCTACAAAACTACCTGGCAAATTTATTATTGGGACAAATACTTTGATTACTGGAAAGTGTTTTCCCTCTGAATATTGTTGAATTCCCTTGAATATTGAATATTCAAGTTCTTTGATGGTTCTTGAATCTGTTCTATTGTTTTGGTTTGTTTTTCACAGAAATTTAACCTATTTCATGGAGTATGTATTAGCATAAAGTCCTGCATTAGGAAGTATCCTTTTATAATTAAAATGTCCGTATCTGTTATTATTACACGTTCTGACCACATGTGGTCTGTGATTTGTGTGGATTACACCTGCTGCAGGATGTCCTCCTTCTGTTTCTCCTCCTCTCTTCCTTGTTTTTCTCCTGCATTAAACCACTTTTGAGATTAGTTTTTATTTCCTAAGTTATTAATTTCTCATATATGTGATTTTACTCCTCTTCTTTCCTCAAGATTACTACTTGTGCTCTTCCAATTTGCTAAGTTAAAGACAGTGATCAATTTTCTTCCTTTCTAAAATGAATTAAAGTGTGTTTAAGGCTAAGAATTTACTTTTGTCCATTTTAAAAATTGAGATATAATTCACATATCATAAATTTTACTCTTAATTTTAAAGCATATACTCTGGGGTTTTTAGGATATTCACAGAGCTGTGCAGCCATCACCTCCATTTCCAGAATGTTTTCATCACCTCAGAAGAAACCCTGTACTCCTGATTCGCTCCCCCACTAACCTACGTCCTGTCTATAGATTTCTTTATTCTGAAATCTACATTTCATGTACATGTAGTCATACAATGTGTGGCCTTTTGTACCATAGGACACTAAAAAGATAAGTGGGGAGGGGAAGGGTTTCCCACAAGTGTGGCTGGATCCTGTCACCTCTCCCAGTGCTCCACTTAGGTAAACGCAGGGAGATTAAGAAGGTCAACATATAATAGCAAATCACTTCTTAAACTAGAAAAACACAGAAGTGAGCCTTTATAATATTTCTGAATGAAAAGGAGCACTTTCTTTTTTTTTTAAAGATTTTATTTATTCATTTGAGACACAGAGATACAGAGAGAGAGAGAGAAAGCATGAGCAGGGAGAGAGGCAGAGGGAGAGGGAGAAGCAGGCTCCTCGCTGAGCAGGGAGCCCGATGCGGGGCTCGATCCCAGGACCCTGGGATCATGACCTGAGCTGAAGGCAGACACTTAACCATCTGAGCCACCCAGGTGCCCGAAAGGGAGCACTTTCTTTTTTTTTTTTAAGATTTTATTTATTTATTTGAGAGAGAGAATGAGAGAGAGAGAGAGAGCACATGAGAGGGGGGAGGGTCAGAGGGAGAAGCAGACCCCCCGCTGAGGAAGGAGCCCAATGCGGGACTCGATCCTGGGACTCCAGGATCATGACCTGAGCAGAAGGCAGTCGCTTAACCAACTGAGCCACCCAGGCGCCCAAGGGAGCACTTTCTAAGTTTAAAAATTCATGGAAGACATCACGCAAGAGTCTGTGAATTTGTAACACTTTATAAATGTAACACTTGGATATACCCCCAAAACGACTGAAGGGAGGCAAAGAACAGACTGCAAGAAATATTTAGAACCAATAACGTAGAAAAGGATTAATAATCATTTTTTTGAAAGAGTGTATAAAAGATGCACATTAAGGCTCCATTTAGAAAATTGGTAAGGGGCAAGAAAAGGCAAGTCACAAAGAGGCAATTCAGGTGGATGATAAAATTGGAAGTGTTCCATTTACATAATCTAGCAAATGAAAACACTTTAAAGTGATGTCATTTTCACTTAAGGAACCAACCAAGTTTTTGTGACTACTTTATTGCTGACATGGGTGACATGGCAGGGACACACGGAGAAGCTGCTGGTAAGGATGTAACGGATTCAACCATTACCGAAAGCAATGTGGCAATTATGTATCAAAATAATCATGACTTTTCCTCCAGTGATCGTATGCCTAGGATTTGGTCCTCAGGAAATAATCAGAGAAGCTAACAAAAACATATGCACCAAGATTCATTACATAATTATTTAAAGAGCAAAAATAAAGGAAACAAGGTTAACATCCATCAATTAGGGAAATAAATAGACAATGAAATATAATGCAGACACTGGTAATTATGCTTAGAAATACTGTTAATTATGTGGAAAATCCTCAAAGGAAGTGAAAATGTTTTTTTAAAACATCATATACAGCATAATCTCAACCAACTTTTAAAATATGCATAGAAGAACAGATTAAAAGGAAATAAGTAAAAATATTAAATGAACATCAGGTTGCCTTGGGCATTAAGATCAGGGACATAAAGTTTTTTATTTTTCCTAACTCTTCATTTTTTTTCTGTAATTTCCTAAGTATCAACAATGAGCATTTATTACTTTCAAAATGATGGCGGGGGGTGGGCTGGGGAATAATGCCTGGACAGGGCGGTTCCGTGGCATGGTGAGCAGAATAATGGCTTCCTAAGGATGTCTATGTCCTAATCCCCAGAACCTGTAAAATACGGTAAAGCTCACATGGCAAAATGGGACTTGGTAGATGTGACTAAATTAAGGATCTTGAGATGGAGAGATTATCCTGGAGCATCTGGGTGGGCCCAAGGTCCTTCTCAGAGGGAGGCAGGAGGGTCAGAGTCAGAGCAGGAGAAGGGACATTGAAGATGAGGTGGGGCCACACACCAAGGACACGGCAGCCTCCGGGCTGTGGAAAAGTCACGGAATCTGATTCTCCCCCAAAGCCACCGGAAGGAACGCAGCCCTGGTGACCCTTTTAGACTCTGACTTCCAGACTGTAACATTATAAATTTGTGTTGTTTTAAGCCACTAAGTGTGTGGTAATTTGTCCCGACAGCCTTAGGAAACTCTTAAGGTGGCATTCACCCATCTCACCTGAGTACCAGAGTTGGGCCCCCACTCTTGAACTGTCTGCTCCACTCGCTTCCTGGAACTATCTTTCCAGGGGCCCACTCCCCACCAACCTCGGCAGAGCACCAGCCCTGCTGTCTGAACCCTCCTGACACAGAAGGCAGCCCCGAGGGGGGCGCCTGGGTGGCTCCGTCGGTGAAGCGTCTGCCTTCGGCTCAGGTCATGATCTCAGGGTCCTGGGATCGAGCTCCATATCGGGCTCCCTGCTCAGCGGGGAGTCTGCTTCTCCCTCTCCCCTGCTGGCTGCTCCCCCTGCTCACGTTCCCTCTCTCTCACTCTCTCTCTCAGATAAATAAATGAAATCTTTAAAAAAAAAAAAAAAAGAAGGCAGCCTTGAGCCCCAAGGAGCAGCATCCTCAACAGGCATGGTTACTCCCAGACTAGTGGATCGGGAGTAATCCTAGATGAGGAAGAAGCTGAGCCCCAGGGGGAGGTAACAGGCTCACTGTCAGAGAGGGACAGGATGGACCCCAACTCCAACACAGCACAGGACGTCAGCCAGTCTCCACTCTGGGCCAGCACACGTGGGTCTTGTCCCCGTCTGCCACCACTTATGGCGAGGCTGAAGGTGGACAAAGCAGCTAAGGTTTCTCTGAAAATACAGGATACCAATCTCTTCCTTTCTCACAGAAAGTGAAGGCTGTAAAGCCAGTGGGAACTCTGGTTGGTGTTTTTCCCTTGTATACCTTGGAAACAATGAACTCTTTAGAAGTGGGAAGCGGTGCAGGGTAAATTGGTTGCTCGTTATGGGAAATTCAGTGGGAGAGGCTAGTGAGGGGGGCACAACGGTTCACAGCACAGACCAGGTTCCTGCTTAGCACACAGCTGTGCTTGCTGGCTTCCAGCTGATGTGCCCACTCTGCCTTGATCACGTGGGTGCACACGCGCGTGCACACACAGCTGTGCTACTCTCACATCTGCTCACCAACTTCCCCTGTTTCCAGATGTCAGGGGGAAAAAAGAAGCAGTCCTTTCTGTGCATCCGCCGCCCTGTTGATTTTCCTAAAGGCTCACCCAGATCTGCCTTCTTCATTCCTACGACCCATCCCAGCTTTGCCTTTACCAGCTTTATGGTCCTGGACATGTCACTTTCCTCCCCTAAGACTTTTCCCCCAGACACAGTGACATTCTCCCAGTCTGCCCCACCAGGCTGTTCTGAAGCATGTGAGGAAGCCACACAGCTCGTCCATTCCTCAGGCCTGCTCAGGCCAGGCTCATGTCCCTGTCACAGCCTTTGTGCTCACTGTTGGCCTGTGCCTGAAAACCTGCCCCTGATCCTAAGTGCCTGCTCCTCCTCGTCCTCCAGGCCTCTGCTCAGACATCTCCTCCCAGAGGCTCCTCGCAGCCCACCCCATCGATAGCACCAACCCCCTGCTCCCTGAGGCTCACTGTGTCAGGTCACCTAGCTCAGGTCTCCTTACAGCACCTACCACTTCTTGGAAGTATCATTTTCATTTCTCTGACTGATGGAATGATCAAATTTGACCACGTAAAATACTCACAAATCATAAAGGGCTGTCCACTTGCCGTGAACACCTTCTTCCAATGCCAAATGCTACCCAGAGACTTTTCTACCAGGAGAACTCCACCACTCCTGATTCTTCCCTCTGCTCCTTGATTATGTTCATACTGACATATGATTCCCATACCACACAATTCACCCTTTTAACGTGTACAACTCAGCAGTTCTTAGGACAATCACAAAGCTCTGCAGCCATCACCACACCCAATTCCTTTTTATCACCCCAAAAAGAAACCCCTGACTCATTAGCAGTCACTCTCCCTTACTCCTTCCCCCAGCCCGTCGCAACCACTAATCTACCTCCCGTTTCTGTGAATTTAGGTATTTCAGATATTTCATAGGCATGGGATGGTACAATAGATGGCCTCTTTTGCCTGGATCCTTTCACGTAGCACAATGTTTCCAAGGTTGGTCTGTGTTGTAGCATGTGTCCGTATTCATTTGTTTTTATAGCTGAATAATATTCCATTGTCTGGGTATGCCACATTTTATTTATTCCTCCATCAGTTGATGTACATTTAGGTTGTTTCCAGTTTTTAACGATTATGAGTAATGTTGCCACGAGCATTTGCAAACAAGTTTTTACATGGACATATGTTTTCAGTTCTCTTGGGTATACACCTAGGAGTAGAATTGCTGGATCATGTGGTAACCACATGTTTATCATTTTGAGGCATGTCAAATTGTTTTCCAAAGTAGCTGCACCATTTTACATGCTCATGCGCAATGCATGTCCTCTACAACTAATGTCAAGAGTTTCAAGTGTTCAGTTCTATGAAAAAGAAAGATGGGGAGTATGGTGATCCTATTTTTCCCTCTCCATGAGTTTCATTCACTCACTCAACTAATACTTGCTATTTGTCTAATCTATACCTCGTATGTTTGCAGGAGCAAAAATCCCTGCCTTCCTATGGCTTATGTTCTCTCAAGGTGGGGGAAGGGAGGAATCAGACATAGAGAAAAATAATGCAGGGGAATTGCTATTTTAATGAGGTTTCTTATCAGTGCAAGCCTCAGTGAGAATCAAAGTGGCTATATGAAGAAGAGCATTCCGGGCAGAGAGAACAAGTGCAAAGGCCCTGAGGCAGGAGTGTACCTAACATGTTCAAAGAATATCTAAGAGGCCATTTTGCCTGCAGTGGGTTGAGCCAAGGGAGCAGAGTAGAAGAGGTGATCAGGGAGATGATGCGGTGAGAGAACAAGGTGGTGCACCTTTTAGCTTCTGGAAGAACTCTATGTTTTTACTCTGAATAGGATAGGAAGTCATTAGAGGGTTTTGACCAGAGGAAAGACAGGATCTGGCTTGCATTTCCCAAGGATCATTATGGGATATGAGAGAAGAGATGAATGACCTCAGGTTTTGCCCGAGTACCTAGAAAAGTACCAAACACAAAGCTTGCCAAACACAAACATGGAAGAGAAAGGAATTCGAGAGGGGAAGATATGCTCAGGTCACATTTGAAATGTCAACATCTTAGTGGAGAGTTGAATGGGCAGTTGACTAAAAGATTCTGGGGTCCAGGGTGATGTCCAGGCTAATGTTACAACATCAGGCATCATCTGTATAGAGGTGGTATTTAAGCCAAGAGAGGAGAGGAGATCAGTGAGGGAATGGCTCTAGAGCTCTAGAGAGAGAAGCCCAAAACCGAGCCCTGCGGCCCTCTAGCATTTCCAGGTCAAGAAAATCCCCTTAATTTTTAATCAAAATGGTATCCATCAACTTACAGTTTCCTTCCACCACCATCCCCATCTCAGCCCCTCAGCAACTTCTACTATTTCCTTCTACCCCAAATGCCTAGAACCACGTGTCCCTCCCTGCTTTCTTTCCTCCAAAGCCGCCTCCATCCTCACTCCTTCCCTTCTCCATAAGGCATTCTCAAAGGTGACAGTGCAGAAGCAAGTGTTCACCAGCTCTCCTGAGCAACCAGGGCTCCTCTGTTTCTCTTAGACCAGGGGGGCCCATCAGTCCAAGTCCATTTGGAAAAATCAACCTGTGGGTGGTCAGGAATTATGCCTTGTGCAGGGTGAGGAATAGGGTGGATGACACACACAGATTCACTACTTGGAGAAACTGCTTAGAAACAGAGCCTGTTTCCCAGAAGGGCCCCTTGCTGGGCCCCCTCCTCCCTCCACCAGCCATTTCATCCTGCCCCAGAAGCTATTCTCTGGTACAGACCCAGGCCCCCCTCACCTGCACCCTGGAAGAGGAGGAAGAGCAGCAGCAGGTTCATTCTCTCTTCGCACAAGCCCCCCTTGATGGAGCCAGTCAACTCCGACCCAGCTCCGGCATCTTCCAACCTTCTGCTTTCCCCACTCTTGAACTTCCTCCTTTGACCACTTCCCACTGGTGAAGAAACGAAAAGAGGAAGGAGGTAGAAGGGGTGAAATCTCAAGGCAAGAAGCAATGCAACAAGTCTCAGTGATCATGAATAAGTTTTTTAGAAATACCCTCCTGTCGGAGCGCCTGGGTGGCTCAGTTGGTTAAGCGACTGCCTTCGGCTCAGGTCATGATCCTGGAGTCCCGGGATCGAGTCCCGCATCGGGCTCCCTGCTCGGCAAGGAGTCTGCTTCTCCCTCTGACCCTCCTCCCTCTCATGCTCTCTGTCTCTCATTCTCTCTGTCTCAAATAAATAAATAAAATCTTAAAAAAAAAAAAAAAAGAAATACCCTCCTGTCTGCAGCCACGAAGGATTCTCTAAAAGGAGGACTTTGCTACTCTTTCTAGGCTTTGGTGGAAATTTGCAGACACAGACCCAATGGGTGGGGCTGGCTCTTACTCAATCCTTCTCCTCTGGTGGGAAGACTGGGCAGAGTGAACCCAGCTCCATCACAGAAGTCTTAGAGAGCCGAAACTGAGAGACACAATACCAGCCACATGGAATTTCAGGTGTAGCCTTGGGAGCCCAGGAGGTCAGGAATTCAGCTGAGGGGAGCTTGGGCCCAAGCCCGAAAGCCAGAGGAGAGATTCTAGACCAGAGAGATTCTAGACCAGGAATGAGGAGGTGGAGAGTATCGAACCCCAGACTACAAAGAAAGGGGTTCAAAGAGTAGGGGTATGTGAGCAGGGACCTACTGGTCCAATGGGCAAGAGGGGCCTCTGTCCTCAGAACATACTGGAAACTCTCATTGCTGTGCCTTAGACCAAGGAAGAGCCTGTGGATTTTGATGCCAACCTGAATCCTCCAGACACTTGCCAGTTATACCAGGGCCTCCTTCCTGAAAAAAACTGCTCATTGCTCATGGCTACTACCCCCTCACTCCTCATTCCCCCCCTTATAATAACTACCTGTGGAAGTAAGAAGGTCAGCACCAGCTTTGCCTGTCTTACTCCTTCTTTCTGACAACTTTGTGCCCATTCCCCATCCCTCCCATCAGGACGCCAGCAAGCCCCAGGGTGGAGCACAGAAGCCAGGAAATGATAGGGCCCTTTCTCATATTTTGCCCCTGGAGCCAGTTTTGCTAAGTGTCACACACACCCCGTGACATCTTGAGAAGCGAGAGAGTCCCAAGGAGGGACATAAGCCCCTCACACCCTAATCAGGAATGAGTAGGTATGCAGGAGGCTTATTTGCACACACATTAAAAAAACACAGCAGCTGATAAGCCAAGCTTTTCCAGGATGTGGCCAGAGACAGCTTTGCACTTTACGTATCTCCAGACCATGAAGTAAGATCAACAATCTGGAGTGAGGGCTCGGTCAGCCCTCCATCCCCATTGCTCAACAAGCCCATCCTCTGCACTGTACAGTTATGCTGAGAGACATCGGCCTCTGCAAACAAGGGCAGTATTTGGCTTCCGGGGAAATGACCAAGGAGTTAAGCAAGCTGGGACATCCCTGAAAAACAAGGGAGCAGATGTTTTGAGAGTTGTGGGTAAACTTTCCTTTCTTGGACATAGGGGGTAAGGAATGACCAGTATCTGAGCCGCTCAAAGTCCTGCCTGTGGCCCGGCCCTCTGCTCCTGGGCCCAGTTTACCCAAGTGTTAGGAGTTAGTTGGACAATTAGGTAGTCAGGGCCAGGGTCCCAACAAGAAAATAGGGAGCCAGGACAGCTAAGACAAAACCACACTAGCATCCTGTTTTACAGCTTAGACAGGACCACAATAGCATCCTGTCTCGCAGTCTCTGCAGAAGTGACTTTTGCAAAACATCCTGAAACAAAACATTTAACCTTAAAACATTGGTCACTATCACAAGTTAAGGCAGTTAGTCTTCAGATATCAGCCCCAAAGACCAACATCTGAACAATAACCCGATAGGTAGACGGGTGTGTGATCAAAGCCCTGATCGACACATCTTAGCAGCCAATCCACACGGGCCCACACTCAAGATGCTCAAAATACATCTGCAGGGTGCCTGGGTGGCTCAGTTGGTTAAGCAACTGCCTTCGGCTCAGGTCATGGTCCTGGAGTCCCGGGATCGAGTCCCACATCGGGCTCCCAGCTCGGCGGGGAGTCTGCTTCTCCCTCTGACCCTCCTCCCTCTCATGCTCTCTGTCTCTCATTCTCTCTCTCTCAAATAAATAAATAAAATCTTTAAAAAAAAAAAAAAAGAATTATCTGAGTGTCTCTGAATGGTGGCAAGACTGTTCCTCAAAACAAGTGCCTCCGGGGACTACAGGAAAGTCAGGCTGCTCTGGGGGCCCTGCATCCTCCAAAACCTACTGGAGGCTCTAGTCCTGGCTTGGCCATTAACTTCTGCATGTGTCAGCTCCCTCCCTGGGCTCCCATGTCCCCATCTGTGAAAGAAAGGATTGGATGGATCATCTGAGGTTCCCCTGCCCTAAAGCAACTGTGTATGTGTGTGTGCGCACGCGAACACATGCTCATGCATGAATATAAGTGCTTGTGGACATGTGGGCATGCATGCTGTGTGTGCTATGGTGATTTGGGTGCACACATGTAATGTGTATGCATGTGTATTACCTGTGTGTGTCGATGCATTGATTGAGTTCTCCTGGTTACAAGGAACAGAGACTTGTGCAAGCTCCTTCTCTTGGTCACTTTGGACTTGCAAACTGCAATATTTTCAGAACCCACTCTATTCATGGGGGGAGGAGGTCCTGTACTGAAAGGGTTGGTTTTGTTGGGTCTCTCCCACTCGGGATTAGAAGATCCATGAGGGCTGTATCCCCAGTGGCTAACACCACATCTGATACTTAGTAGATGCTCAGTAAATAATTGTTGGAAAATGAATACATAAAGAATTGTTTTCACTGCATTGTCATTCTTCTCCCGGCCCTGTAAGCTCTGCTAAGGAACTCTGTACCATCATAAACCATAGCTGTTCTCAGCAACCGTCCTGAACTCAGTTCACCTTGGGCCCAACCACACTTCATCTTTTCTACCCACTTTGTGCTACACTCTATATTTTATATAGTTATCACATCAAATCCTCACTACAAATATAGAGGAAAGGCGATGTTATTCCCATTTTTCAGACAAAGAAATCTAGGCTCAGAGAGCAAGTAACTTGTCCAAAGTCACATGCTAGTAATTGAAAAAGCCAGGATTTAACCCTGGGCCTGGCTCGTAAAACCTACTATCCTGCTTCCTGCTAGAGAGGCTGAGACAGAAGCCAGCTGCCCTTGGTCCTGCTCAGTGCTCACAATGAGGAGGGAACCTGACAGCCAAGAGTTAATAAGACAGCACATCCTTGAGCTGGCTGTCAGCAGAGTATCCACTCCATGGCTATTTCTAAAACAGGTTCTCCCAAAATGAAAGAATGTATTGTCATGAACTGGAAATTGTTTTAACAAAACAAGTCACTGATAACACTAACCTTAACATCTTCCAGATCTAATGCTGTTTTTCTGCAGTCTATGGAATGGGAAACTGAGTCTCAGCCAAGTTCTCATCCAGGCACTCAAGCAGAGGCAAAGTTTATTTTTGAGAAAAACACAGGTCTCCAAAGAGTGGGTTAACACTCTGGAAGGACGAGGTGAAAGAGTGCTGTGATTTTCAGGACAGAGTGTGGGCTGCTTTCCCACCTACCCCTCAGGAATCTAAGGTAACACTCACTGAAATCGACAAAGTGAAATTGCTGTCATTCAGGCTCCCTCTGCCCAGAGGACCTGATCTTTTTTTAAGCACTGTTTAGTGGGCTGGATTTATTTGGAAGAAATAAAATCAAGCAATTGTTCAGCAACAGTGAGGCTAGACATTGGCCTTCCTCTTTGCTTTTACCTGAGTTACCCAACACGGTGTGCCTCCCCAACACATACCAGACATATTTCTGAATTACAAAGGAATGTGTGTTCATTACAGAAGGAGAATGGAATGTAAATGAACATAAAGAATGCATTTTAAATCACTCCTGATCCCCCCATGCAGAGACAACTGCTGTTTAATATATGTATGTGTCTCCAAAACCAATGTTTTGCTCTTTTCTGTAGAAAAGCAATTTATTCCAGGTTAAGTAAAGGATCACTCATGTAGGAGTTTACTTAATCAACCAGTATATTACACTTATTAGGGATTTTTAATAGAGAAAAGTACAAAAAGAAAACATGGTCCATGATGCCCACTCTCAAGTATTTCCAATTAACACTTTTGTAAAAATGTAATGCAAGCAATGTTTTGAAGAAGAAGAAGAATGGGAGGAGGAGGAAGAAAAGGAAGGAAGGAAGGAAGGAAGGAAGGAAGGAAGGAAGGAAGGAAAGAAAGAAAGAAAGAAAGAAAGAAAGAAAGAAAGAAAGAAAGAAAGAAAGACAGACAGACGGGAAAGAGGGAGGAATAGAAAGAGATAAAGCAACAAGTGAAAGTCTTCTCTTCATTCCCAGAACCTTAAAGGTAGCCACAGTCAGCTTCTGCTGTCTCCCTGAAAAAAAAGTGTATGCATAATCAGCATATACACCCAAGTGAAGTCAACATAAGTCAGCACACAAGCATATCTCTCTGCCCTTTCTTCTTTTACTCCATAATATCATTTTTCCCAAAGAGCACATACAGATCTACCTCATTCTTTTTTTTCTTTTAAGTAATCTCTATACCCAACGTGGGGCTTGAACTCAGGACCCCGAGATCAAGAGTCACATGCTCCTCGACTGAGCCAGCCAGGCGTCCCTACCTCATTCTTTTATGGGTTCCACAGTATTTCATCACATGGATATTCTACAGTTTATTTAAGCAGCCCCAATTGCTGAATTATTTGCTCTTACACCTCCTACCATGAACATCCTTGTACGCACATCTTGGTGAAATTTTGCAAGTAAAACCATAGAACTGTTGATTCAAAGGAATTTGCATTTGTGACTTTGATAGATATTGTCAATTGTTCTTCAGAATTCCCCAGTGGGGCACCTGGGTGGCTCGGTCGGTTAAATGTCTGCCTTCAATTCAGGTCATGATCTCAGGGTCCTGGGATCAAGCCCCAGGGTGGGCTCCCTGCTCAGCGGGGAGCCTGCTTGTCCCTCTTCCTCTCCCTCTGCCCCTAATCCTCTTGTGCTCTCTCTCTCTCTTGCTCTCTTTCTCTCTCAAATAAATAAAATCTTAAAAACAAAACAAAACAAAATGCCCCAATGTATGCTCCAACCAATGACACATGTATGAGCTCCTGTTTCCCCAAATCTCAAGCAACATTGACCATTATCATACTTTTATCAAAGCATTATGTGTTGTACTGTATCAGAGAAACAGTGCCAGTACAAAATATATTGAGAGAGATTTCCTTCAAGGATTTGGCTCTAGGGGGCTGACAAGTCCAAAATCTGTAGGGCAGACTGGCCGGCTGGAAATTCTCAGGCAGAAGCTGATGCTGCAATCTTGAACAGAACTCCTTCTTCCTCAGGAAAACCTCAGTTTTGCTCTAACTTCCTTAAATTAATTGGATGAGACCCACCCAGATTATTGAAGACTTACAAGTCAACTGATTGTAAATCTATAATAATATCTATAATATATAATCTATATATCCATAATATACCTTCACAGCAACAGATAGATTAATGTTTAATTAAGTAATTAGGTGCTATCTCCTAGCCAAGTTGACACATAGAACTAACCACATTTACACACACACAAAATGTACCTGTTTGTATTCTTTGTTCACTTTCCTATTGAGATATTCTTCTGAGAGCTCTTTATATTACTATATATATTAACCATTTGTCTGTCTTGCAAATATTTCCTCTCTATCATTTCTCATTTGATTTCTGTATGTTCTATCAACCAGAACATTTTTACTTCTGTGCAGTCAGATCTATCCATCTGAATTTCTGTCTTGTTAAGAAAGTCACTCAGAACCACTTTCAGAGCCATAGTAACCACCTCGTTCACCTAGGCTTTCTAAATGTTCCCCCTAAACCATAAAGTCACAGGAAAGCAGGGTGCTGAGGCAATATTAGCCCAGCTTCCATTGAGAGGTGTTCGCTGAAGAACAATTTAATGTCAGGCCCTGGCTTTTAGCAAGGGTCAACAGAAAAACTAGAGGATATAAAGAACTTATCAAACTCAACACCCAAAAAAAACAAATAATCCAGTTAAGAAATGAACAGAAGACATGAACAGACATTTTTCCAAAGAAGACATCCAGGTGGCTAACAGACACATGAAAAGATGCTCAACATCACTCATCATCAGGGAAATACAAATCAAAACTACAATGAGATATTACTTCACACCTGTCAGAATGGCTAAAATTAACAACTCAGGAAACAAGAGATGTTGGCAAGGATATGGAGAAAGGAGGGGCACCTGGGTGGCTCAGTCGTTAAGCGTCTGCTTCGGCTCAGGTCATGGCCCCAGGGTCCTGGGATCGAGCCCCACATCGGGCTCTTTGCTCGGCGGGAAGCCTGCTTCTCCCTCTCCCACTCCCGCTGCTTGTGTTCCCTCTCTCACTGTATCCCTCTCTGTCAAATAAATAAAATCTTTAAAAAAAAAAAAAGGATATGGAGAAAGGAGAACCCTCTTACACTGTTGGTGGGAAGGCAAACTGGGGCAGCCACTCTGGAGAACAGTATGGAGGTTCCTCAAAAAGTTAAAAATAGGGCTACCCTAGACCCAGCAATTTCACTACTAGGTATTTACCCAAAGGATACAAAAATACAGATTTGAAGAGGTACATGCACCCCAATGTGTATAAAACATTATCAACAATAGCCAAACTATGGAGAAAGCCCAAATGCCCATCGACTGAAGAATGGATAAAGAAGATATGGTGTGTATATATATATATACAACGGAATATTACTCAGCCATCAAAAAAGAATGGAATCTTGGGGTGCCTGGGTGGCTCAGTCAGTTAAAGTCTGACTCTTGGTTTCAACTCAGATCATGATCTCATGGGTCTTGAGATAGAGCCCTGGGGCAGGCTCTGTGCTCAGTAGAAAGTCTGCTTGAAGATTCTCTCCCTCTGCCCCTCCCCACACTCGTGCTCATGTGTGCTCTCTCTCTCTCAAATAAATAAATAATTTTTTAAAAAAAGAATGAAATCTTCCCATTTGCAACAACATGGATGGAGCTAGAGTGTATTTGCTAAGTGAAATAAGTCAGTCAGAGAAAGACAAATACCATCATTTCACTCATAGGTGGAATTTAAGAAACAAAACAGATGAACATATGGGAAGGAAAGAGAGAGAGAGAAGCAAACCATAAGATACTCTTAAGGACAGAGAACAAACTGAGGGTTGATGGAGGGAATGGGGTGGGGGAGGGGCTAGATGGGTGATGGGCATTAAGGAGGGCACTTGTTGTGATGAGCCCTGGGTGTTGTATATAAGTGATGAATCACTGAATTCTACTCCTGAAACCAAAATCCACTATATGTTAACTAACTAGAATTTAAATAAAAATTTGAAAAGACAAAATAAAGCCCATAGGAAAAGCTTTGCATTTTCTGCAAAATGACAATTGCCCATTTTGTCATTTGAGGCCCTTATATAAGAATCCACATAAGAGATTCCTCTCTGCATCGCATGCCAGGAGAAAATACTCACTGACTGCATAGACTCGGGCAATAAGTACTACACACCCCATCTGGTTTCCCATTTTGTCTTGGGTGCCAGGAAATCTAGAAGCAACTGTAATGCTCAGATACAGGAACAAGCCATCTCACTCTGGGACTGAAGATTTCCTCGGGCAGCATCTTTAACCGCCCTCTTGTACAGTTTCGTTGTAAGCCACCTCAAATTCCTTTTGGAAGTAGATGAAGCCCAAATACAAACATAAACAAAATGACTTAAGACAACAACAAACTGGGGTGCCTGGGTGGCTCCGTTGGTTAAGCGGCTGCCTTCAGCTCAGGTCATGCTCCCAGGGTCCTGGGATCGAGCCCCGCATCGGGCTCCATGCTCAGCGGGAAGCCTGCTTCTCCCTCTCCCACTCCCCCCTACTTGTGTTCCCTCTCTCGCTGTCTCTGTCTCTCTGTCAAATAAATTTAAAAATCTTAAAAAAAAAAAAAAAAGACGTAACAACAAACTGAGGGTTGTTGGAGGGGAGGTAGGTGGGAGGAAGGGGTAACTGGGTGATGGGCATTAAAAGGACACTTGATGAAATGAGCTCTGGGTTTTATATGCAACAGATGAATCACTAAATTCTACCCCCGTAACTAATAATACAGTATATGTTACCTAACTGAATTTTTAAAAAGAATTTAAAATATTAAAAAAAAAAAGAACAAAAACACCTGTCTGAATGGTGGCAAAGTTGGCACAAAAGTTTCTGTAGAACCATGATTAATCAACATTTTCACAAATGCTCCCTAGGAGGGAAGGTACAGTGGAAAATCTGGATCTGAGGTTGACATTCAGCTTCTCCAAGCAGTGAAATTTGGAGCGAACCTAGAGAAATTTTAGGAAAATCCTGGCAGCTATTGTGGAGAGAATAACTCCATTGTGTATCTAAGGTAATGGATTTAGGCAGACTCATCCCTAACATTTGGGGGACCAAGGCTAGAATACAAATGGATATCCATATACAACGTGTCTCAATATTTTAATGTTCTAAAGCAAGCTTAAAAAAACTATCAAATCAAGTGTGTCCTATCTTCCTACCTTGACAAACACATCTTCCTACGGACCTGGAAACCAGGTTTGAATATAGGATTTTCAGAAATTCTGCACCAAAACGTGGCAGCAGTATCCTGCCCCTGCCCCCAGGCAGGATTTGGCAGGACCTGAAGTGCTGAACCCTGTCACCCTGGACCATACCCCCACTAAGCCAGAACAGGTCCCAAGAAGATGGAACTCTTTTCATATAATGAGAGAAGAAAATGAATCCTTCACCCTGAAAAGGAAAAGGATAAAAGGGAAAAGAATGTTGATGTGTTATATCCTTTAGTAAATGAAGAAGGTGGACATGGAGGGACTGACCCTTCACCTTCTGAAATAGTCTCTCTAGGGAGCACTTCTTCAAGCCCAAGAAAGTTGGATTTGAGATGTAAATTATTAAAGCCACTGCACACAACAAACAAATGGAGCCCTTTAAACCAGGAGGAAATAAAAGCTGAATCGAATTTGGTTTGTGAAGTGGAGGTGGGGGACCATAGTCAGGGGACATCCAAAGTCAATATTACAAATAATCTCATGTGCCACCGTCAGAGCCAAAGAGTGTTAGGTCCATGGGTCCAACCCCAGGAGACCCTGCCAATCCTTATGCTCTTACATTTTTGGCTTTTTGCATCTTTATGGCTTTGCAAGTCCAGCTGAAGTTGGCATCTCTTGAGCCTTTCCAATGACTTTGAATGCTTGTCTTTGGAAAGTAGCTATTGTCCATTTTAAAACTAAGGCATTTAGAACTCATTCATTCATCCATCCGCCCATTCATTCATTCATTGAGAGCCTACTGAGTACCAGCCTCTAGGTGTATGTATATTTCCTCTCTATTGCTTATGATTTTCTTCCCTGAGCTGACCTTCCCGACTAACTCTCCCTACGACTTCCTCCAGGTACAGAAGTAGCCATTCCCTTCTTTCCCAAACTCTCCTTCTCTTGAAATGCTGTCCTCTCCAATGCTCCAGAGCCAAGGGCAAACACTTTCAAGGCATATATCCAGACATTCTGATTTTTTTTATTCTATAGACAATGTTTTTTTAGACTTTGTGTTACTCTCCCAAGAAACGTGCCAAAGGGAATTAAAAGTGCAGGGAATTTATTAAGGGAAATACCTATGAAAAAAAGTGGGGTAGGGGCACCCGGGTGGCTCAGTCGGTTAGGCATCTAACTTTGGCTCAGGTCATGATCTCAGGGTCCTGGGATCAAGTCCCATGTTGGGGCTCTCTGCTCAGCGGGGAGTCTGCTTGTCCCTCTCCCTCTGCCCCTCCCCCATTCATTCTCTCTCTCTTTCTCTCAAATAAATAAATAAAATCTTAAAGAAAAGAAAAAAGTGGGGTGGAAGCTGGGAGAGGCAGAGAGAGCCCACAGACCATGATGCAGGTCTGACCCCAAGTGAAGGAGACCGCCGTGCAATCTCTGGAAGGATCTGTAAAACTGTCCTAGAGCCAAATTCAGCCATTAGGGGAATCCTGTGTCTCCCAGAAACAAGCCTGCCTCAGTGTCCCTGCCACACTCTGCCTTTGGCTGGGAACAACCAGTGATAAGAATGGCCTCGGTGCAAACACACCTCTAGGGCATTCAGAGGGCACAGTGGGGCCTCAGTGAGTTACACCCCTATGGTTGGAAGTCTGAGAAGCAAGCTCTCATGGTCACCTCAGATGTTCATTAACATGGGGCAAAACAAGTTTCCTTCTATTCTTTCATGCCTCTTCAGTGACTCAGATTAGGAAATCAAGAGTTTGGGGGGGGGGGTGTATGTGTGTGTGTGTGTGTGTGTGTAGAAGGAGCCCACTCCCACAGCCACAACGGCGTCTCCAAAGCCCAGTTCACACTGCAGACCCTCACCCCTCTCTTGCTCCCTTTCAGACCATCCTGGTGGGTGACAGTGGCGTGGGGAAGACATCTCTGCTGGTTCAGTTCGACCAGGGCAAGTTCATCCCGGGCTCCTTCTCGGCCACCGTGGGCATTGGATTCACAGTAAGCGCTCCCAGACTCTGGGGCCCTGGTGTGTCTCTGTCAGGGTCCCAGCAGGAAACAGGTGGACGCTCACATTGGATCATTCAAGAAAGTTGAATACAAAGACTACTTACCAAGGTGGAGGCAGGGTGTTGGGGAACCAGGGGGTATGGTGCAGTGTCCGTGCATGGCGCAGGGCCTCCGTTCCAGCCCTAACCTAAAAAAAAAAACAAGAGGAGAGATCTACTGTCAGAACCTGGGGGAAAAGGCCTGCAAGGGGAGGGCTGGCTGGCAGGAGCTGTGACCCTCAGTGGAGAAACCCAGCAACTCATAGTCACCCTCCTGGGAGCTAACCAGGGCAACAAGGCAGCTCCCTCCTACCGTGCTCTCCTCCTGCTCCCCCATCTCTTCCTGGGGCTCCCCATTGGCTGAACACAACTGGAAACCAGAAAGAATATCTTGATACAGATTGCTCAGGTCCACCTTCCAGGGCAAGAAGAATGTGGAGAAGCAAAGGGATGGCTTCAGATGTTAAGTACAGTCCAAATTTAACACTGTTGTGTGGGTCCTAGGGAGCTGGCAGGCCAACAATTAAAGTTTTGTTCTTAGCTCTCTGCCTCTCCCTGGATCTCCTCAGGATCAGGATGGAGCAGAGCACAGGGCCTGTGGGACCACACTCAGGGCTGAAAGCACACTGGTGGGAAGAGGCAAGGGGAACCCCCAGAAACTGGACTTGCCTGTTAGGTCACAGCAAGGAAGGCAAGGACTCATGATGGCCAGGGATTCAGAGTAAAGCAGAAATGAAAGCCTGGCCAGCATGCGTGCCAGGGCCTAATCCAACCTGAGACACCAGCGCCCAGCGTTCTCCCATGACCGGCCTCCAGAGTGCTGGGAAGGACAGGGCTGAGTCCCAGGAGAACAAGCCTGCCCAGACAATTCCTGAGGCCTTGGACCAGGCTGCCATACCAGGCATCCCCCACCATGGGCCCGTTCCCCGTCTGCCCCTCAGCACGCAAGTTCACAGGGGGCCCTCACAGGCACCAGCCTTCTCCCTTCACTCCACGCCCATTGTTCCGCCTGGCAGACTCAGAGGGCAGACAGTGGGGTAGATGTGGGTGGGAACGCTCTGATTCACACTCCACAGATGCATCGGGGTGGGACCTCCAAATTTTGCCGCTAGCCTAGTAAGAAAAGTGTGGCATCTGACCTCTAAGAAGGAAGAAAGTATGTGGTCAAACTGAGAGCCTGAAGCAGGCTGACACAGGACAGGCCTGGCTCTCCCAAACCTACCACAGGACAAAGGAGGGTCTTGGTGGAGCCAACAACGCAAACTAGGGATGGAAGTCAGAAGCCCACATTTCCCTCTGCAGGCTCTAGGAGGGGCTCCTTCCTTGCCTCTTCCAGCTTCTGGTGGCTCCCAGCAATCCTTGGCATTTCTTGGCTTGTAGATGCGGCACCCCAATCTCTATCTCTGTCTTCACAGGGCCTCTTCTCCAAGGACACCAGTCATATTGGATTAAGGGCCCACCCTACTCCTGTACGACTTCATCTTAACTACTCACACCGGCAACAACCCCACTTCCAAATAAGTTCTCATTCTGAGGGAGTAGGGGCTAGGACATCCACAGATGGTTTTAGGGATGTAATGCAACCCATAACAGCGTAGTTTGCAGTAGACGGGGAGCAAGGGCCATGCCTCCTCCTCTCTCTCATTTCTCGTCGGCCATTACTCTCTTGCTCTGAAAACCGTTGCCCCTTCAGGGTTCCGGTGTGAGCACTCAAGAGCTCAGAGTGGGCTGGGGTGTTATTTGCAGCAGGTGACTCTGGCATCCAAAGAGCTGACCATACCACACATCTGCAGAGTACCGTACAGCTTCTCGGCTCCCACAGATGGCTCTCTGAGGCCCACCTACGTATAGATGAGGTGATGGCATGCCCAGCGCCAGAAAATAGCTCCAGCTGACGCCAAAAATCACAGAGCTAAGAGGCAGGTGTACACACAGTCCCCACCAGGCCTATAATCTCCCATAAGCCACACCTGCCCCTTACCCCCAACACCTAAGTCAAGAGGTGCAGATGCCCCTCTCCCCCTACACACCCTTCAGTCAGCCCCTGTGTAATGCACCCGCCCTGTTCAGAAGTAAGCTATGCGCTTGTATACAATGCTGGGACAGGAGTAACTAAATGGCTGGCCAGGGCCACAGAGTCCCTGAAGCCTACTAGGGGCAACCCCTGACACACTCCCACTCTGTCACCAGGAGCTGCAGGATTCCTGGGGTGTCCTGGACAGTCTGCTCAAAATGATCCACGACCTCATGAATGCATTTAATACCAAACATCTAAGGCCTGCTCCATGCCAAGGGACGGGTGCCGGGCATGAATAAGGCCAGCCCTGCCTTTAGGAGCGCCTAGATTGGGAGCTGTGTGGGGGGAAGGCTTTCCCAGGATGGGTCATTCTGGGCGCAGCCCAACAGGTCAGGGAGAAATGAGAGGTGATCTGCACTATAAAGGGTCAAAGTCCTGGCATCCACCAGGGGCCGTGAAAACCCACCGTGTAAATGTGCTGCAAGGTGAATTTCGGTGGGTAAATAAAATTATATTCAGAAAAGCTCGCGCTGGGGTGCATTAGCAAAAGCAAAAGTGCCTGAGCGCCTTCCTCACAAGGCACGCCTCCTCACAAAACCAGCGCCCCGCTGCCCGGAGGCATCCCCGGCTCACAACCGGGACCCAGGGACCCCTGTCGGCCGCCAGCTGGCCGGGGCTCGGGCGCCGCCTGCAGGCCACGCTGCGCAGCGGCAGCGAGAACCGGGGCGCCGGACCGCGGGGTCCCCGCGATGCCAGACCCTGCGAGGCAGGCTGGATTTCCAGGGACCGTTCCCCGGGGAACCTAGCCCGGGCCGCTGGCGACCCCGGGGGACCGGTCCTGGGGCTGGATTTGGCCCGTGTCCCCAGAGCGCGAAGCCGGGCCAGTTTGCTCGGGGGCCCGCCTGCCCCTCAGGCGCTGACCCTGCGGTCGTGCGCGCCCCCGCGAGACAGCCTGCTCGGGGCAGGTGTCGTCGGGGTGGCCGGACGGAGGGAGGAGCCTGTCGGGGTCCCGGCCGGGGCGGTGGAGGGTGGGAGGATGGGGTGGAGCCTAAAGCGGGGCGGTCCCTGCGCTGTCCCTCGCCCGCCACCAGCCCTAGCTCACCTCTGGTCCAGGGGACATGACGGGCATGTCTGGCGCCGCTGCCGCCCGGGATGGAGAGGCCCCCGAGCACTCCCCGCCTTGCAGTCCGAGCTACGATGTCACGGGCAAGGTGGGTGGGCACTGCGCCCAGCGCTGGGGACTCCCCAGCCGGCTCTGAGGGTCACCCCTTCCCCGCGCCCTTTGCCCTGAGACCCCGGTCCAAGCCCCTTTCTGGCTTCGTCTGCGTTGGACTCAGCCCTTTCCCCAGGGAACCGGGTCTCCCAGAGCAGGGAGGAAGGGTGGAGACAGCCCCTGGAGCTATGCCATCGTCTAGGGCTCTGGGCTGGCTCAGCAAGGGTGGAAAGGGGAGGGTCGGAAGCACTGAATGACTCCCCACACAGCGGACCCCAACCCAATTTTCTTCTGCTGCACCCTGGCCGCTGTGATCTCCCGGGAACCCCGTGCTTCTCCGTACGGGTTAAGCACACAAACCTCCTGGGCACAGGCACCCCCAAACGCTAGGATAAAGGGATGCCTGGAGACGCGGAGAGGACGCCCCCTGGCGGCGGAGCAGTTGTGGTTAATGCCCTTTCCCCAGCTAAGCTCTCAGCCGTGACCGAACATCGCGTTTGGAGGCCTTAGGCCTGAAGCTCTGTGGGACCCCGGGTGCCCCCGAGCCCTACCCCTTCCCTTTCTGCTCCCGCAGCCATTGCCTCCCGCCTTCTTCCAGGAGGATGTTGCTAACCAAAATGCAGGCCCACCTGAGAATTTTTAGAACCTGAGAAAGATTCTGTTGGTTAGTCACAAGTCCCCGGTGGGTGAGCTTAAGCCACCTCTCTGGGGCCAGATCCCTCTGCAGGGCTGCCCTTTACAGAAGCAGGTGAGGGAGGCAATGGACACTGGTCTGTCTGCCCTCCCTCTGGGCCCAGGGAGGAGTCAGGGACCGGGAACCCTGAACGAGGTGCTGAGGGAGCACAGAGCTTCCACTCTTCCTCTATAAGGTTGGGGATGAGTGAGGGGTTGCCCTGTGTCGTGCTGTGTGGCCTTGGAGGAGACCTGACTTTTCCTGTGCCTTGGTGTCCTCCCCCGCCCCCACGGCTCACTCTGACTAGGAGCTGGGGCCTCCACCCCCATTGTTTCAGGGGAAGCCACTCTGCAAGTCACCCACCCAGAGCCGTTGAGATAGGCGTCCTGTGTGGGCTGGTGGCAGGAAATGGGCCCCTGTGCCTTCAGAGGAGGGGGAGCTGCTAAGGGCCAGGCCCCAGGCTGGTGGGGACCTCCTGACCTCCTGGCCTGACAAGCCAGCTGGGCTCTTTGCCTAGGAGGTGGCAAGGCTGGGCTGGAATCGCCTGGCTGGGTGGGCAGTGAGCATCTTTTGTTCAAGGCAGCTGTGATCTGAAAAGGACGCAGGAGCTCACCCTCCCTCCTTCCCCCTCAGGGGCTAGGACTCAGGAGCCAGGGAGCAGTGCTGACTCCAGAGGGCTCCCCAGCCTCCAGCTCTCCATCTCCCCAGCCTCCAGCTCTCCATCTCCCCTGGGTCAAGCAGCATCTGTGGAGAGTGGCCCGTGGCTTCCAGCAGCCTGCATCCCCCTGGGCTTGCCCCAGGAGACTGAGTCCAGGCCAGTCTGGGAGGAGCCTGGCAGGAGCTCCTTGGGCCAAATTAGAGGGAATGGGGGCCACAGGCAGGCAGCACCCAGCCCCGGGCCACTCTTCCCTGAGTCTCAAGTAGTTCACATCAGCATTATTGGTCCAAGTCATTAATAGACTCCAAAGAGGCCTCAACAAAATTATCCTTCCTCCCTTCTAGCTGCTGTGGAAACCATGCCACAGAAGGGTTAAGGAATCTTCCGAACATCCCCCAGTAGCCATTTACAAGCCAGGACCCCAGCCTTCATATGCCTTTTGCTCAGTCCCCTTACCTTTTCGCCAAAGTTAGCTAATCCTAGTACCCCATGCCCACAGCAGGAATGCCTTTGGGCTCCATTGTCAAGGTCAGAGCCTCAAAAATAACTCAGACCTAGTCCCTGCTCAACCCATTAAGTATCTAACCAGCCAACTGGGAAAATTCCAGCATTAGGTCCAGACCTCTGTTCTCCAAGCTTGAGCAATGACTAGACAGAAGGCTCCCTTCCCCTGGCCCCACTTGTCTTGTCCCTGAAAGAAGATAGATGAGCTGAGACTGACCAGACAGTAAAGGGGAGGGACACACCCCACCCCACGCGCCCTCCCCTACAGTGACCCAGGAATGCTCATTTGTAGCCATCAGTCCCACTTGGGAGGTTTCTGCAGAAGGAACGTCAGATTCGTTGTCTCCCCATTTCAGCATAAATTTCAACCCTCCCTAGTTCATGCAACCCTTTTATAAACATAAAATGTCATTAGAAACTTCCAGATAAAACTTGTGACCAAAAAAAGAAAAGAAAACAACAGCAGTGGTCATTTTAGAATATGCCTTTGCACACAACAGTGCCCGCCCCTATCAGATCCGATAGCCTCCCCTGGGTGATAATCCCTGGCCACGGTATTAACACTTCCCTTCTGGAAGTGGTGGTTCTTTGGGTCCACCGAGCACATTTGCTGAGGTCTCAGCTCAGGCTTTCAGGAAACTGGGTGAGGACAGGAGAGTCAGAAGGAGGGCCTGAGAAATGAGCTGAGCCAAGGAGTAGAGAGGAGAGGCAGGATGAAGGTAGCGGTAGGCTTTCCAGAACCAGGTGGCCCTCAGTGCCGACAGCATCCTTCCCTGGCCCTCTGGCCCTCTGCTCCTCCCCCCCTCTTTCCAGGGTCTCTCACCCTGGAAGCCCAGAAATTTGCCCCAACTCCCCATTAACTGCCTCTGCCCCCCATCTCCTAGGTGATGCTTCTGGGAGACTCAGGCGTTGGCAAAACCTGTTTCCTGATCCAATTCAAAGACGGGGCCTTCCTGTCCGGGACCTTCATAGCCACGGTCGGCATAGACTTCAGGGTGAGGTGGCTGCCGGCTCCTCCTCCCAGCTGCAAGTCAGGGGGCCAGGGCTCAGGCACAGCGTGCTGTCCTCTCCTTGCCGACCCTGGCTCCTCCGAGCTGCTGTGGCTCACTGCCCAGAGGGCGCCAGGGGTGCTCCCCCTTGGGACCACAGAGGGGGCCAAGTTCAAGGAGTCTGGGCATGGTCGGGGGCTCTCTGCCCACCTACAGGATATGAGCAATGAGACACTGAGTCTTAAAATTCTGCCCTATAGCAAGGCGGACACATCCCACGGTATGAGCTGAGTTTCCTGGCCTTCAGCCCCCTTGCTCATTGCCCTCTGAGCTGGGCCCCTCTGGCAAGGCCCCAGAGGTCAACAGGTCTTTCTGGAGTTCCTGGAAACACAGCACTGCACTGGGTTGAAGAGCCGGGCTCACCAGGCTCCCTCCCAGTCATCTTGAGGAACCCATCTTTACAAATCTGTGTCAGGGATGTAGCACTCAGCCACTCTCCACCCAAAGGGTGCAGGAGAGTAAGGTCTAACCCCAGGTGGGGGTGGGGGAAGGGAGGCAATGCAGAGGCCAGGTGCCTCCCTCCCAATGGGAAGGAACTGAAGCTTCATTCAGGAGAACTAGTGAACAGCTAGAGGGAAAGACCACCCTGCAGGTCCAGCCTCAGCCGTGCCCAGGATGCTGGGGGGCATCTTCTCTCTAAGGACTCAGTTCTGCAGGATGGGGCTGAGCTCCGGGAGGGCTGGATGGAAGTGAGAAAGAGGCAGGGCCCCCAGTGCCCAGCCCTTGCCACCTGCTGAGGTCTGGGCAGAGCCAGGCAGGTGCTCGGGCTCTTCTGCCCCCGGCGTGTTGTAAGAAGAGCAGACAAGTCCCCAGAAGAACTCTGCAATAGGGGGGGCTCTCTGGAGACAGGGTCCTGCTGCCCTGAGGGGATGATCTGACTGGAGTTGTCTCTGGGGCTCACTGTACCCCCTTTAACCCTGGGGAGCAACCAGAACAGAATGTCTGCTGCTCTGTAGAATGTCAAGGATCCAAGCCTCCCCTGCCTTCCAAATCCACCCTCCCTCTGCCCTTTTCTCTTTCAGAACAAGGTGGTGACTGTGGACGGTGTGAGGGTGAAGCTGCAGGTGAGACCAGAACTGCAGGGGAGGGGGAGGACAGAGGTGCCCGCCCCTGCTCCACACCTAAACCGCAGGAGGCTTGCAGCCCTGCCCTCAGCCTGGGGCAATTTCCTGTGGGGCCCAGAGGAAACGGTTTTTGTGCTTTTGTTTGTTTGAGGTCTCTAGAAAAAGCAGTTCCCAGGCACCCTCTCTGCTATCAAAGGCAGCTCAACGTGCCTCCAGACAAGCTCAGGCTTGCTCCAACGCCTCTCCAGTTTCCCAGGCCTCATCTGCTCTGGGAGACTGGGCATCCCCAACCTCTGGGCTAGGGAAAAGGCTGCAGCCTGAATGAGCTTGTGACCTCAATAAGAGCACCGTGCAGGACACCGTCACATGTTCAGAAGGCCCTGAGCACCTGCAGCAGGAAGTGTCCCACCTTCCCACACAGCTCTCATACTCCAGCGCGGGTTCCCTCTGCCCAGCACGGTCCCAGCACACTGCCTCCTTCTGACCATCTGTCCGTCCCTTCCTAGATCTGGGATACAGCCGGGCAGGAGCGATTCCGCAGCGTCACCCATGCTTATTACCGAGATGCCCAGGGTAAGCCTTCCCCAGCCCACCTGGCATACCCATCAGGATCCTGCCCCACGTCCCCTGTGTGATCTCTCTCTCCCCCCGCCCCCGCAGCCTTACTCCTGCTATACGACATCACCAACAAGTCTTCTTTCGACAACATCCGGGTAGGTCCCCTTCCCTCGCCATCCATAAGCAGCCAAGGCGGGGCCTCCACAAGCTAGGACTGCTTCCTGCTTGGTGGGAAGGGGGAGGAGCATGGAACACTGCCCCCTTTTTAAAAACACCTGCGCTGTGACTCAGAAGGAATAAGCTGCCGGTGGGCATCTGGTTGGCGTGTGGGCATGAAGGCCAGGCAGCCCGCTGGGTGTCTGTGTTACCTACTTAGCCCTGGCTGTGATTCCTGAGGGCAGCTCATGACAAAGTGTCCGCAAAGTACCCAGCTCCGCCCCAGGCCATTACCCACCCACAGAGACCAAGGGGAGAACACAAGCAGGAGAGTCTCTCCAGCCAGCCAGCCCAGGTGGCAAAGAAAGTGATTTGGGCAGTGAGCAGTTCTGTCCTCACCAAACTATTACAGAGTAGGGATAAAAATTCAACAAGCACGAGCACTGAGTCTGTACAGCACCATAACGGTTTCACATCTCCCTGAGCTCAAGGGATTGGCAAGCAAATGCGGTGGGGGGTGGGGGGGCACACGGGGACCAAAACATATAGATATAAAGCAGCTTATAAAGAGGATGGAAATCCACTCATATTGCCACCTCCAGCTCCATGCTCCTGGTAGACATCACCAATCAATCACAATATTTTTTATCACTAAGCCCTTATGTGTCCTTGGAATCCTCAATGAGGCACTCCAGGAAATCGCTGGTGACCACCAACTGATTTAGGAGACATAGCTCCTCCATCTCCAGTTTCCATAGAACGGGGAGTTGCAGTGCTTGGGGTTGGGTAGGAAGGTTGGTAAGGAAGGCTGATCAAGACCAGAGAGGCCAGAACAAAGAGGCAGATAAGAGAATGCAGGGGGACAGTGAGTAGCCCAGGAAAACCAAACAGGACAGAAGAAGGATGGGGGAGAGGGAGGAGAGAAGGGCTGGTTCTCAGGCATGGCCTGGCTCAGCTCACCCTCTCCCACAGGCCTGGCTCACTGAGATTCATGAGTATGCCCAGAGGGATGTAGTGATCATGCTGCTGGGCAACAAGGTGAGTGAGCCCATTCCTGTGCCTCCCCTCTTACTAGCTCCATGAAAGCCCCACCGCTGCCCAAGAGGGTTAGCCGCATGTCCTTCCAGCAAAGGATTCTTTTTTTTTTTTAAGATTTTATTTATTTGAGAGAGAGAGAGAGAGAGAATGAGAAAGAGAGAGAGCACAGGAGAGGGGGGAGGGTCAGAGGGAGAAGCAGACTCCCTGCTGAGCAGGGAGCGGGATGCGGGACTCGATTCAGGGACTCAATCCAGGGACTCCAGGATCATGACCTGAGCCGAAGGCAGTCGCTTAACCAACTGAACCACCCAGGCGCCCCCAGCAAAGGACTCTTTCCAGACTCTAGTTCAAGGGTCAGACCTATTTGGCAGCTTCAGCCCATCTCATCTGCCCTCATAAAGCTTTGGAAATGGCCCCCTCCAGGGAAAGCCCAGCTGCCATCTGAGAGATCCAGGGATGCCCAACTGCTCAGTCCCCGTTAGATCATAGTAAAATAGGGTCACAGATGATGAGCTAAAACTAGCAAGGGCTAGTCCCAACTACTGTCACCTCTCTGAGGCTAGTCACCACACACCTGGCAAAGGAGACTTTCCGATCTCCCCAAGTGGCAGTGAGATCCCCTGGCTGGGAGCTGGGTAACAGCCTGAGCAAGGCCGAAACCCTGGCTCCAAGCCAATCATACCACCCGCAGTCCCACAGGCCACCAGCAGAGGGCAGGCAGTAGCTGCTCCTGCGGCTAAAGAGGGACCAGCCCAGGCAGGAGAGGGGCCCGCTGGGGTGGAGGTTTCCTTCCCCAGAGTGACCCACCTGGGCTTGACAGGCGGATATGAGCAGTGAAAGGGTGATCCGTTCGGAGGATGGAGAGACACTGGCCAGGGTAAGTGACTGCCCGTGGGCAGGACAAGGGGTGGGGACAGCCAGAGGCTGGCCCTGAGGACATTCTCTTCCTGGCAGGAGTACGGAGTTCCCTTCATGGAGACCAGCGCCAAGACGGGCATGAATGTGGAGTTAGCCTTTCTGGCCATTGCCAAGTAAGAGCCGAGCAAGGAAGGGAATCGTGCAGGGCAGGGTGGCACCATCTGGGAATCCAGTAGGGCCTGGCCCCTGGCCCAGCCCCTGCCCCAAAGCATTGTGCCTTCTAGGTCCAGTGGCCCCAGGCCATGGGAGTGGGGAGGGTGCAGTTCCTCACTCCCTGCCCAGCCCACTTCTTCTTCCTCTTCAAGGGAGCTGAAGTACAGAGCCTTGTGGCAGCCTGGTGGGCCCCATTTCCAGATCCGAGACTTTGTGGAGTCCCAGAAGAAACAGCCCAGCTGCTGCTCCTTCTTATGAAGCCCAAGGTGCTGAAAGGAGGCTCCAGAGGCCCCTGCGGATGCAGCCTTCTCCCCCAGATCTGGTTTATTCTGAGCGGATGGAAGTTGGGGGACCCAGGGCAGAGCCCCTTCCCAAGAGAGAGCTGTACTCCCACCCTTACCCTAGTTCCCGTAGCTTCCCTGCATCCTGGGGGAGGGAAAAGTATTTATTTCATTTTAATGATACATAATGTAATACAAAAAAGGAGGGGTGGGGACCAGAAAACCAAGAGAGGGACCTGGTTGTCCTTTTGCCTTCTGGTACTAGGACTTAAATGGGGCCAAGGCTCCCTCCTCGCCTTGACAAGTGTGGTATTCTCCAGCTCAGCACCAGAGGGCAGTGATGCACTTCTGCAGCGGGAGGGCAGGAAGCGACCCCAAGCCACCCTCACTCAGCTGGAGAGGTGAAGCAGACCCCAGCTTTACTTCCTCCAGCTCCCAGGGAACAGTCTTCCCCAGTAAGATGGGCCCTTGTGCTGGGAGCCAGACCAAGGCTCAGGGAAGTGACCAAGCTCTGTGGGTAGGGGAGAGAGGAGTAACACAGACTAGGTCTATGTTTGGCTCCCTCTGGCCTTCCTAGCCCCCCTGTGGGAGGTGTACCCCTTTTTCTCCAGCCCGCAGACTGAAAACATTTGGCTCCTGTTCTCTGGACCTCAGGTCCCAGGGGAACCCTCCCCCCCTTCCCCCCCCCCAAATCCCTGGTCTTCTCTACCTTTTTGCTTGTGCCCCGAGACACCTAACGTCATGGCTAAGGAAAGGTTTTTCTTCTGTCCCAACACTTTGGCAGATATGCAGCCCCACAGGCTACTTCAAGCAGCTACAGTGCTTCTACCGAGTTAAGAATCAGATCAGGAGGAACCTTTGACTGTTGGAGCAGGTGGGAGGCAGAACTAAGCAAACCTCACCCCACGCATATTCCCCCAAACCCAAGCACTGCCCCTTCCTGACCACCCATGCCTTTTCCCTTTAGACAGACACCACCCCGGCCAAAACTGCTCTATGTCCCCTCCCACTGAGCCAGGTTAGAGAGTGAGAGGTCACCCATTTCTGGGTAAACCAACACAGTGTGTGTAAAACAAAGTCATGTGGGTAAGACCGGGGTAAGGAAAAAGGCAGCAAGGAGTTTATGTGGGGCCAAGGTCACCTGTCTCACAAAACCCTGACCCTGGAAATTGGAGGTGAACAGGAGACCTGTGGGTCATGACCTAGAGAGAGTAAGAAGTACACACCGCACATTTCTAAGGCTACTGCATTTGTTTTCAAGGCAGAAATCTTGCTCTCTGAGCAGAGTCAGCAGCTCCAACTTGGGCCTGATAAGGAAGCTCTCTGAGGCTTCTCCCAGGAGGAGCAGGGAGGCCTGACCTTGCTGGGCTCCTCTGGGGCCCAAGGCAGGTCGCAGGCAATCTAGTCACATGGGCTGCTCTGGGCCTCTAGCATTTGTGTTTTCAGAATTAAATTGCAGAATTGGGAAAGTACACCCTGTCCACTGCTTCTTTGAGGTGCGCATGGAGAGGGGACAGGGGAGATCATGTTGATTGTTATTGCATGTTTGGGGGAACTGTCATTGACTGCCCCAATCATTTGATCTTCATCCTTCAATGCCCCCCAACTGCTCACCTCACCCTTAAAAGACCCTTCCCCAACTTCTGTGATCAGCCTTTCATCTGCAAGGAGCTGAAAGGTTTGTCTTAACGGCCCATTCGGACTTTTTTTTTTCCTATTGAAAAAAGCCGGGGCTCCTTTCCCTCTGCCTTGTACTCAGAGATTGGTTACCTGACTCTGTTCTGCCTCTCTTCCCCCACTTAACTGGCCAAACGCTGACGCCAGTGCTCACACCCTTGTCCTAGGTGACCTGTCTTCAGTGGGCAGCCCTGGGAAGCCTGGGCTCCCTGCTGAGCCCTCATACTGTCCCAGCGAGGTTGAGAGCCCGCACCCTGTAAGCGTGTCCTCGGACAACGCAAAGCCCATGAACGGGAAATATCGTTATTCAAGCAACTTTATTGGGCCGGAGGTGGACCTAGTCTTACTCGTAAGACTTCTGGGACCCCGCAGCCCCGGAGCTGGAGCGGTTTCCCCGGCAACAGTCGCTCCCCACCCCCTACCCTCCCAACCCCTCACTGTGGTACACACAAGGATTTAGCGAAAGGTCGTTAAAACGTTAGAGTCCTTTATTCGTGGGTTGGCTCTCCTCAATCCCCGCCAAAGGTCGGGAAAACCAGAAGCCTAAGGGCCCCTCTGCCCAGTACTGGGAACGCGCCCCGCCCCCCGCCTCAACTTGGGCCGCTTGGTAACAAACACTTCCACTTCCTGAGCCCTCTTTCTTCTCGCGCCGCGGGGCGTCGCGCCGAGCACAGGACCCCGCCCCCGCGCGTTCCCATTGGCCGGCGTCGTTCACCCGGCCCGAGCGCCCCTGTCCGTGGTCTCTGATTGGGCCGCGGTGTCCACACCCTCGGTGTGGCCCCGCCCCCGGAATAAGGGGCCGGAGCGGATTCGAGATCGCTCAGACGCCGCGCTGGGTGGGGATTGGTCCCCGCGCCCCTGCTTCAACTCCTCGCAGTTCGCCGCCGCCGCTCGCCGCACACCTGTTCGCTCGGCCCAGCCGGCGGCGCGGGGATTCTGTGCAGTGCTTCCTCCCGCCTGCCGGTCCGCAGGGCGGGGAGGAGGGTTGAGCCGTCCCGCCTCCGGCTCCCAACGGGGACCCAAGTCTCACTACTGAGCCGTCGCAGGGCGAGATGAGCGCGGACGCGGCGGCCGGGGCGCCTCTGCCCCGGCTCTGCTGTCTGGAGAAGGGCCCGAACGGCTACGGCTTCCACTTGCACGGGGAGAAGGGCAAGGTGGGCCAGTTCATCAGGCTTGTGGAGCCCGGTTCGCCGGCCGAGAAGGCGGGGCTGCTGGCCGGAGACCGGCTGGTGGAGGTGAACGGCGAGAACGTAGAGAAGGAGACCCACCAACAGGTGGTGAGCCGCATCCGCGCGGCGCTCAACGCCGTGCGCCTGCTGGTGGTCGACCCCGAGACCGACGAGCGGCTGCAGAAGCTGGGTGTCCAGGTCCGGGAGGAGCTGCTGCACGCCCAGGACGGGCCCGGGCAGGCCGAGCCGCCGGCCGCCACCGAGGCGCAGGGGGCTGGTGGCGAAAATGAGCCGCAGGCCGCCGCGCCGGAGCCGCACGAGACCGAAAAGAGCTGTCCGGAGCGGGTAAGTGTGGACCCTGACCCGGCGGCGACTGCAAGGGGGTGGGAGGGGGAAGCGGGAGGAGACCCAGGCACCCCTTGGACGTCCAACCCCGCGCCTGCCTCCTCTTTCTGAAACTAGATCCTCGAGGGGGCAACTGCTTCCGCCTACCGACAGGTCGCACTGGCTTGGGGCTGCGTCCCGTTACCCCCACGCTCTTCCCAGACTGGGCTGGGACCCTGAGCGTCTTGCCACCTGCACTTCCTGTCCCTTGGCCTTTGGGAGTGGGAGTGAGGGAGGGCAGCTCAAGGGAGTGCAGTCCCCTTTCCTCGGCCCTGTTGGCGGTGTCGGTTCCCATTCTTCGGATCCCCGCAATCCTTCCCCTCCTCGGCCACCCCACTCCCAGCAGCCCCAGAGGTGCCAGCTTCCTCCCCGGCCCCTGTGGGGGGTAGCTGAAGCTGGGGTGAAGCAACCGCCACGCCGACTTCAAAAAGCTGGAGGAGTAACAACCCCCTTTCCGTCCGGAGCCCCGGCACAAGGAGGGGAGGGGTCGCGGACAGGGTTCTCCAGCACCGCCCCACCCTCGCCGGCTGGTGCGTGTATCATTAACTTCAGCCCGGCTGGACTTCATCCTCCTGAAGTACAGTGTGACTTTTAAGAGAAGGAGCCCCACCGGCTCAGGGCGATGTGTGGGGGTGGGGTGCGGGGAGGAGGTGCAGAGGCGTCTCGGGGGTGGTGGCGGCTCTGCCACCCAGAAGGATTTATGAGTCTCAGGAATGTGAGGAGTAAGCGCTAGCTTGTATCTGGGAAGGGGAGGGGAGGACCTTGGAGGAAGAGAAAGGGCTGGGAGGAGGGTGGGGAGAGAGTGGTCGGGTGTCGCTGGCCATGCAGAAGCCAGGGGAACTCACCAGAGGCAGGTGGTCTTGCCCTGTCATTGTCTGTCTCACTCCAGTCCCAGGACAGCAAGCAGGCTGGTTGCTTTTTGCCCATGTTTGGTGTTTCCCAAACGGTCCCAGTTTGGATCAGCGCAGTAGGAAAACAGGAGCTGTGATGAGAGCCTTCTGTCCCCAGAGAGTGAAGGGGGAGGCCTTAGGGTGCAGACTGCAGGGAGCAGAGCCTGGGCCTCCCAGGGCCCGTTTGGCTTGCACCAGCCCTCCACCTGGTGGCAGCGTGTGGCAGGAGTGTCCATGATGCCATCAGAAGCCTCCCTGGACAGAAAGGACACCCTTCAGCCTTAAGGTAGAAGGTGGATCTGGAGAGGACCAGCTGGTTTGGTGGAAGTGAAGGAAGTGAGGTCAGCAGGAGCCCCATCCAGCCAGAGCTGGGTGCTGGGAATACAAGGGCCGCCAGGGTCCCAGTTCCTGCCACTGCCAAGCTGGCATTGGCAAGGATGGGGGAGGGGTCGGAGCATCCCTGGCAGGGGTTTGACACCAGGGAGTTGGAACCCATGACCTCTGGTCTCAGGCAGAAATCCAGTTTGAACTTTGTGCTGAGCTGAGGGTATCGATTTGCCATTCCCTTTTTTTTTTGGACTTCGGCACTGGCACAAGTAACCACCTCCCCACTCCCCCTCCCCCGCCAAGATGCCTTTATGTTCAGCTCCTCCCCTTGCCCTTTCATTTTTGTTTTCGGTTTGTTTTTGCTGCTGGGGCAGGAGGATCTGGGAGAAGGTGGAGGATGCCAGGGGCTTGGAGGCTTGACCTAGCATAGGCACTCCCACCATACCATCTGAGAAAGCAGCCGAGCTTGACTCTCCTTTCAGGTGACCACAGAATCGGACTCCCCCAGATGGTGACGGGACATCTGCATTTGTGCGCACTTTGTTAGGCCAGGAGTAGGGAATAGAATACCCTCCAGCCGGTCCTGGGGACACCATCACCAGGACTCTTGGGGTTTCAGGTCAACAGGCAAGTCACAGAACTTCTCTGAGCCTTCGTTCTCCCATCTGTAAAATGGGGAGTGACACCTGCCTCCTCTAGGATTTTACAAATAGTGGGAAGTACTTGAGCCCCAAGTGGATGCTGAATTGAGCGCCTTTCTGCCCAGGCATTTGTGCGAGGACGCTTTCCTCCTCATGCAAAGCCAGTCCCTCTGGTAGGAAATGCCCATGAAATCTGGTATGGTGGCCATGCAGGTGACCCACCCTGTCACTGAAAAAAAAAAAAAAAGTTGGGGCGCCTGGGTGGCTCAGATGGTTAAGCGTCTGCCTTCAGTTCAGGTCATGATCCCAGGGTCCTGGGATCGAGCCCCACATCAGGCTCCTGGCTCAGCAGGGAGCCTGCTTCTCCCTCTTCCTGCTCGTGCTCTCTCTCTCTCTATCTCTGTGTCTCAAATGAATAAATAAAATCTTAAAAAAAAAAAAAGTTAATAAACATAGTACGACTTTTTCCCTAAAGGCATCTCATATAAAGAATTTGAGTTTTACTAATTAGTTTTAGCCTGAATTTGTTTACAAAGTGGAGACTGTTAATGGTATCTTCATTGGTTCTCACAAGTGAAAAAGGTGTTAGGTGGACAAGTGCCACGCAGAGATTGGGTGGCAGGTGACATCTCATTGGGAAGACCAGCCTGGGTCAAGAATCCTACAGGGCAGAGGGTGTGGGGTGGCTGTAATACAGTCTGAGGAGGGGGGGAGGGGACTTCCAGCTGTGCCCACCTGCTCCCTCGGTGGCTTTCCTCACCCCCACCCAGGAAGGTTCAGCAACACCCCTGCTCACAGCCCCCACAGTCACAGTGGTGGGTGGGCAGCAGGCCTGAGCCGCCACAGCTGTGCTAGCTGGGCCACCTCGAGCCAAGTGTCTTTTTTTTTTTAAGATTTTATTTATTTGTCAGAGATAGCGTGAGAGAGAAAGAGAGCGGGGGGGGGGGGTTTGGGGGGAGTAGAGGGAGAAGCAGGCTCCCCGCTAAGCAGGGAGCCCGATGCGGGGGCTCGATCCCAGGACCCTGGGATCATGACCTGAGCCGAGGGCAGACGTTTAACGACTGAGCCACCCAGGCGCCCCAAACCAAGTGTCTTAACCTCCGAGGCCTCTGTCTCCTCTTGTGGAAGTTGGAGCGTAGCAGCTGCTACATGGGGTGGGGATTACACGGGCAGGTCTGTAAAGGCAGTAGCTTCGTGCCTGGCACTAAGTTACTGCTCTGCAAACGTCTCTGTTGGTATTTGAATTGGTAAGTATTTCGCTCGTTACATGCCCCCCCGCCGCGGGGCAGCCAGCCCTGGACCTGCCCCTCCTTGGGCTAGTGCAGCTGTGTCCGAGCCTGGCGCTCTGTGAACGCTCGGTCGGAGGCCACTGCTCTTGAATAATCAGAAGGTGCTCCACAGCCCTTCCCAATCTGGCAGCCCAACGATACCCATCAGCCTGGGAACCTACTCCACGAGGCACACTCTGCAAAACCACTCACGGCCCGCATAGCCTTACCCTGCAGGCAGAATGAGCGTTTTCTTGGCTCCCCTCCTCGTGTCTGTCCTCTACGTCTTTTATTGCTATGAACACACAATATTCGAATCATCTGTTCATGATCTTGACCCCCTGCAATGGTGAGGAGGGCGAAGGCTGTGGCTGCTTTGTGTTTCTAACCCCCGCGCTGTGCCTGGCACAGAGTAGGGAAGGGCTCACATAATTTTTGAATGAATGAATGCATAACAGCCATTAGGCACCTTTATCCTAATTCATCTCAGTCCAGCACACCTGGGCCTGTTTGTGCCTCAGGCACACCCAGAGATCGAAATTCCAGGCAGAACCTACCCACTCCTTTTTCTTGCCTGCTAGCGTCTTCCATCTGGGGACTAGAAAGCTAAAATTGTCCATTGTTGCCTGCAACTCTCAGCTTCTACCTCTGTGAAATGGGAACACCAGAACCCACCTTGCAGGGTTTTGGGGAGATTTGATGAGATGATAGGAGTGTGTGTGTGTGTCAGTACCCAGCTTGCGGTGCATTCCTGCCAGATCTGACCCTGATCCCAGAGGCAGAAACAGCTCAGGCTGGGATACCTGCCTGGTTCAGTCCATGGAGCGTGTGACTCTTGGTCTCGGGGTCGTGAGTTTGATCCCCACATTGGGCACAGAGCTTACTTAAAAAATAAATTTGGAGTGCCTAGATGGCTCAGTCGGTTGAGCGGCTGCCTTCAGCTCAGGTCATGATCCCAGGGTCCTGGGACGCAGAGCTCCACATGTGGCTCCCTGCTCAGCGGGGATCCGGCTTCTCCCTCTCCCTCTGCTCCTCCCCGCCCAGGTCGCTCGTACTCACTCTCTTTCTTAAATAAGTAAAATCTTTAAAATAAATAAACAAATAAAATTTAAATTAAAAGAAAAAGAAACAGTGCGGGCACCCTAGGCAGCAAGGTGGGTGGGTGGGTGGGCAGAATTCACTGGCAGCCTACCAACTTCTTTCCCAGGACAGGCAGGCCATTTCCCACTGGCCAAGTTGGAGTTTGGGAGGGCAGAACAGAGTCTGAGCTGTAGGATGTTTGGATTTTAGACAGGGTATGTGATAGTTTGAGTGTTGGTTCCTTCTCTTAAGCCATATATTTGGGATCTCCTTCTCCCCTGGTTCCTACCTTCAGGTTCCTGTAGAGTTAAATCAATAATTCTGGAGGTAATTCTCTTGGAGACAGAATGGGGCATCCTCCGTATGTCTAGATGCGGGCCGTTCTCTTCCTCTCCAGACTTCCCATCCCATGGGGCCCTGGGGAGGTGGGCGAGCACTTAGGAATTAGTGCTGCAGGCCATTTACAGAGAGGCCAGAGTTCTCGACCCCAGTATTAGATGTTCCTCTGCTTTTCGCTGCTCTGAGATGGAGTAACCCGAGCAGGGAAGGAAACTCAGAGTTCTAGTGCAGCCTTGTGCCATAAAGATACTGATGTCCATTTCACAGATTCCCCTGTGACAGCCCTGCAAGTTAGGTATTAGTTTCTCCATTTTGTGAGCGGATAGTAATTATTCAGTAAATGACAGCTATTATTTGTGTCTGGCAATGTGCTGTGTACTAAACATGCCTTATGTTGGGGTGCTTGGGTGGCTCAGTCTGTTAAAGCATCCGACTGTTGATTTCCGCTCAGGTCATAATCTCAGGGTCATGAGATCGAGCCCCAAGTCTCTCTCTTTCTCTCAAATAAATAAATCTTTAGAAAAATAAACAAAAAAAATAATATGCCTTAACGTCATTCAATCTACAAAACTGCCCATGAGGCAGATATTAGCCCCCATGGTCTACATGGAAACGGAGGCTTGGCTGGTTCAGGTGGGTGGCCCCAGGGCTCTCAGCTAGTGAGACCTTACCACATGGATGGGGGTGTATCTTGGAACCCGGCCCTCTGACTCCAGTGCCTGCACATCCATTCAGCCACGCTTGAGGACCTGACTGTCCAGCTGGGTGTCTCTGCCCATCACATTCTGGGCCACATAAGAGCCATCACAGTGGAATAAATTCAGGCTGCTTGCACCAGCTCCTTGGAAGGAAGGGTCCCGGTAGCTTCTGTCTGTAGGGGGTATCCTTCAGCACCACCAGGAAAATGCGTCAGCCCAGAAGTGGCCTGGCTCCTGGCCCCACCCTTCTCCTGTGATGGGCTGGGATCTGGAGTCTGGCCACCAAATCTCTACCTTACCCCAACCCCCTGAGTCCTAAGAACCCACCCTTGTTGGCTCTGGGCCTTCCTTGTAGCACAAAGGGCCCCCGCTGAAGGCCAACCTTAACTGTTGGCCTTGGCCTTCTTTCACCCCTGGAGTAGGACAACTCACCATGTCCCTGGCCCTCTGGGCAATGTTTGGGTTCCTGTGCCTTAGAAAAGGATGAGGGGTACAAATTCCCTAATTCACTCATTGTTGTGTCATCTGAGGCTAGAGCTCTGACTTCCTAGAGTCAGTCTCCTGCCTCCCCTGGTTGTGTTATAAGGTCATGGTGCCCAGTTCAAGTATGTGTGTGGAAAAAGAAAATAGCAAAGGTCTGTGTATGGGAAGGGTGATTTAGAAACGTGTTTTGCCGGGGGCAGGGGGCACCTGGGTGGCTCAGTCAGTTGAGTGTGCACTCACGATTTTCAGCTCAGGTCATGATCGCAGGGTCGTGGGATAGAGCTCGTGTGGTGGGACTCCACGGTCAGCAGAGAGTCTGCTTGAGATTCTCCCCACTTGCACGTGCACACCGTCCCTAAAATAAATAAATCTTTAAAAAATAGTTTTGGGGCTGACAGCCTAATGATTGAGGGTGAGGCCTCTAGAATATCAGCAGGCCATTGTGGCAGCCACTGGCCATGTGTGGCGCTTAGAGCTTGAAATGTGCTCGTCCCAGTTGAGATGTGCTGGAAGTAAGAAATGCACACCAGATTTTGAAGACGTCCTACGAACAAAAAGACATAAAATATGCTGTTAATAATTCTGAAGTGGGTATGTTGAAAAGGTAGCAGTTTGGGCATATTATGTGAAATAAGATAATTATAATTAATTTCTAATTTCTTTTTTACTTTAATGTGACTACTGGGAAATTTTAAATTGCCTACCTGACTGACATTCTGTTCCTGTTGGACAGGGCTACTCCCCACCTGAGTTTAGAGCCTGCCTTCTCCTCCCCTCAGCTGTGTACCTGAGCGATTTATGTGATCTTTCTGAACCTGAGTTCCCTCATCTGGGAACCGAGGGCAGGAGTACCTTCCTCACAGGACTATAGTTGGGTGTGAATGAGAAAATGCACAGAAAAGCCTGGCGCGGTCCTTGGCACCCAGTAGGGGCTCAGTAAACATTAGCTTCTAGTTGTTATTTTAATAGAGCCCCAATTACACAAGCTCTCTGAAGGTCTTTGTCCCTCTCAGGACAGCAGTTAAATCCAGTGACTTCTGGGAGGAGGGTGAGGATGCATTGCCTGTGGAGCAGGCGGGCATGGGGCGGCCAGCCTGGATGGTGTCCAGCCAGGCAGCAGCCCACGTACCAGCCTACTCCGTCCCAGGCTTGCCCAGCCCTGGGGAGACCTGAGCCAAACTCCTTCGGGTGGGTCTCTGGCCAGCACCAGGAGAAAAGAACCAGAGGGAGAAGCTGGCTCAGGGCCCCTGCGTGGGGCCTGGGAGAAGAGCTCCCACTTTAGCATAGGTCTCCCTCCCAGATCCACCCAGCTGGGCTCCTGAGAGGGGCCTTCCCACTGAGAAACAGGAAGGACAAGATCAAGGGCTAGAGGAGGTCCTTTTTTGCAAATGGAGGTGTCCAACATCCCTCAGTCTGCACAGACCTGGGTGGGGAAGGTCCTGTAGGGTGAAGTAAAGCCACACCAGGGCCGTGGGGCATGGGTCAGTGGCCGCCAAGCCTTTTTTTGTACCTCGGGTGAGGAGAGGATGCCTTTAGCCTAGAGCTCAGGACACTGGCCAGCGGTCTGAGCTCCTGGTCACTTCCCAACCTGCCCTGAGGACGGTGCCCCCTTGCTGCCCAGTCACATGTCACCCTCAGGCCAGGCCAGCTCTCGCCATCCATCATGGCTTCCTTGAAGAGCTAGCACCAGACCCAAGCTTGTGTCTCTAGAGTTCCGTGGAACAACCAAGCTGCCTCCCAGAGCAGCTACCGTTCCCAATGCCCAGCATACCCCATATCCCACCCCCACCAGAACCACTCCCCTGGCCCCCTGTCGCCCACCCCATTGTTGGGGCTGATCTCCCTGGGGCATCAGGCTTCAATCTTATCTGCATAAACAAGAGCCTTTGGCTGGACTGGGCTGGGCTGGGCTGGGCTGGGGGAAGGGCAGTCTTGGGAGGTGAGGGTCACCTCTGTTGTTCCCCTAGCCACCCTGGTGGTCTTCCTGTTCTACCAGCCCATTCCTTCTGGGGCCCAGAGCTGGCTGGCCTTCTGGAAGCAGCCTGGCTGTTTTCTATAGGGCCCATCACCATGACATCGGCCAGGGAGGGGCTGGGCCCAATGGGGCGTTGGCCCCCAGCAGCCCTCCTGCAGGAGGAACAGGGAGCGGCCCTGGGCCTGCTCCCCAGAGACGGGCACTGGGATTAGGGTATCGACTTTCCTCGGCTTTCCAGGTGGTTGCTAGTGGCGCCTATTGAATTCCCCATCCGTCCACTCCCAGGGCTGCAGGGCGGGGGGGGGGAGGGGTGACTGGGTGGCCACTTGGGGCCGGGCTGGGCTCCCTGGGAGAGAAGGGGGAATGGAGGGGACAGCCACGGGGGCCTGTCACAGGACTTGGGACAGCCTGATAACCTGAGGGTGGGAGAAGTCTCCAGGAGAGGAGTCTGGAGGCAGCTCTCTGGCAAGGTCTTTTCTGGAAAGCTTGTCTGGTGTTGCCTGGAAGTGAGACTCAGACCCACCCCGCCCCCCCAGCCCCCCCGCTCATTTGCACTGTCCTTTGGCCACCGTTGCCTCTTGTTCCTTCCTCTTGCTTCCGAGTCTCCACCAGGCTCCTCACTGAGCAGGTCCTGATTTCTACTTCTGACCTGTCATAGTTACTGGGAGCCCCACCTGGCACTCTGAACGCTCTGAGGCCATGTTCCCCTTGAAGTTGCCTCCCCACTCCCAGCTCTGGACCCCTCTGGAGCTGGTACTGTGGCACAGGGCCCCTCCCAAGCTCCCGGGGGCACACACCAGACCAAGATGGCCTGGACTTTCTATCTGCCCCCTTTCCCCAGAGGCAGGATCCAGATTCTACTTCAGCGCTGGGGGTGCAGGCCCAGGAACAACAGTGGCCAGGCTCTGCCCAGGGACTCCTCCTGCCAGCACCAGCCTCCACCCTGGCTGCTGGGATGGGCTCCTCTGATGGGCTGACTCAGCATCTGGCAGTGACACCTCCTGGAGACAGCTGAGGGAGGGGTGGAGAAAAACAGGCTGGTCTCCTTGGAAGAAGAGAAGTCCCCCCCCCCTTGGGAAGGGGGGGAGCCCCCAGGGACTTAGGAAGGAGGGAGCTGGATGGGACTCTGTAGGTGTCTTAACATTTCAGGAAACCAGCTGGAGCTTCTTGCCCCCCTGCTCAGCCACCCCCCAGAGGGTAATGGAGCAGGTCCCAGTACAGGGGGAAGGGAGCAGTGGGGGAGCTGAGCCCCATTTCCTCCAATCCCCATGGCTTGGGACTGGCAGAGGGGAGCGAGGTTCAAAGCAGGCCCTCCGCCTTTAATGACAGAGCACCAGACGCCGTGCAGGGAAGCATGCCCATGCCAAGGATCAGTAAGAGAAGCCTGCGGCCCTGAGACCCAGGCCTGACCGCCAGGCTGCCCCAGCCCAGGCCTGCCCACTGCTGCATCGCTCATCCCAAGCTCAGGCTGGAGCTCTGGCTGCAAGAGGCCTTGAGCACCCGGAAGGAAGGCTGTGGTTTCATCAGCAACCAGCTGCCTCCCAGCAGAGACCGCCACCACTGTGGGAGAGCAGCCCATGTTTATGACTCCCGCTGAGGCCTCCTCCCAGTCTGGACTTGGGTCCTTCGGGGCCAGCCCATGGATGGTGGAAGGAACACAGGGTCCAAGTCAGAGACCTTGTGGGAGCTCCGGCTCCTCCACTATGAAGCTGGGTGACATCAGGCAGCGGGCTTAACATCTGGACTCTCCGTCTTGCGAATGGGGGTGACCAGCCCCAGCGAGGTTGCTATGGGAAGGCTCTTTGGAATGAGAGGAGGTGGGGAGAAGCAGGGACGTCAGAGCTGCTTGCACCACCTCCCCCCCACCCCCCTGCACGATTCTCCTCCCCGCTTTCTCAGGGTGATTGCAGGCTCTGCCTGGCTGGGGCAGAAAGCTGAGCCTGCACGGTGGTGGCAACTGGTCAGACCTGTTCCTGCTCACCTCGGCCTGGGGGAGGGCTGGCGGCTTTGTGGAGGGATTAGCTGGAGGGGAGAAGAGCCTCACTTACTCCCGAACAAGATCCTGTGGGGGCTGCCAGGGGATAAGCAGCAGCATGCAGGGAGGAGGGGGGCCCTCCTGGGATTGCACCCTGCTGACAGGGAGAGCTGGGGAGAAGAGGATGCTTCACAACCACTGGGGCCCCCCTCTGCCCCCCCCCCACTTTTTTTTAATGCTTGCTTCTCTGGCTTTGCTATTGTATGGGGTGAGAGGAGCCTGCTGAAGGAGAAACTAGGGAAGGGCCCAGGGCCTCTGGCCCAGATCAGGGTGAACACAGGTCCAACCATCACCCCTCCTTCCTGTCTTCCTCTCCACAACCCCCACCAACATCCTGAAACACGGAAAGACCTGCCTGGGCAGTTGAAGGAAGGCAAAGTCACCCTTCGGCCACCCCCAACCCCCATGAGAGTGGAGGGGTGGGGAGCCCCAGATGGTAGCTGCCTCCTGGGACTGGCAAGTTGGGGCAGGAGGCCTGTAAGCTCTCCTCTCCTTCACTGCCTCCCTGGCCAGCTCTGCTCCCAGCTGGGGACTGGCGTTTCAGAGCAGCCTGGCCCCCACCCTACCCCCCAGAATCTCCCTTCTCGGATTCATGTGAATATTCTAGTGGTCCCAGCACTGGGAAGGTCTGCACGTGCACAGGGATTTTGAAGTTGTGAAGTGTTGCCACCTGTGTGAATTACCTCACTCAGCCTCACGGCGACCCTGGGACCCTATAAATGAGGAACCAGAGGCGCAAGAAGGAAATTACTTGCCCCGGGTCACAGAGCTAGTAAGTAGGGAAGCTGACCCTGGGGCCAGGGCCTTGACTCCAGCCTTCACTCATTGCCTGGTGGCCTGGGAGATCACCGGGCACTAGCTGGATGGCTGCTGCAGCCCTGCCCAGGCCTGGGAGGAGGGGAAGAGGGACCCCCAAGTCAGCCCTTGGGCTCAAGCTTCTGGCCAAGGTTCCAGTTGCTTGGCCCATGCACACCCAGATTCCCTCCATTGTGTAAATGGGTCCTAGGGCTGCAGCGTCTAAGCTAAGCTGCTTAAGTTGGACCAAGGATGGTGAAAACCATTTTCAGCTGAGTGTCCAAGTGCTGGAGAAAAACCTACCTAAGCCCTTTCAGTCCCCACTCTGGGCCGTGGCCACAGCCACGCTGGGCTCCCTGCAGCCTAGCCCTGCTTTTCATGGCCCCTTCCCCATTCAGGTTTCCCCAACAGGGCCTTTGGGGTTCTGCTGCTTCCTGTGCCCCCAGCCTTCTGCTGGTGGGGGTCCCTGTCCTGTCCAGGACCCCTGGCTGTGCTTCCCCTGGGTCTGGGGTCATCTGGCCGCCTGCTGCCTTTTGGCTGGGCCGTTTGGTTTGGATGGGGAAAAGGCTTTACTATAAACATGCTGACCAGCTTTCAGTAAACACCTGCCCTGTCTCCCCTGCTGCAGAGAACTGGGTACCAAGGGGCCCAGATCCCCAGTCACCCAGCCAGGCTAACAGCCGTGCCACCCCCACCCCAAAGGGGGCCAGACTGAACTTTTACAGGGGAGGGATAAGGTAACAATCAAAATAACACAGTTAACCTTAGACTGTCACAAGGGGAGGGACTTGAGCTAAACTGGTCCCGCTTCCCATTTGCCAGAAGGAGGTAACGGCTTGGATGGGGCACCTGGGCAGTTTGCTACGATGCCAGGTCTTCTGGGTCCCAGCCCAGCATTCTCTCAAATTTCTCTGTGGGATCTCAGCAAACTTGTCTGGTTCCCATGTGTTCCCTGGGCGGGGGGTGTCAGGCACCTGGCAGGGAGGGCGGGACCTAGGATGACGGAGAATGGCCATGGACCCTCCCTTATCCCCACAGCGTGAGCTTCGGCCCCGGCTCTGCACCATGAAGAAGGGTGCCAATGGCTACGGCTTCAACTTGCACAGCGACAAGTCCAGGCCAGGCCAGTTCATCCGGGCAGTGGACCCAGACTCGCCTGCCGAGGCCTCAGGGCTCCGGGCTCAGGACCGCATTGTGGAGGTAACGCTTCTCGCCCTCTTTCCAGGCACCCCCTTCCTGCCTACCTCCACCCAGATAAGCAGTTCCTGGGGCAGCCATCCCACCACCTGCTCCTTCGTTGGCCCAAGGGGTCCAGGTGGCACATAGATCCCAGATGGAGGGAGGGAGGGAGGGAGCCAGAGAGAGGAGAAGCATGGTGGGTGGGTGGGTGGGTGGGCAGGAGGGAGGGAAGGAAGGGTGGTGGATGGTGGGTGGACTACTTTCCTGCCCCCACCTTCTCTGGGTTCTTATTCACTGAGAGACACACACTCAGTGGCCCAGGGTTCACCCAGCCATTCCAGTAGACGTGTGGGGCCGCCCACAGTTTCCTACTGCCTGAGGCCTCCATGCTGGCAGGTGCACTCAGACACTCTTGTGTGGTGCTCAGGAGGAAGGGAAACATGAACCCCGTGCCATGGGCAGGACCCAGAATCTCAGTCTTAGAACCTTAGAGCTAGAACAGCTCTCCCAAGACTTCTCATTTTACACGGGAGCAAACCACGGTCCAGAGCGGGAAGTCAGACGTAAGTACATAGAAACGCTTGGGCCCATCCCAGGCCTGCCCGATCTTTCCTGTCCTTTTATCACAGCTGTGTTTGTTTAGTCTTTTCTGGATATTTTCTTTGGCTTTTCTCATGGGTCCTGCCTCCTCATTTGATTGTCAAGTGGGAGGACCACTTGGCTTAGTTCAAGACTCCACAGGCAAGGGGGGGGTGCTTCGCATCCCCAGACTGCCAACTGGCCAAGGACATGAAAGGGACGGTTCATACCACCCCCACCTACCCCCCAAAACTGTGCCAGTAACCCCAGCACCCCCCACCCCCCACAGGTGAACGGGGTCTGCGTGGAGGGCAAGCAGCATGGCGATGTGGTGTCTGCCATCAAGGCTGGTGGGGATGAGACCAAGCTGCTGGTGGTCGACAGGGAGACTGATGAGTTCTTCAAGAAATGCAAAGTGATCCCATCTCAGGAGCACCTGAATGGTGAGCAGATGGCAGCCCCCAAGTCAGGGATGTTGGCCAGTGCTAGGTTTTACTGTGTCCCGGGTGAGGGGGGGTGCAGCTTCCTGCTTCAGAGCTCCCTCCCTCTCCTTCAGGGGAGGCCAAAAGCGAAGGTTGGGAAAGAGGGGCCTGATGTCAGGGAGGAGGTGGGATGGCAGTGGGTTTCTGCGGACTGCATAGGACAGGGTTAGGCCGGCCCAAGGGATGGCGGGACAGGACGGAGGTACTTATTCCCAGACCAAAGCTGCAGCACCAGAGGGAAGCCTCAGCCCCCAGCCCCTGCACCCTGAGCAGGTTCTCCAGGCAGCGCTCGTGCAAAGGAAGGGTTAACTCCAGCTTTGCTTGGTCAGATCAGGAGTCCAGTGACAGGGGCCCAGTGCCTCCCCTCCCTTCTCAGGTTGTCTTGGAAACCCAGGCTCACTGGCTCTAGACAGCAGTGGGTCCCTCCTTGGTCCCTGGGCTCCTGCCCTCCCCATCCCCCATATCAGGCTGGCACCTCCCCCTGCCCAAGCCCCAGCCAAACAGGGCCAGGCTACTGCCCAAGGGCAGGGAGGAGTTAAAGCTCTTCTCCCTGGTCTGGACTTTCTCCCTGGAAAGTTGGGGGGTGGGGGGGACGACCTCTTTGGACTTTGCAGTGGGTGGGGCCTCCTTAAAGGTGTCAGGGTTTTATTTTGTAGGGGGGTGATCCACCTAAAGGTCCTGCCACAGACTTAAGATTCCTAGGTGGAGGGGTCAAGTGGAAGCCAACTCCAGGCATGGAAGGTGGGGCACCACCTTACCCTTGTTTCCCAAGTTCACAGAAACCAGAGAACTCAGATAGTGGCTTTCTTAAGTGAGGGGGAAACTGAGGCCCCGAGAAGCCCCAGCCTTGCTCTTGGCCACATGGTATGGGGAAGACAGCTGAGATCTGGATTCCACACAGCTTCTCAAATACCTTCCCCTGAGGCCTCCAGCATCCTTCCCCCACCTACCCCTAAGAAATCAGCCCTCAGACATTCCTTCTTATCTCTCTGGCTGGGTGGGATGGGCCGCCAGTGATTGTAGCCTTCAGGCCGGAGGAGCCACACAGGGAACGGCCTGAGGGCAAGTCTCCTCCCCAGGTATCTGGTGGGGGGGGGGGGGCTCCTCCAGGCTGCCCTCCGCTCCTCCCAGCAGCCTGGGGCAGGGGGGAGTGGGTGAGGGTCCCTGTATCCCAGCGAGCCCCAGCCCAGCCCACTGTGGGAAGAGGGTGGGTAGCAATGGGGAGGAAATGTGACAGTCAGGTAAGCCCCACGTCCAGGCCAGCCGGAAAGATGCGTGTTCATCGTAAACTAAGAGTTCAGAAGAAACCCACCCAGGCTGGCCAGCCCCAGAGGTGGAACGGTCCTGCCTTACAGCCAGGTGGGGCCCCTACCTGAGTGAGCCCAGTGAGGGGGACCCCAGGCTGGTGTTCTCTCCTTCTGAGCACCCACTCACCCGCACATTGGCAAGCAGGAGTGGGGATTATTTTCTCCTTCAGCTGAGGCAGGTACTAACCAGAATCTGGGGTGTGGTTCCAACTCTGGTGACGCTTCCTCTAGGAAACATCAGGCTCTGGTGCCAGGCCTGGGGATCTGCATTTCTAACAAGCTTCCCAGGTGATTCTCAGGCAGCCAGCCGGGAATTTCCTCCCCCTCTAGGACAGTGGTTTTAACAAATTGCTCATTACCCATCCGTGGTTCGCAAGATCAACTTAATAGGCAGAGACTAGCATACTTCTTTAAATGAAATTGAGCTGAAAGTACTGGAGAGCATTACAAGGTAGTAAGGGTCAATGTCATTTTGTGAAACTTGTTACACGCAGTCTGTGTGTGTGCTGGGTCATCAGAATGTCAGCAGTACTTCCCGAGGGTTGCAGTCAAGAGACCTAAACACTGATGTAGGGCACAAGGTCTAATTATGGCCCAAACCCCAAAGCTCTCCCTCCTCTCTGGGCGCTACTCCATCCGTATTCCCCAGAGCTTCTGGACTCACCTCTGCTGTTTTGTTTTTTTCCCTTCCTAGGTCCCTTGCCTGAGCCCTTTACCAACGGGGAGATTCAGAAGGTAAAGGCAGACCCTCTAATGCTTCTCTGGCTCTCAAGCCAGGGGCTGCAGGAGAAGGGTGGAAGGTGGCATGGTTGGGACAAGGACGGCGGTCTGGCTCAGGTTGAAACTCCCGTTTCCAAGCTGCTCCCTCCTGAGCTCCAAGCTCTGTAACTGCCGGTGCACCCCTCAACCCCCATGTAGAGCCAAGGCAGTTGGGAGGGAGAGGCCTAGCCAGGCCCCTCTGCAGCCCGCCATCCTGGTGACAAGCCCCGCCTTCAACTCCCCACCGTACAGAAGAGGCCATTCTTCCCCCCAAGAACAGAGCTTCAGTGTCTGGACGCACACTGCCTGGGCCCTGCTACTTCCAGTCTGGGTTGGGAGAACAAAGCCCCTCCTCCCCTCCTCCCTGGGCTGAGGGGAAGAGAAGGCAGTGGAGGCTGGGGAAGAGATGGTGGGGCCTGGTGCCAGCTGAGGCCGCAGAGGAACCCAGGCGGAGGCTGAGCACCAAGCTGAAGCCTTGGCCAAGACCTTCACTCTGGGACAGGCTGGCGCAGAGTCAGACCACAGAGCTGGAGCTCTCTGAAGGGTCTGCTCAAAGGGCTCCCATCCCCAGGGGCCACTGTGGGAGTGGGGGGGGGGTGGCCCTGGGCCACCTGAACCTTCTGTCACTCCATCTGTGGGCCTAGAACTCTCATTCCCCTTATTCCTTCAAAGCCCTTCTTAGCTGCTTTGAGGTTAAGGTTTCAAGATTCCTGGGGTCAAGTCCAAGGAAACACGTGGGCTGCAAGAAATTCAAGGAGTATCACACAGTTCCCTGTGCCAAGCAGAGGCCCTCAGTATCTCCACACTCCATGAAGCCCCTCCATGGTCACTGGCCCAAAAGGCTAGTCAACACTGAAGGCTACTTTGGGAGAGCTGGGGAGTTGGGGGGGCTTGTGAGCAATTCAGTTAATCCCACAATGGTCCCTCCCACCTGGGTGGTGGAACCAGGCTGCTCTCTGATCCTTAGAGGAATGTAAAACGGCAATCCCCAAGCCCCCACCCCCACCCCCCACCCCCTCCCCGGCAGACTCAGGCAGTGGGGCTTTGGGGTCGATGGGAAAGGCTTGAGTGGAGCTTCTCAGACCGAGGCACCTGTCTTCCCTGGGAACACCCTTTCTCGTTCAGGACTTCCCCACCCCACCCCTTGCCCACCCACACCCTTCCTCTTTGTGCCAGGAGAACAGTCGTGAAACTCTGGCCGAGGTGGCCTCCGAGAGCCCCAGATCAGCCCTGGCAAGATCCATCTCCAGTGACACCAGTGAGGAGGTAGGCTGCAGGCTGGGCGGACAGAGGGTTGGCACTGGGTTACAGGAAGCCCATTCCCAGGCCACACTCATTCCTGGCACACCAGCCTGCCTTGGAGGTCACATGCTATGCCACATTCTGTCCTTGTGACCTGGCTTCCCTGGGCACTGCCCCAAGGGAGCCACCTTGCCGAGGCTGAGGACCAGGACGCCTGGCCAGGCGCTGACTCCTGCCCTCTGCCGCTGCCTCTTTGCAGCTGAATTCCCAAGACAGCCCCAGGAAACAGGACTCCACGGCACCCTCGTCTACCTCCTCCTCCTCCGACCCCATCTTGGACTTCAACATCTCCCTGGCCGTGGCCAAAGAGCGGGCCCACCAGAAGCGCAGCAGCAAGCGGGCCCCGCAGATGGACTGGAGCAAGAAAAATGAACTCTTCGGCAACCTCTGAGCATCCTCCCTCAGGCACCTGGCAGGGCCTGGCCAGCTCCCAGGCCCCAACCCAGCTCCTTCACCCTCCTCCTCACTCACTCCCTGTCTCCGCCCCCACCCCACCCCCAATCGACACACAAATCAGCACCAGCATCCCCCCTCCCCCGCATCGGGTGAATCTGATTTTTTTAGAACTATGCTCTTCCCTTACCTCCGGGAAGGTGAATGTGTTTCCATCCTGCCCCAATCAGAAAGCAGACTCTTTCCTGATCCTCCTCACTGAGTGCTTCAGCCCCTTGCCACTCCCCAGGGACATCACTGCAACCCACACCAAGCAAGACCCGGTGAGAGGTCCTGTTCCCTCGTGACCCCAAGTGATGACGGAGTCCAGGGTTGATCAAGGACTTCATATGACAGCAACAGCATTGTGGAATGGACATGGGTCCATCATCCTTGAGCTGTGGCTTGGGCATCTTATTTTTGTTCATTTGATTTTTTTTTTTTGAGTGCAGTATCAGAGTTTAGAGGGATTTTTTATTTCCTTGATTAACATGATTTCCCAGGTTGTTGCATCCAGGACATAGCGGCAACCTCAGCCTTAAACTTTGTTTCTGCTCCTACCCTGGAGCCCCAGGCAGCATCAGAGGGTCTAACCCCTGCCCAGCCACCCTATTGTAAGGAAACTCCATCAGAAATTCAACTGGCTTCCAAACTCCCTCAGCCTCTGTGTCTTCTTTTAGAGCTCTGGGTGTTCCCAGGGTAGCCTCTGGCTGAGAGGGTGGGGTACAGCTGGAGGGGAGGACAGTCCAAGCTTCTTGGACTCCAGGCGGGGGGAGTAGAACGTGGGTAGCTGTGTTCACAGGGCCTTGGGCCCCGTAGCTGCCTGGGCTTTGCACAAGTCCCATGAGAATAGGACCTGCCCAGCTCCTGGATGCATGCAAGGCTGCCCCCGAGAAATCTTTATTGTAGGAAGTGGAAGGAAGATCCACATACTCAGAGAACTTCATGCAGTTTCTAATTCAGAGCACTGAAATTGTGAATCCCGATGGAGCTGCATTTGGAATGCAAAGACGTGGCTTTAATCTCTCCCACTCACAGCCAGTGGGGTGCGGGATCCCCAGGAGTGGCCAGAGCTCGCACCGGATTCCCCATCTTATCTGGCTGTGGACATGACTGGAGGGTCATGGACATGGTCCAGGACATGCTCTGTGGCAGGTGGGGTGGAGGGGACTTTCCAAGGGCAAAATAACCTGCTCCTCCTCAAGAGATCCAGGTCTCTTCCCCCCCTGGCACCTGAGGCCACATCCTGGAAGTCAGCCAGGGTGGCCAGCAAGGGCTGAGGCTGCCAGGCCCAGTGGAGGGAAGGGAAACTGATGCTCAAGGACACCACGTATCAAAGAGGAACCAGGGAGCCCCTAGGGTTCAGAGAAGGCTGGGTCACTATCTGGTCATCTTGGCCTCCTGTTAGAGCTTAGATTCCCACCATCCTTAAGAGAAACCATTCAAAACCCTTTCATCGCACCCTGGCCTCGGGCCTGCCCCACCCCCTCCCAACCTTGCCTCTAGCTTGTGACCCCTAGTGGAAGCCCCTCACAGGTAAGCCAAGCCTAAAGACTGCTCCACGGGGCAGCAGAGGGACCCCCCCCCCAACCTCACCTGTTGGGTGGGGAAGCCGGGGGGGCCTCTGACAAAGCTGACAGAACTCCTATCACTGAGGGGCCAGACACACAACAAATCCCTTTGTACTCAGCAAGCAAAGTCAGATCTAGTTTTTCTCCTGCGTAGAAGTGTTGGAATACACCAGATGGGGTGGAGGGGAACTGAGGACCCCAGCAATAGTTCCAGCTCCGCTACCTTGAGCAAAGCACCGCAACTCACCTGAAGGTTTCCCCCCTTTGAGAATACCAAGTATCCTCGAGGGTCTCTTCCATGACCACATTTTGAAATATATCTGGCCTCTCAATGGCCACGAAGATTACGATGGGACACTTGGGAATCATGGGGTGTCCTGTGTCCTGTTGCCCGGCAGCCCCGCCTTCCCAAACCTGTGCTTCCGGCGCCCCCTTGTGGCTGTCAGGCACAGCGGCCCCCAGAGGCTGAGAAGCGAGGCAGAGAGAGTTGGGAGGTCACAGGTCCCCTTCAGGAAGGTACTGCTGAGTGGCTTCCGCTTCTTCCTGCAGCCCTTACAACTAAGCAGCGGCTCCAGGCCTCCCCAATAGAGGGGTGCTCCACAAGGAGCTGCATCCAAAACACTCTTGGATCCAAAGAGGAGGAAGAAGCAAGGACAAGGATACTCGCCCACTTAGTTTCCAAGCCACCTGTTGTTCAGGGCCTAGCTCGTTCACTTCCAAACTTCTTGTCACACAGCCTGCTTCTACAGGACAAAAGCAGACTGAGCTCCTCCTGCCCCGATCCTACCACGCTGGACTGGATGCTGCAAGCTGGGCCTTCTGGTGACTCACCTGCACATAGGCCCAAGGAAAAGCCAGGAAAGGTGCTGTGCAGTAGGCTTTACTCCTAGCCAGGGCCTCCACCCCAGGGTGGCACCTCTGGCCTTCCATTCACCAGGCCCCCATTCGCCTCTGCTCCCACCTCCACCCTGCCTCCTGGGGGTTTACGCTGTCCATTCCAGGTTCCGGGAGTCCAGGGCTGGCCAGGAGGATGGGCTAGCCCTGAAGTCACTCATCACATGGCCAGCCTGAGGGAGGCCAAGGCAAGTCCGGCCCAGAGTCGGAAGGGCCCCACAGGGAGATTCCCAGGCTACAGAGGGGCCAGGGGCACTATGCCCCAAAGGCCCTGACAGTTCACCTTCTGTTACAGGGCTCTGGGCTTTTAGACTGCATGGTCCCAAACCCCCATTCACACAGGGTGGCTGCCAACAAGGCCAGCTGTCAGTGGGACTCCGACGACCCATCTCTATAGCACTTCTCTTCCACATGGCTGGTCTGCTCCAGAAGCCACTGCCGCTCGTGCTCGTTCACTGTCAGCCTGAACGTCACCTCTTGGAAGACGCTGCTCACGGCCACCTATGTGAGCCAGGGACACCAGGGGCAGCTAAGTTACAGCCACAAGCTCTAGCACCACTGGGCCCCACCGCCCGCCCCGGGCCTCGCCCTCCCACCAGCGACATCCTTACCTGCTCAAAGTGAAGCTTCCGGAACATCCGGATACTCGGTTCATTTCCTTGCCCAATTTTAGCCTCAAACTTGGTCAGACCTAGTTTGGTCACTCCTCCCAGAGAAGATCGGAGAGAGGGACGAGCCACAGGATGAAGCAACCCCTCATAGCCCCTGCACTTCCTCTCCCACTTTGCAGTGGAGGCACCTGTCACCTGGCCCCCACCCCCCACCCTGAAGAAGGCCTGCTCCCAACATGCCCCCGCCCTCACCTGGGGCCTGGCCACTTCTCCACTGTCTCTCAGGCTTCCTTACCATATGACATCATCATGAGAACAGCCTCGGTGCCTAAGCCTTTGCCCCTGCAGCTGGGCTCTAGGAGAAACAATGGCAATCACTGGCGCCGTGTGCCAGGCTCCACCGTAGGCACGGCTGTGAGGCAGCCAAAACCTCATTTCATCCTCAACTCGGCACGGCTGGTACTATTATTGCCGTTGTGCAGATAGGGAAATAGAGTTGAAACGACTCGCACAAGGGCTCCCAGCTTAGAGGCACGCAGCAACCCAACCCCAGAGCCGACCCTTTAACCTCAGTGTCCTGCCTCATCAGGACAGTCTTAGGGGAAAGCTGGGGACCAAGGAGGACACAAACTAGAGGGGCTCCCCCCGCAGCACGGGAAGATGCTCCAGGGAAGGTCATGTATTTTGGGAGGATCCCCAGCACTCAGGCCCCCAGTGGGGATGAGGCAGAATGAAGTTTGAAGACCCCCCAAAACCGAAGGTTAAATTCACCCCTAAGCAGAAGACAGGAATAAAGCAAACGACCACGGGTGAACCAGCAGGCCACCGGAGTGCCAGGCGGCAGCGTGCCCCAGCTCGGTGCCGGGCTCCCCAGTGCGGAACCTCCCACCGAGCTGAGTGCCTTACGCAGCCTCAGCTGGCTCAAGGTTCAGCGGTTCCAAGGGCCAGAAGGGAGGGAAGGCAGGGCCAGGTGGAACCAACCTGCGATCATGATCTCAATCTCCCCCAAGGAAGGGTCCCCTAGATCTGTGAGAAAGAGGTTTACATCTCCCGCCATGCAGCTCTCTTCAGTGGTGCTCAGCTGGGCCTGCCATTTCTCTGCATCCAGCACAATGAACGTACACTCTAAGGAAAGAGGCGACAGGGTTATCACCTACCCTCCCCGAGGAAGGGAAGGGATGACAGTCTTCCTACCCAAACCAGAGAACTGTAGAGCACTGTGTGCCAGGAGGAAAACGGGCCCAGAGCTTCCTTTAGCTGATGCCAAAGCCCTAAATTTGCCTCACGCAGGAAAAGACGGGGAGTCCAAACAGCAGCTATATTCTCAGAGAGCAGGAACCACAGCTGCGTTTGAGCAAGAGATGTGAGGGGCAGGGCCTCGACTTACAACCAGAGCCCCACATGCTTTCCTTCCCCTAAATCCTTCCAAGCCTGATGCACTGAGTGGGGAAAAAGACAAAAGCCTCAGTCACAGGGACTGGCTTCCGTGGGCATCAGGGTATGACGGTTTCAGGCACCTTCCAGACTTTCCATGAAGGGGTTTTCATAAGGTTACTGGGACCCAGGAGGGCTACAGCTGGAATGAGAAACGGAGGGAACCTGGAAACGGCCTCTGGAGCCAGCCCTCCCGCTGCCAGCCCAGCCCGGGGCCGGCGCTCCTCACTGGCCGCGTCCTCCCGCCAGCTCCGCTGCATCGAATACTCCTGCTCCAGCGTCAGTGGCTCGGAGGCGGTCAAACGCTGCAGCTCCTCGGATTTCATCCACTCGTGGTACCTGCAGGGACGGGGGAGGGCCTGATTCAGAAGTACAGGTCTGAGAAGTGGGTGGTAGGAAAGAGAACCCCACAGGGCTAACACAGGGCTCATAAAAGATCCAAGGAGGGGCGCCCGGGGGGGGGGTCAGTCAGTTAAGCGTCCAACTCTCGATTTCGGCTCAGGTCACGATGTCCAGGTTGTGAGATGGAGCCCCGCACCAGCCCCGAGCTGGGCATGGAGCCTGCTTGGGATTCTCTCTCTCTCTCCCTCTGCCCCTCCCACTGCTCACACTCGGGATCGCTCTCTCTCTCCTCTCTTTAACAAAACAAAACAAAACAAAAATCCAAGGAAAGGGTTATAATAGCTCCTTAGGCGGAGGGCCACAAGCACAAGACCTAGAAGCAGGCTGGTCTTCTAAGAGACCAGCAGGAGGGATCAGTTCTGTCTACCCAGCTTCCCATCCTGTCCCAGGGGTCAGAGCGGAGTAGTCTGAAGTCAAACATTCCTCAAATTCCTGAGCAGAAGTATATGGCAAGCTGACATCAGTAAGGATGGCTGGACGTATCTCCACAAAGGCCAGACAGGAACCCCCAAAAAGAAAAACTACAGGGGCGCCTGGGTGGCTCAGTTAAGGGTCTGCCTTCAACTCAGGTCATGATCCTGGGGTCCTGGGATCGAGCCCAGTAGAGCCCTGAGGGTGCTCCCTGCTCAGCAGAGAGCCTACTCCTCCCCTACCCTCTATCCGCCCCCCCCCCCACCGTGTGCATGCGCTTGCTCTCTCAAATAAATCAAATCTTTAAAAAAGAAAAGAAAAACTACAAGTAGAGAATACACCCCTACATCACCACCATCCCAGCCTACAAGACATTTGCCAACTGCCCCAGCAAGAGACCCACCCTGAGACTCAGTTCTGGCCTTTCAAAACAGTAGACATCAAAACAACCCATCAGCTCAGTTTGATGACAAGCTACCATCATGTCTTCAAGAACTGAGCATATTTGGAGCATCTGGGTGGCTCAGTTGGTTGAGCAGCTGGCTATGGGTTTCAGCTCAGGTCATAATCTCAGGGTCCTGGGATGGAGCCCCATGTCTGGGCTCCATGCTCAGCGGGGAGCCTACTCCAGGATTCTCTCTCTCCCTCTGCCCCTCCCCCCCTCACTCCCACTCTCTCTAAAATAAACAAATCTTAAAAATAAAAAAAAACTAAGCATATTCACTGGCAACAGAGGAATGTCACTAATTTACAATTACGCAGTTTCTTTTCTTACACCCATTTAGTTTACATAAAATAATTGCTTGCTGAAAGTCCAAAAAAGGAAGCTGAGAGGATGAAAGGGAAAAGCTGAGGGAGGGGTGACTTCCTCCAGGGAAGTCTTCATCCTCTGCTTCAGTGCTCACTTCTTTCTGTAATGACTTCTCACAGCAATGTTTCTCCTTCTTAGAGGAAACAGCCTCTGAGATTTGGGCTAAGGAAGGCCGACCCTCCTAGCTGCATCTTGGAAAGCTGGTTTGCACCCCATATTAGCAGGACTGTTACCTAGGCACGTGCTCTGCAGTGTAGGGTACCAGCACCACCTTCTTCCCCAGCAGCAAGGTGTTCTCATTTGACCTCATGGTAGCAGCCTGCAGGAGGGGAGGGCAAACACCAGGACCCTGTGTTTCCTCCCACTTAGGGTGGGAGCCCTGGGCCTTCAGTTACCTAAATGCCTCCCAGAGCTAAGTTGTCAGAAGAGCCTTGGTCCTTCTTTCTTTCCAAACATTTGAGAGAACACGGACTCTAGACCCCTTGCGAGAAGGCGAAGAGGGCCGGTTAAAGATAATTACAAAATCCTTGCGTCGCATCTCAAGGGACTAGGCCTGAGCTCGCCATTTCTGCGTGTCCCTTCCATCCCACCTCGCTTAACTACGAGGCCTCAAGCCCAAGCACCAAGACTTAACCCCAAAGCTCCCATCACGTGCCCCCGTCCCGAGACTCCGCCCCAGGATCAATCTTCAGCCCCGCTTTCAAGCTATTTCCAGCCTTTCTCCCCAGCAACCACCCCAGCCACCGGACTCGGGCCCTCTCTCCTCCCGACCCACCAAGCCAGGTCTAGCCAGGCCGCTCCGGGGTGAGGCGGGCTTAAGTTCTCAGTCTCCTCCCCTTTGCGTGGACCCGTAGGCCACTCTCCTCGATCACCCCAACCGCCGGGGTCCCGGAGCGGCTCAGCTCACACCCACTGCCCGCCGAAGAAAGCGTCCCCAGCAGAGAGGACGACCCACCTCTTCCGACCCTCCCCGCTTCCCCTCCGGCCCGCTGCCCCCTTCCCGCACGCGCCCGGGAGCGCCCCTCCCCCGTTTCCGCCACGCAGACGGCAGCCGCCCCGGCCCAATCCCGGCCCCGCCTCCGCGAGGCGCCCAATCAGCGCGCTGCGCCCCGCCCAGGGCGCGCACGGGCAAGGTGGACTCCGGGCGCGGGCGCATGCGCGCCGTGGGCGCTGGTGCGGGACAGCTGGCGCCGGCGGCGGCGGCGGCGGCGAAGGGGCAGGAGGCGGCGGCCGCGGCGGCCCGGAGCGAGCCGGGGTGCAGGTGTCTGGCTGGACGGGAGGGTGGGATGGGCTTGGGCGGCGCCAGGCTCGGGGCTGCTCCAGGAGGGAGGAGGAAGTCGGGGAAAGGCTCCGAGCGGGGCCCTTGAGAAGAGGGGGAGGCTTGAGGCTGAGAAGCCCAAAGGCAGGGCAGAAAACAGGTTGGGGGGGTGGGAAATGGAGTCCCCGTTAGAAAGGAGAGGTTTGGGAGCAAGGAGTTGGGTTGGGGAGCGACCCGGGCAAGCCCTAGCCCTAAGCAAACAAGTTTGTTGCCCTAGGCGGAGGAGACTGTTATATGGGCTGCCCTGTGTGGTAGTGAGCTCGCCGTTCCTGGCATGGAATGTGGATGGCCACCGCAGAGTGTACAAAGGGGGCGCCTCGTGGTGAGCGAGACCTAGTGGCTTGCGGGTCTCCTTCTATCACTTGGAGTCTGAGCGGCATTGAATACCTTCATGCCCCGCACAGCAAGGGAAAAGTTGGAGGAAACCATCCAGGTGTCAGTCTTCCAGAGCTGTCCCATGACAGGTATCGAGGCCATGTCTGCAATAAAAGTACGGGGCCAGGGTGCTCTCCAGAACTGTCCCCCAGCGCCAGCGACGTCTATCAGAAGGCTCAAGTCTACTCTTTCGCCCTAGGGAGCCGTAGCAGCCGCCGCCCCGGCAGGGAAGGAACCTAAGGAATCTCGGCTGCCCAGCGACCCTTCCTCACTTTTGGAAATGGCGGGTGAAATCACAGAGACCGGGGAGCTCTATTCTCCCTACGTGAGTTTTACTTTCAGGACCTGTTTTACCCACATCGTTGCCGCGGGCTCCTAGAGAAGCACCGCGCTTCGGGGACTGTACTAGTGAGGACAGCGGCTTTGAGACCCTGGTGGAAGCCACGGTGGGGGACGCCGATGGGCAGCCGCGGCCTTGCGGCTGTCCTGGCTCAGAGCATGTTATGAGAGTTTGTTCACGAGTTGGATGCTGGTCAGAGAGTGGTCAAGGAAAGAAAGCTGACTTGCTGATTCCTTGTGATCTTGATGCCGTGACCACAAGCACTTGCAAATGGTGCTACTGCTCTGGGGATGGTGACTGACAGCTGTTGACTGGGTTTGCTCATCTCAGCAGTTTGAAAGCACTTTGGTTGCCAGCTGAATTGTAAGTTGTGCAACTTTCATAGCCTTGGGTGGCGTAAGAGGCAGAGAAGGCTTGCAGAGACTTCCAAGTGCAATTTGCTGGAGTCTGTAATTAGAACAGTTAGAAGGATTGATTTCTTACTGTGTTGGGTCTGTTACCCTCCCCCCAACACCCCACTTCCCACAGGTGCGCTCCGTTTATCTTCTTGGTGTAATGAAAGATTGGTCCTGGTTACATCACGGAGTCCTCTTGCCTGGATGCCTAGCTGGAGGATTAGAATAATCAAATGATTGACTCATGGTGCTACTAAGTATCCCAGGGAAAAGCAGCACTGCCTGAAGTGACAAAAGTCCTCTTTCTAGAATTTACGTAACCTTAAGCAGCTTCCCCACTTTGTACTTAGTTCCTAGCCTGGGGGTCCCTGCTTTGTCTCTGCTAACTTCACAGACTCTAGAGCTGTGGCGTGATACCTAAGAAGGCATCTCAGAAAATATCGGGCAAAAAGCCTTTCTGACACCACGGTCTTCCTACTGGGTCTGTGTCTTTTGTGTGTAGCACCAAAGGAGCCTCCTTTCTCTCCATAATTTATCAGGGGAAAAATTCTTTCTTGAACTTTGGACTGAATCTAATTGTGTTCCTCTCATCTGCGGAATTGTGTAACAGCTCACAGCCTCCTCTTGGTATCAGCAGTGAAATGGCCCCACTAACCATAAAAGTTGCCATGCCCCCTGCTGTTGCGCGGAGCATCTCTACGTTTAGAGATGAGAAAATGAGTTATTTCTGTAACTGAGTTTTAGAAAGGAAAAAACTTTGATGTGCTCACTTTTCTTGTGTCTCCAGTTATTCACATAATCATTTCGCATGTCAGTATGTACCCACAGGAAATTGGGCAGTGAGGCCTAAAGGCCTCAGTGGGTTCTGCTCCCCACCCCCAACTTTCCTGTGTGTTGGTTTTGTTTGAGGTCTGTGTTTAAGGGCATACTCTGGGCATTTGCCATAAACAACGGCTTGCATTCTCTTATCCTACCGGTGGAGAGAGATGTAGAGAAGAGATGGGTGGGTGGTGTTGAGGGTGAGGTGGCATGAGCCGGGGGTTAGAGGTCAGGGTTTGAGGAGACACCGTACCTTCTTCCTGAGTTTTCCCTAGGGAGAGTGGTTCTTGATCCCTTGTGAGACCGGGAGAAGGGCATAGGTTCACCAACCGCTGAGCCCAGGAAAACAGTGGAACTCACTTCACTAGACACTGCTTTGAATCCCCTGCTCAGCACAATGCAGGCAGGACCTGCTCTTCAGGTCTTGCGAAACGGAGATACTGAGCACTTACTTGGTTCATGAAGGTGCATCAGCCCATGACCTGGGTTATTCTCAACACAAAGCCTCTCCCTACTTCGGCGTTGCCCTGTTGTCCGTTCTTTTCCTCTTCACGGGTGCCTGGGATGCTTGCCTTAGCTTGCATTATTCTGCGTAAATTATGTGTAATGGGCAGACCAGCCTCACAGGGGACTCCGGTGACAGGCCCTCTCAGGGGTAGTGCTGGGTTCAAAACATGGCTCAGGCCCGCACGTCCCCCCCAGAAGTGATCTCAGAGCAGTCATGTCTGGGTTCCCTGTGTACAGGGACCAGGAGCGGCTCAGGGCTGCAGGGATTATGTGACCCAAATAGAGGATGAGTGGACCACCACCCAGACAAGGCCCAGCTGCTGAGGGCCCCGCCAGCCCAGTCTTGCCAAAGATCATTGCCGTTGCTTTCGAAGGAAAGGTCACTCGTTTCACAGCCTTAAATCCTAGTCATTGCTTCCACATCTCTGCTGCCTTCTGTTTCCTTTGACAGCTGTCACTGGGGAAGTGGACGAAAACTGCCCATGATGCTTGCCTAAACGCCCGTCTGTGGGTGACACCACTGGGTGGGAGGTAAGGCAGCAGGAACACTGTGCGCTGAACTCCCTAGAGCCCGGGGGCGCGGATCCACCATCCCAGGGAATGGTGGAGAATGGGAGGAGGCAGTTTAGCCTGTAGCGAGGCTTGATGCTTCTGCTTTCGGCCACACCTTCCAGGAGCTGGGCCCCACACTACTGGCAGAAGAGACTGTCTCCTTCCTCCTCCTCCTGCCCCACAACTGCCTTTGACCTGGCCTGTGGCTCAGCTCAGATCTGTCTCCTGCTCCATGGTCTTTGTAATTGGTCCTCACCATTATTATTTTTTTTTTTTAAGATTTTATTTACTTATTTTTCAAAGAGAGAGAGAGCACAAGCAGGGGGAGTGGCAGGGAGAGGGAGAAGCAGGCTTCCCGCAGAGCAGGGAGCCCGATGCGGGGCTCGATCCCAGGACCCTGGGACCACAATGACCTGAGCCAGAGGCAGACGCTTAACCGACTGAGCCACCCAGGGACCCCACACCAGCACCTTTATTGAAGGTCGAGAGGCTTTAACTCTCACCAGGGAGGTGAAGAAGTCTCACGTTATCCTATAGGGTTCCCAGAGCCCCACTAGGCCCGGAGTTCTTACTTTGAAACTAAAAAATAGCAACGGCATAGGACAAATCTGATTTACCATTTCTGCTCCTGATGGTCCGTCCCTAATTAGCTTCTTCGTAAAGTTCTTAAAGGATCTTTTGCACTGAGACTTATTTGAAGTGTCCGTTGGGAGTGTGGTTATTTCATTGTGTTTATCAGCAGTGGTTCTCAGCTGGTGGCAATCTTGGCTGCTCCCCCACCGCCCCACGCACACCACCCCCAGGACATTTGACAATGTCCGGAGACATTGTGATCATCATAACACAGGTACAAGGTTGGGGGAACTGGAACCTAGTCGGTAGAGGCTGGGGATGCTGCTATACATCCTGCAGTCCACAGGACAGCCCCACCGCAAAGAAGAATCTGGCCCCAAATGTCAAAAGTGCTCAGGCTGAAAGCCCCTGCTCTACGGTAGGCCCTTGACCTTTACATCTCAAGACCTTCAGGCATCACTGAATTCGCAAATGCCTCTTGTACTATTTCATTTCCTTATAAAACTTTTGGCTAAGAACCATCACTTTCTCTTTACTTCCATCACGAGAACCTTCACTGGGGCCATTTTCCATAAAGAGAAAGGATCCACCCTTCCTAAATGTTACTGCTCAGAAAAGCAATATGCAGAGAACAAAGCTGCAGGGAGCTGTAGGAACACGGTTCAAACTTGTTTTAATCCTTCTGGGATCTGTCTGTGGGATCAAACGGGGACTGTGATGTTTAAAACGGGACAAAGACTGGGACTTACGTCAGAGAAGACCTAGCCAGATCCAGTCAGCTCAGCTGAGGATTCCTAGCTGGAGGCTATGTTCCATGCACCCTGAGAAGTGACACACAGGCCACAATGAGCCTCACATGGAGCAATGGGGAAAAGATAACATTGAAAACCCAAACTAGGACATAAGTGTTCTTGTTCCAGGGTTCAAAAGAGGGGAGCAGGACTGGAAGGGTTTTGTGCTGAAAGCAGCATTTGAATATGTCCAGTGTTGGGTGGGATTTGAAGGGCTGGGCAGGAGGCACAGGGGGGCAGGTGCCCTCTGCCAAGTGTAAATAGACTGTGGGCAGAGCTCTTTCTGTCCAGCACTCAGGCGTGCTCTCAGCACCTGCCTGGAAGCCTGTCCCTCCCTAACCACTGTCCGGCCCCTTCTTCCCCCATCTCTATTAAAAAAAAAAAAAAAAAAAAAAAATTCTGACTAAGGTTAGGAAAACAGGCCCCAATTTGTATGTTTCTGATAAAAAAAAAAATTCAGTACAAGGTTATTTTAGAAAATTTTTTAAAATATAGAAGAGTGCATATTTCTAAGAATGGGGAAGTAAAAATGAGAGATGGGTAGGTGTTCCCAGAGATGAAGTATTTGTGTTGTTGTTTTTAACAGAAACAGATTTTTAACAGAAAAGCCAGCTGTAAGTCAGCCAATGTCCTAGAGCACGGGGAGCCCAGTTAGGAAGAGGCTGTCCCAGTCCAGGCTGGAAGCAATTAAATGGGAATTTAGCAATTAAATGTAAATGGGAATCGAACCAGAGGTAGCCACAGAAGACTCTTCAGAAGGAGAATGGCTAGCGCGGGGATACGCAGAAGTGGGGGGGGGGTGACCAGCAGACAGTGGATTTGAGGTCTGCAGGAAGGCTGATGCGGAGAGAGGCACAGTCACCCTCTGTCCAGCCGTGGTAGTTAAAGCCGCAGGACTGAGTGAAGTGGCTGAGCGAAAAATGAGTAGAGAGGAAAAGAGACCACTTACGTCAGAGTGGAAGAAGGAATAAGGACTAAGAAAGCCCTTGGATTAGGCAAATAGGAGGTCACTGGTGATTTTGAAGAATGTAGTTTCAAAAGAGCTCTGGGGATGGAAACCACAAAGTACAGAAACTTGGAAATGAAGGCAGAGGAACTAGGTAGCTACTTCAATGAGTGGTTAAGAGAAGTGAGAGAATTGTGTTTCAAAGGTGTCAAGGATGCTTGTAGGCAGAGGGGAGGACCTGGTAGGAAGAAGATTGCAGAAAGAGGGACTGAGCCCAGAAGTTTGGGTGCAGGGCTCAGCGTCCCCAGGAAGAAGGACACATGCCCCACAGGCAGGGAGGGCGTCAGGAGGATGCAGACACTGATTTTTGAACGAGGAGAGAGTGGGGCTTGGGGAGGGCATGTCAGATGGCCTCATTCACCTCCATAACATGGGACGCAGCCTTCAGCTGAGAGGGTGGGGTCAGGGGCTGGGGCACGAAGAGTGAGGTTTGATGGTTTCTTGTGGGAAATGCCGAGAAGTCCGTGGTGGAATAAAGACAGTCTGATGCCGAGGAGCACAGGTGAAGGAACCATTTGTTTGTTGTGGGACCAGTCATTCTAATTAAAAAAAAAGAAAGAAAGAAAGAAAATTTCCAGGAACTCTTAGCAGCTTCGTATAGGGAGCAGAGGAAGCAGGTGCTAGGTCCATCCAAGGCTGGGGTCAGGAGGGGCAGCACAGGGGAGGGTGTGTGAGGCGGGGTTAGACCACGCTTCATGGAACTAGCCCGTCGTAAATGATGCCGAAGAACGCAAGTGACGCCAGAGTGGAGGGGGTAGCCTGGGTCGGGCGGGCGGGGCGACTACAGGTGTCCAAGGGAATGGCCAGGGCTGCAGAGGCTTCAGCTCAGAGAAAGGAATTTCCTGGTTGAGATCTTGAAAAAGGAAAATGACAGTTAACAGCTAGAGTCGAAAAAAGGAAAATGACAGTTAACAGCTAGAGTCAAGTTGGCGAGAATGAGAGTTTAAAACCTGAGGTCAGTGACCTAGCAATTCTACTCGGAGGCTGGTTGTCAGGGGCAGGGCAGGTGCTGCTAGTGGGTAGCTGCTTGCTTTTTGGGGTGATGAAGTGGAATTACATGGTGGTACAACCTGTGACTGTGCTAAAAACCACTGAACTGTGTCCTTTAAAAGAACTTTTTTGTTAAGTTTTTAATTTTAATTCCGTGTAGTTAGCATTCAGTGTTATCTTAGTTTCAGGTGTACAACGTAGTGATTCAGCAAGTCTGTACATCACTCGGTGCTCATCATGACAAGTGTGTTCTTCATCCCCTTCACCTGTTTCATCTGGTCCCCCACCCACCACCCCTCTGGTGACCATCAGTGTGTTCTCTATAGTTAAGAGTCTATTTCTTGCTTTGTCTCTCTCTCCCCCCCCCTCTTTTTTCCCTTTGCTCGTTTCTTAAATTTCACATGAGTGAAATCATATGGTGTTTGTCTTTCTCTGACTGACTTCCATTGCTTAGCATTATATTCTCTAGCTCCATCCACATCATTGCAAGTGGCAAGATTTCATTCTTTTGATGGCTGAATACTATTTTGTTGTACATGTATACCATCTCTTCTTTATCTGTTCATCTATCAGTGGACACTTGGGCCACTTCATAATTTGGCCATTGTAGATCGTGCTCCTATAAGCGTAGGGGTGCATGTATCCCTTTGAATTAGGGTTTTTGTCTTTGGGGGGTAAATACCCAGTAGTGTAATTACCAGATCATAGGGTAGTTCTATTTTTAACTTTCTGAGGCACCTCCATACTGGTTTTCCACAGTGGCTACAGTAGTTTGGATTCCCACCAACCGTGCACAAGGGCTCCCCTTTCTCCACATCCTCACCAACACCTGTTGTTTCTTGTGTTGTTGATTTTAGCCGTTCTGACAGGTGTGAGATGATAGCTTATTGTGGTTTTGATTTGCATTTCCCCGATGATGAGTGATGCTGAGCATCTTTTCTTGTGTCTGGTGGTCATCTATATGTCTTTGGAGAAATGTCTGTCCATGACTTCTGCCCATTTTTTATTGGATTAATTATTTTTTAGCGGTTGAATTAAGTTCTTTATAAATTTTGGATAGTAATCCTTTATCAGATAGGTTATTTGCAAATATCTTAAAAGAGTGAGTTTTATGGCATGTGAATTATATCTCAATTTTCATAAAAATCCCTGAAGTTAGTGTGGGAAGGATGGTAGGAAAAAGGAAGCAGTATGATATGTCAGCATCCCAAAGGACAATGGCAAGAATGGGTGGGGAGCAGGGCTCGGTCACATGCTCAGAGGTCTCGGAAGAGTGGAGGTTTCTTTAGGTCAGCACTAGGTTCATCCTTGTGCGGGGTCCCCTGATGTGGTGGTATGTCCTCAGGAAGCCTACAGCCTGGTTGGGCAGGGAGCTAACATCCAAGGCGCAGCTTTGAGTGATAGGAAATGACAAGGTGGCGGGGTGGTGACAGCAGAAGAGACGGAACCCGATCAGCAGAGACGTCTTGGGAAGAGCTACGGGATATGGGACTTGAGCCTTTGGAGTGTTGACGTTCGCTTCCCCAGCCAGTGGCAGAGCACACCTCCTTTGAAGCTAGGCGGAATTCTGCCTTCTGACCTGCTTCCCCAGCTCACATCTGGCCTCCCTGCCTCCAGTTTGGCAGTCGCCCAGGGTCATCTTTGGGAGCCGCTGCGGGGGAGAGGTTAATTCATTTGGGGACTTGAACGTCACTTCTGTTGCTTCCAGGTGGGACTGGTGTACATGTTTAACCTCATCGTGGGCACAGGTGCGCTCACCATGCCCAAGGCCTTTGCCACCGCAGGGTGGCTGGTCAGCCTGGTCCTGCTGGTGTTCCTGGGCTTCATGAGGTAAGAGGCTGGTACACGGGGGGCCGGGAGAAGCCTGCCCAGGGAGCCCTGACTTCTCTTCATTAACATGAGGAAGCATGCCTGAGGGGGCAGGCAGATGTCCCCGGTGAATCCTAACCAGGGTGGCCCGGCAACAAGAAAGGAGACACAAAGCTCTCCAGGTCTCGTGCTAGCAGTCACACAACCTGATCAGTTAAGAATCCAGACATCTGGCTAGGCTTTGGAATGTTTCACAATGATGCTCACATTGCTTCCCCGGCTGGTTGACTTCCCGTATTGTATACTTTCTTAATGGTACCATTAATTTTTGTTCTCCGAGAAAATACTGCCTAGCCCCAGAAAAAGAATCAGACAGTGATAAGGGAAGTCAGTTTGGGATTTAGAATTCATTTAAGGTAGTTCATGCAGTAAGTGATAAACACACAGGTACACACATAATCAAGGGTTAACCTCACCTCACCTTGTGCCTGGGGGCAAATATGGGGCCAATGCCTTCCCAGGCTTTCAGGGGCTCCTACTCCTTGAGCCACGTGTGTGGGCTTCCCCAGCTGCACTCCACAGAGGGGAGAGCCTACTTGAGGCTCCTCTCAGGGATTCTACGTGCAGGTGGGGACTCATTCAGCAAGTACCCCAGGCTCGTAAGGGATTTAGGATTGTGCATTTCCAGATAGGAATCCACAAGCTGCCAAAAAGGGGTAACGGAACACCTGGAAACACCCCCCGGGGTACCTCCCTAGGAGAGGCGACAGTGGCCACTGTTCTTGGGTGAACAGAACAAAGATCCCTGCCCTCAAGACTTTGTTCTCTCTCTCTCTGTGGGGAGACATAAGGAGTGGAGATAATAAGAATTGTAGAGTAAGTTGAAAGGTGATGAGTAACGTGGAAAAAAACCCTACAAAGCATGGGGGGGTGAGGCTGGGGAGGTGGGGGTGATGGCAGTTTCCGGCAGGTAGTTGGTGGTCACGGAGGGTAGCGGTTCGGCAGACGGGAAGGAGGGAGGAGCGGGTGCTCTTGGAAGGAGGACAGGGTTACAGCTGAAGCCAGTGAGGACCTCGAAGAGGCTGAATGGGATAAGAGAATGCCCACATTTCTCTGTTCCTTTACCCAATTTCTTTTGGGGGTTTTGTGGCCACCCGTGGGGTACTGGCAGCCAAGAGCCCTAGAAGTCCTTGTCCTTCTGTGACTCTGCTGTCCGCTTTAAAGGACCTTCAGCATGGGCAGCCATCTGAATGGGAAGTGATTATTGGGGGCCCCCAAGTAGGGGCTGCCATGTCCCCTCCCTGCTCAACCCATTTATATTTGAACATGATCGATGAGTTGGCTTCGTGCAACCATGAGAAGCCTCTTTATGCCTTAACTAAGATTGATTCTAGTTTTATTTGCAAAAGGAAAGGAGAATCTGAAGTCCTTAAAATGGTCACTTAAGCAAGATGAGAAACCTTTCTAGAAGGTGTGAGGCGCCGGAATGGGAGTTTCAGAGCTGGCTGCCCTCCACCCCGCAAGATGGAGCGGGTGTGGGTTGAACGCCTGCCCTGCTGGGCTGAGCGGTCAGCCTGTGGCAGGCAAGGGCGCTTGAGGAGGACTGGGGTGGAGCCTCGAGAAGGAGGGAGGTGACTGTGCTGCTGGGGTTCAGCAGGGAGGGACACAGTCCTCGGGTTTCTGGGCATCGGCTTTGCTGAGAGGAAGAGCGAAGATGGCTTTTCACTCTAGTCTGACTCCCCAGCAAACGTCTGCTGCGACCTCCCAGTGTCCCTTTCCATTCAAGCCGTAAAAATGTAAGCCTATTTTTACATTATCTAGATTGTTAGGAAAGTAAAGGTACTGCCAAAAAAGGAAGGAAGGAAACATGGAAACACATTCCGGAGCCAAATGTCCCTTTTCAGTTATCCATGCTTGTGCTCCTGTCCGTGAGTGTGTAACCACTCATCTGTGTCCCATCAAGGACAGGTGAGAGCTGCCCACACCCTTCCCCGAAGCTTTCAGAAGGCCCCCTGTGAATCGGCCTCCTCCCCGCCCTGCCCCCAGCAGGCCCCTTCTTGGTGTGTGGCACTGCATCGCCCCACATCCCCCTCTCCCCAGGCTCACACTCTACCCCCCCATCAGCCTGTTGCACACCCCTCTCTCCCGTGCATCAAATCACATTCTAAATGTGGACAGGGCAGTCAAGGCAAGCACGCCAGGCGTCACGTGCACACACATTTTATCAGGTCAGATGCATCTCGAAAGCTCCCTTGGGAGCAGCTCTCAGAAGAGAGATGGCTTTGGACTTGCTGGTCTGGTCAGGTCTTAAATGGTTTTTCCTGTTTCATTGTGCCACCTCTGACCTCCTACCTGCCCTTGGCGATTCCCCTGTGGCCTTGCCCTGCAGCTTTGTGACGACTACCTTCGTGGTAGAGGCCATGGCGGCGGCCAACGCTCAGCTCCACTGGAAGAGGATGGAAAACCACCAGGTGTGTGTATTGCCCTTTCTCCGGGTGGTGCCTGGGTCCAACGCGTGCCACGAGAGGCGGCCCTTGGGGGCCAGTTCTTCCCCCCCCGATGGATGGCGGGCTCATGTCCACAGCACTACTCCGAGACCCTTGTCCCGGAGCTGAGGCTTGACAGCCGCATATGCTTAGCGAGCAGATGCAGTCTCTGCTCTCTGAACGTCATGTCATGGGTCCCTTGAACCCTTAATTGAGCTTGCTCATCATTGTGAACCCCAGAACTGTGCTGCAGCTTCAGATCTGACATCTGAGTGTCTGCACCTCCTAGTGTGGCAGCATGGGGGTGCTGGGGGGTGCCCCTGGTCAGAGAGCATGGGGGTGCTGGCGGGTGCCCCTGGTCAGAGAGCATGGGGGTGCTGGCGGGTGCCCCTGGTCAGAGAGCATGGGGGTGCTGGGGGGTGCCCCTGGTCAGAGAGCATGGGGGTGCTGGGGGTGCCCCTGGTCAGAGAGCATGGGGGTGCTGGGGGTGCCCCTGGTCAGAGAGCATGGGGGTGCTGGGGGGTGCCCCTGGTCAGAGCATGGGGGTGCTGGGGGTGCCCCTGGTCAGAGAGCATGGGGGTGCTGGGGGGTGCCCCTGGTCAGAGAGCATGGGGGTGCTGGGGGGTGCCCCTGGTCAGAGAGCATGGGGGTGCTGGGGGGTGCCCCTGGTCAGAGAGCATGGGGGTGCTGGGGGTGCCCCTGGTCAGAGAGCATGGGGGTGCTGGCGGGTGCCCCTGGTCAGAGAGCATGGGGGTGCTGGCGGGTGCCCCTGGTCAGAGAGCATGGGGGTGCTGGGGGGTGCCCCTGGTCAGAGAGCATGGGGGTGCTGGGGGGGTGCCCCTAGTCAGACACCTTCTGGAAAGAAATAACAAAGGAAATGGGTTCTTCAGTTTTCCATGGGTTTTCTGTAGCATTATATGCCCCCTCCCCACCCCTCCTAGGAGGAGGAAGATGACGACTCCTCCACGGCCTCTGACAGTGATGTCCTTGTCCAGGACAACTACGAGCGGGCAGAGAAACGGCCCATCCTGTCAGTGCGTAAGTCTTGGGGTTCTGGGCCGGCTGGCACCTCCCTCTGGTCCACAGGGTTCCCTTTCTTTATAGAGAGGATGGGGAGTCTCTACACAGACCCTCTGGCCAGATCATGAGCCTGGGGTCCCCGCTTCACCCTGCTAGCTCCCCCACTTGCTAATGTTTGCAGCTTGGGCAGATTACTTACCTCAGTACCCAGGGCACACTGGAAGCTCGAATAAATGTGGGGTGTCTGACTTCATCCTCCTGTCCCACTGTGCATGCATGCCTGACCAGTCCCATCCCGGGTCCCACCGAGCAAGCCAGGGCCAAGTGTCCCAGCTCCCCCCACCCCATAGCCCCCTCATCCATAGCGAGCATCCCTGGGATCCCTTTCTGTAGACTGCTTTAAAATATTTCAAGTGCGAAACATTAGAAGTTTTCACAAGAATTTGAAACGCTTTAGGATTTCCTTACTGTGGAGAATTTAATGAGCTCAGGACCTCCTCTAGGAGCTTTTCCAAATGAAAACCGCTTCCTCTTCCTTGTTCATTTGGCTCCACAGAGAGACGTGGATCTCTGAACCTTTTTGAAATCACAGACCGGGTGGAAATGGGACAGATGGCCTCCATGTTCTTCAATAAAGGTATGAGTTCTTTCTCAAGGTGGGGTGAGGGCGAAGGGGGGTACTTTCCGACAGACCTTGACAGCTAGGGATGGGGCAGGCGATGCAGAGGAGCAGACTGTGGGCCGGCTCCCAGCACACTGGAGCAGCCGCCTTGCCGAGAGGCCTGAAGCGCTCACATTGTGTTCCTGGATCCCTCCCTGTTCATCAGCGCTAGGAAGAGAGAAGCAGCTACTTGGTTCCTCCTGCTGGTAGAGGTCAGGAATCCTAAGCAGCTTTCCAAGGAAGGAAGCCAATGGAGCCGGCTGGTAGCTTTGTGCCTCTTGCTTGATCGCTTCTGACTTGTCTCTCTTTTCTCCTGGACTGTTCAGTCTAGGACAACGCAGGGCAGATCCCTATGATGGTGGTAGGATACACCGTGCACATGCCTGTGTGTACCTGTCTGTCTGTCTGTCTCTCTCTCTCTCTCTCTCTCTGTCTCTCTCTCTCTCTCTCTCTCTCTCTCTCTCGTTTTCCGTCCGCCCCCCCCACGCCCTGGTGGCCAGCAGAGGGCGCAAGGAGTCCACGCACGGGTTGCTGTCTGGGGATCTAAGTACGAGCCCTCTCCACCCTGTCTGCTCCGTAGTGGGACTGCCTGCAGCCGAGAGGATCCCCCTGCCCCAGCTCAGATGTTCAGTGACAACACTGTGCACCTCCATGGCAAGTGTTCTTTGGGAAGATGAGCTGTTTAAGAGCTTAGCTTTTTAGTGCCCAAACCTGCCCATTCCCCCTTCATAGACAGACAGATCTCAATAAATCCTCTTCTCTGTAAGGATTTTCTCTTTGGGAGATTTTCTGCCCCTTTGTCACGGCCCCTGTTTGCAGGAGGGGCATCTCCACTGGCTCTTTCTAGTCTTGAATGTGGTTGCAGTAACTCGAAGCCTGGGAGATCATAGAAACCAGTCTTCTTGACTGCTTCTCAGGACATTAAGCATTCGGTTTATCACTGGTGGTGTGATTTCACTGTCCAGTCCGGAAGATTATGATCATCAGCCAAAGATTGCCTCCCTACCAGCTTCACAGAGGGTTCCAGAATCCATGAAAACCAGATTGGTTGTGTGCAGCCCGCTCTGTGCTTTTCCTGTATTCTGTTTCTATCTCTCCCCATCTCATTAAATGAAGATAAGAGTGTGAACATTTCCTCTTGGCAACCGCACGCAGTCCCCCTCCAAATGCGGGCTTTGGAAAGAAGACGTACATTTGGAGAGAGGACATAAGACCTTTGAAACTCCTTTCCGATTAGCATGTTTTACAGTCCGCTCTGATTTCTTTAACAGTTCTGGGAACCCATGTGTTTTTTGTTTTTGTTTTTTTCCCCATCCCCTTACAGACTAGACTTCTAGTTCATCCAGATCTAATAGGAAAGGAACACACTCATACGAGAGCAGCCTCATGCTCAGGGGACGCCTTCTCCTCTGCTTAGGGTTTCTCACACTCAGCACTGTTGACATCTGAGCTGGCTCATTCTTTGTCTTGGGGCCCATCCTGTGCATTGTGGGAGGCTGAGCAGTATCCTTGGCCTCCACCCACTAGGTGCCCTAGCACCTCCGAGTCATGACAGCCAGAACATCCTCAGACCTTGTCAGCTGATCCCTGGTCGGGGTGGCGAGGCGAAATCCCTCTCAGCTGAAACCCACTGCTCTGCCCTATTCCTAATCCAAGGGTCATTCTCCTCCCCGTCGGAAGGACTGCCACTCTCCACAACAAGCCCCCTTGGGGTCCAGGCTCACTTCCTGTGACTAGCAATGCCAGGCCTCGTCATTACTGTCTTCTCAGGAAGCTCATTGATCCTCCCGTTTTGTGTTTAGTAATGAAGTTTATTGATCAGGGAGGGCCAATGGCAGTTTATAAATGGCTGAAACTGCAGTCCACAGGTGAGTGGAGGAGAGGGTGCGTGGGGAGGGGACAGTGCCTCTCTGCAGAGAGCATTGGCATCAGAGCAGAAAGACAAGCTGAGGCACAGGCTGTACCTGGGGCCTGGGGTGTGAGTGGCAGCCAGACCCCAGGGGCCACTGAGCTTGGACATCGATGCTATCTGAGGCCCTCTGGGGTTCTTACAAGGACCGTATTTTCCTAGTCTTTTTTCCCCCAGACTCCTCGGAGCAGAGCTGACCTCAAATAGCCCAGGAGGAACATATCCCCGGCTTTCCCCTTGGGGACCCTAGAGGCTCTTCCGAGCCACCAGCGTTAGAGGGGGGCTGTCACTTCGTTTTTCTTTCTGTTCTCAGAGAGGCCAGGAGCTTGAGGCCCGTGATATCAAACACGAGCAGTCAGTCTGAAGGGAGTTTGGACTGGCTGTCTGCGGCCATGACCCTGAGGTTGTAGGGCCTGGATGCTTTTTTCAGAGCTGTTACACCTGGTCTTTAAAGCTGGAATCACATATGGAATTTAGCACAGGTGGAATTCTCACTGTACAGGATAGGAGATGGTCGGGGACTTGCCACGGCCAGGAAGCGAGATCAGTGGCACTGGGGCTGGAAGCTGCATCCCCATCTCCTGGTTCAGGCCCCACCGGGGGGAGAGGGGAGCAAGGTCTGCCTCTGCAGAGGGAGCTTCCACGTGCACCATCCAAAGGCAGCATCCTCCCTGGCAAACATTCTGACCGTGAGCTCATCTTGCACACGCCCTCCTGCTGCCCCTTCTGTCACCAGCACCCCAGGCCACGCCTTCCCATCCCCGGGGCTTGGTGATCAGTCAGACTCTGAATGAGGCACTTGGTCTTTGGAAATCAGGGGCTTTTTACCCTCTTGATTTCAGCTTCAGAAGCTGGACCATTTTTTGTTGCTTTTCAGATCCTCAGTACCAGCCTTTCTCATAGAGTCCTGTGTTTGGCTGGTCCAGACACACGGGCTCAGGCTCCTGACTCAGGGCCTCTCTCCTCCTCCTGCCCAGCAGCCTGTCCCAAGCATGAAGGCCCCTCTGATCCTCCCCAGCCAGCCCTGCACTTGCCCAGATTCAGAGCCTCTGAGGCCTCCAGCCCCACTTAGCCTCTCCGAGGTGACCGTGACATCACGGGCAGCCGTGTCTCCTGCCACATCACAGTGTAGCCAGCCAGAACAAGCCATGGGACTTAGTTGTTTTCTTTTTGTAGAAAGTAAACAGCCTGGAGAAAGGAACGGTGTGGAAGAGGTAGAGACCTGACTGTCAGGAAGGAACACAGGCGCCCCTGTGGCTCCCTGACAGTGACTCTGTTCCTTTCAGTGGGGGTCAACTTGTTCTATTTCTGCATCATCATTTACCTGTACGGGGATTTGGCCATCTACGCTGCCGCCGTGCCCTTCTCCCTCATGCAGGTGACCTGGTGAGTGGCCCCCCCCCACCACCACACTGGCTGTAGTCAAACAGCCTTCCTCGGCCAGTCAAGGTAGTTTTTGGTAGAAGCACAAGGCCCAGCCAACATGTCGGCATCTGAAGCATGGAGAGGCCCGAAGCCCTTTTCTGCGCATCCCACAGCTGGCTGCGCTCTGTCCTTTGGAAGCCCGCTCAACACCGCTGTCCCCCTCCCTGCCCCATTGGGAAGATGCCTGGGATCCCCACCGGGGGCCCCCGAGTCGCTGGGAAGTGGTGTCGCATTAGTAGGTGGCACCTGCCCAGAGACAGGAGGCTGTGATTCCTGGCAAGTGAGGTGGTCGGCCCGGGAGCAGCTGCGGTGGGCATGGAGGCTTGGTGGTGGAACGTTCCATCCTGCTTCCCGCCAAGCGGGGGCCACACTGAACCACTCTTCTCTTCATCAGCAGCGCCACTGGCAACGAGTCCTGTGGTGTGGAGGCCGACAGCAAGCACAACGACACGGACCCGTGCTGGGGGCCCCTGCGCCGCGTGGACGCCTACCGCATCTACTTGGTGAGTGGCCTCGCCTCGGCCCCTCGGCCCCCGCCCAGCCTGGCTGGTCGGGGGCATTTGAACTTTACTCTCTGATCGAGCTCCCTCCCCAGAAAGGAGGGTCTACACAGCTTCCCGCTCTGGCTAGTTACTGGGGCCATGGTTCTGGGCAGAAACCGTGTCCCGTTACTGAGAATCTAGCCTTCGTGTCTGGTCACACATGGCTCGGAGTTGGCATTCGGGACATTGCCAGCTCCTGGCTGTGAACTCTTGTAAATTGAGCTCGGGGTTTGAGGGGCATGGCTCTTAGCACAGCTCTTCAAGAGTGTCAGAACGAATCTCCTGGAGACTTGCCACGTTTTGACCTTACTGCTGGCCAGCCCAAGAGCATATGGGAGGTGCCGGGCTTCCTGACTGGGCAGGCGGGACTGAGCCATCTTATGGTTGGACCTGACCACAAACAGGCTCTCCAGGTAGGGAATGATCAGCCCAGCTCTGTCCCTGTCTCCCCTCCTCCCCACAGGTGGGGGAAGAAGATGAATCTCTAGGCTGTTACCGACTGCTTTGTGCCATGGGCAGGAGGGGCGGGTTGGAGCTGGATACCATGCCAGACGGGTCTTGGGTAATAAGACACGAAACCACAGGCCGTTATTTATCTCTGCCTGCTTTGTGGGTGGGACTCAGAAATGCTTCCCTCGCCCTTTTGCAGCATCTATTAATATTCTCTGCCTCTTCTTGGTCCTCCTTAACCCCGACACAGATTTAGGTGTGCGAGGTGACACACAGTTTGACACGTGGCCACTTGGCTGATTTGGAGTGGGAGGCAGGGTTCGGGAGAGAGCCGAGCCTTTCAGGGAGTTGGCCTCCTGACTTAATTACCCCCATCCTGGCAAAGGCTTCGGCAGGCCCTGCCAGCTGGTATCTGGTTCTGAGTTTGTTAACCCAGGGCCACTGAATGGTGGGTTTGCCTTCCCAGTCCCACCCTGTGGACCTACTGAAGCCAGCCTATGGCCCAAGCCTGGGGAGAGACTGGTTTTCTTCTCCTGCGTTGCCCGAGCGGTCGGATGGTCTGGTTTTTGTCTTGCGAGTTCACCCATGACTAGAAACTTGTCTTTTAGTAGAATCGTATCTCATATCCCCCCACCGCAGGTCTGGTAGGAATTTGGTAGCAAGTTAATTCCCTGGCACAGTTCCCCACTTCCCCTCCCCCCGCCAGGAGGGGGAGGGGGAGATCAGGAGGTCAGCACAGCTGAGGCTGTTAACCTCTCAGCATTTCAACAAACTGTCATTGATAAAATTAGCAAAAGTATCAGTGAGTGTAACGACCCACCTGGACCTCTAACTGGCAGAAGGAGGACGGGAGGAAGGGGTCCAAGAGGCTCAGCACGGACACAGGAGCATGTCCAGGGCAGAGGCACCTGCCAGAGGGACCAGACCTCAGCTGGGTCTTTCCAGGAGAGGCTGTTAGAGTCTGTGCTGAATCTGCCTGGCTCATCCCCTCCCCAGCAAGACAGATACGGAGTGCTAGGAATATTGGCCGCTGCCATTCGCCTGGTAAATTATTGAGAAGCATTATTAGTGCTTTATTAAATTGTTCTTTCACTTATTCCTGTAAACATTCCACATGATGGGAGCCTCCCTCCCTGAATCTCAATAACTCCCTGACGGAACAGAAGGAGCCGTTCAGGAAAGCCTTCACCTTGCATATACTGTGCTTATAACTCCTAGGGCTGATTGCCACCCGGCCTGTGAAAGCTACAGAGATGGGAAGGGTGAGCAGAAGCAGAGCCTTGTTCTCGCTGGGTGGTTGTCCCCCTCCCCCACCTCCCGGGCCCCTGGTGGGGGCTTGGCACAGCAAGTATTCTGTTGAGATGTGCTCTTCTGCCTGGTTTGGAGAAATTCAAGGCAGACGGAACTCCACACTGTCTCAGGAGTTACTTTACAACTCTGCGTGTGGCTCCCAGGGTGTGTGGCTCCTGAAGAATCATGCCTTCTGACCCTCCACGCTGGGCGCTGGGCGTCCGCCCTCAGGCCTCCCCTGTCAGGGAGCTGGGACGGATTGGCAAACTCGGAGGTTTCCTTCCTTGGTCCTGAGCGGTCTGTTGCAGGTGAGGACATCTTCCCGTCCCCAATCTGACCCACAGGGCTCAACCGTATGTCTTCATTCCCTCAGGTGGCCTCTTCAGATCATTAAGGAGGAGGGTTATACTCCCCCCCCCACCCCTCAGTCATTCATGTTCAGAAGATTGTTCATCCCTTCTAGAGACTCCCACTGCACCTCTTTCTACCTGCGGTTTCTGATTTTGCTGGCAGCGAGACTTCACCAAAAGGTGAGGCAAAGCGGCAGGCAGCTTTAAAGCACCCCCAGCCCGTGCACAACCATCTCCTTGTCTCAGGTAGATGATGCACCTTCCCAGCCGGCGTGTTTCGAAGGGCCTTGTAATAACCATCTCTTCATTGCTATTTTGGGACAGTCCATTCTGGGGAATAAAAGTACAGGCTTTCATTTTGTGGTTTAATTTCCAGAAAGTCCTCTGGAAACAATCTTTTCTGTGTCTTCCCAGGAACGCTATTGAAATGCACACACAGAATGAGGATATTTGGGGTATTAACTATATACCCAGAGGCCAGCCTGTGCATAGCATCATGATAAGAAGGGAGCTTTCTCCCAGCGGCTCCCGGTCACCTGCCAAAGCCCTTGACCTTAACAGATGGAAAATTCCTCCTCCCCTCCACCCTGCGACCTCCGTCCACATCCTGTGATTGCCAGTGCAGCTGATATGAGTCAGTCTCTCCCTCTCCTTCCTTGGAGTAGCCACAGAGCGGGGCACTGGGAGGCAGGGGTCCCGTGAGTCACACGTGCTTTCCAGGGCCGTCCCCACAAGCCACTGCAGCTGGAGCCTTCAGTGACCTGGGCCCTGGCAAGAGCCCATGAGAATCAACATCAGGACCTGCTATCAGCTGGCCTTGGATTCTCAGAACCCCACCACCCGCCTCTCCTGCTCCTTTGAAGGATCAGTGGGAAAGTGTTGGGTGCCCCTACTCTTTCAAACCAGTAACCTCGCCTCCAGGCTGGGGAATATCTTGGGATTCTTTCTGCAGAGCTTCTCTGGCTTTGCTAGAAAACAGAGTCAGAATTGAGCACATCACTCTCTCCTATGCCGTGAGAAGGAGCCACGGACCAGGGGTGAAGTGGTACTAGGGTTGTACGGAAATCATTTCCGTCCAGGAATCCAACCGTCCCCAGTGTCTGGGAAGCAGGTTGTGTGCCGCCATCCCCCGGAGTCCAGGGCACTGCCAAGTACTCGTTCACTTCCTCATCCCAGCAGCGCTTCCCAGCCCGTCCCTCACACCCCCTGCCCCAGGGCCTGGCCCTGTAACTGCTGCTGTCCCTTAGAGTGTCAGGGGGAAGCCCTGGGGCCGCAGTGGGACTCCCTGAGGGCCAAGAGCTCCTCCCGGTTCACAGGAGCGGCCTTGGCCTCTTACAGGTGGACAGATGCCGCTAGGTCACTGGCAGCCCAGCAGGCGCCGGCCCAGCAGAGCCGGGAGCGCAGATGGCAGAGCGGGCTCATCCTGCCTGGAGACTCGGCCACAAACTGATGGTATGGAGCGGGGGCCCCTCGTGGGCTGCCTTGGGGCAGGACAAGGTCACCCTGGCTTGCCATCCTGCCTTGACACAGGAGCTGTGAGATCCCCCTCCAGGGCCTGGGTGGCCCGGGGGAGAGATGGAGGCCTGCACGTGCCTGGCAGATGACCTGTCACCTTCTGCTGGGCGCCCCCTTTAAGAAGCAGGGTGTGTGTTGGGGGCTGCGTGGGAGTTTCGGGAGTTCTGTCTGCTGGGCTCTTCCTACACGTGTAGGGCAGTCCGATTCGGGCTCACGTTAACATCGGAAGGGTCTTCTAGGCTTTCACCGAGAGTCCGGTTTCTCTCTCTGCCAGGAAGTCCGTTTTCTGATTCCGTCTTGGCTCAGGCTTACGCAGCAATAATTGTATCTGTCGTTTGCAACATTTAAAACAGCATGCAGTCCCTTTTTTAAAACCCCGGGGTCTCTTCCTAAAACGGGTAAACGTCCTTTTTGTAAGGAGGTGGAGAGGGGAGTGACGCACCTCCGTGGCTGTGCCAGGCCTTGACCGGCCCTTCCCGTGGCGGCTTTGCGTGGGTGTGACGCATTACCGCTTCCTTTCTCCTTTCCCATCGGGTCCTCCCAGCCGCACAGTAAGGCCTGTGACATCATGCCACTTTACGGCAGAGAAAACTGAGGCTTGAGGACTGTGACTTCCCCTGGGCCTGGCTTCCATGGGGGGTTACCATCCCGTCCTCCGGCCCCGGTAACAGACTTGCTAGGCTTGCGGGCAGTCCTGCTGGCGAGGCCAGAAAGAAGGGGTGGGTCGCGCCTGGTCATCAGCCCTTGGAGCTTGATGTTTGCAGAGGGGTGGGGCGACGCTGCTCAACGATGGTGTCCTTTCAGTGATCCGTGTCCACACACCCTGTCTGTCTGCTTGATTGATTTGCTGTCTTTCTTGCTGCCCCTCGCTCCTAGTAGTGGAGCAGACTTCTCACATTCGCTCAAGGAGCGCTGGAGTTGGACGTGTCTTCCCAAGGACGTTTCCTGTCCCTCCCACAGTCCCTTTCTGTGTTCTTTCAGCATCAGCCACTGTGCCCTGGGGCTGTGGCATCTGCTAATAAGTGGGTCACCGCTGCCATCACTTGAATATTTATTCTTACCAATTCTGGGGCAGGAGGTGGCCTAGAGGCCTTCAGGACCAGCGAGGAGGGAAACAGTGTGGCACAACGAGTTTCAGCAGCCGCAGTGACTTGACAGGATGTGGGGACTCTCGGGAACACCGCCAGCTGCCCCAGAGCACAATTCCAGTAGGACACGCATGGACGCTGCCCCTGGATTTGCCACCGTCAGGAACCTGGAGTGGAAGGCAGCAGCAGTTAACTAAGAAGGGTGGCCCCAGAGGGCAAATGAGCTGTCTCTAGGGAGGGCTTGTGGGCTGGCTCCATCTGGAAGCAGAGAGCAGAGCCCTAAGCTCACAAATGGCCTGATGGCAGTTTCCCTGCTCTGGGCCACCGTGCCCTCCTGTCTGACGCACATGGGTCGGGACTCAGTAATGGACCGAGAGATTCCTGGCTGCGTGGGCTTACTCCTGGGGTCTGGAACATCGGAGTGTACCTTTTGTAGGATGGTGACCTACCAGGGAAGCCCATCTTTTTTTTCCCCTTCCTCCCCACAATATGCTTCTGGTCACAAGTTACCCTTCTCGCATTCTGGATGCTCAGAAAGGTCCGTTTTGCTTGGCTCTCTCTCCCCCACCCCCCTCGTGAGAAGATGCCAGTCATACTGGGCAGTCACTGCAGGTGCAGAGGGCGGGGTAGCCCTCGGGACCCGTGCCTGGTCGACACCGGGAACTTGGCGTGGGGGTGGTCTGCAATGTCTTCAGCCGGTTGCACGGTGTCCTTATGAGCCTCTCCCCCACGTGCTGAGCCTCCACCTTCAACCCATGATCCTGGGTCTCGATGACAAATGACTTTCTGCCCGATGCCCCAAAAATGCGTGGGCCCACTACCCAAACAAGAGCTGGGTCTCTAACGTTGAGGGATTGCTGACTTCAAACAAGCACCGGTGCTCACATTGAAGTGACTGACTTGAAAGGATTAGCTTGTCTCTCTTTTTCAAGGAAATCAATAATACAGGGACAGGCCTGTGTTTCTCTCTCTCTCTCTCTCTCTCTCTCTCTCTTTTTCTCTAGGGAGCTGTCTATATATTTCATCCCGGGAATGGCCTCTTGGTTTTTGGTGTGCTTTCCATCCCCCCAGCCCAGTCGTTTCTAAATGAAATTCACATTGCTCTGTCACTCACTCCAGCACTGTGGTTTGTCTCCAACTCCTGCCAAGGGACCCTATGAGCTCCCAGCCCCCCGCCCATCACCCACGGCTGCCACTGCTCCCGCCGCCTGGGCACAGCCTCCTGCACATCCCCAGTGCCTGCCCAGCTGCTGCCCAGCATTGCTCTGGACCAGCCCTCACCTTTCGGTGCAGACCTGGGTAGCACCTCCCTGGGCCATGGCGACTGCCCCCTACCCCACCCCCAGCACCTTTGGGTGTTGGGGCTGAGCTTCCTCCTCCAGCTCCGTGAGAGACTATTGTTTTTATTTTTACTGTGCCTCTCAGGGACATGGGTTCTGTCGGCTGGCGTTAAGCCCGCCATCCATCACCCCCACATCCTGCCTCTTCCATGGCCGACACCCGATACACCAGCATAGAGAGTGACACTTAATCCCCAGTGCTCCCAGTAAAGATACCAGGTGATGGGAATTTGGACTAGTTTCTCCTGGACAGCCCCCACCGTCCCTCCCCCAAGTCTCAGAAGCTGCCCGTTGCCATTGGTCAGGGTCCTGCGTTCTCTACTCTGACCTGGTGGGTGGAAGGCACTTACATCCTAGCTCCTGAGCCCAGACCCCCTCGTCACAATGGCAGTTTGAGCATCTCTCTGCCCTGTTAGAATGTCCCAGGTCCCTGCCCCCATATCCATTGTCTGACAAGTCACGAGTACGAGTACGTGCTTATAAACACCACTTGCCCAGGGCAAGCTGTTTTGACTCCTGGGCGCATGAGCAGATCTCAGATAAATCGGCCTGGATTCTCATCCTTCCGCCCTACCCCCTTCCTCAGTTCAGCCAGGGAGGTGCCCTGGGATGGGGGAAATCATCTTGTGTGCCATCACCTGGCCACCCCCACCCCAGCATGCTCAGCTCTTAAGAAACCCTACTGTATGAAAGTCCAAATGCATAAAACAAACTAGGGGTAATTATTTGTTACAAAGTTTGTTAGTTTGCAGGACTGGCTGCAGGTTTCTTTTAAGTACTTAGTTTTTCTAATGGGTGTAAAATGTTATTCTATGAAAACTGAGTATTTATAAATAGAGCTTTTAGAAGCCTCTCTCTCGTAAAGGTAGTATCCAGGTGTTCACGTGCAAAGGTGCAGCAATCCAAAGCCTGATTCGTGTGGAAGCAGGCAGACATAACGTGGGGTTGGGGTGGACTTGGGCAGCCCACCTACGAGAGAGCCAGGGATGCACACGTGCAGCCTGGGAAGCTTCGCGGGGCTTGTTAAGTATATACCCACGGCCCACGCTCCTGCGCAGGCCCATTTGGTTGGGAAACTTCCAAATAGGTCTCCGTGGGGAGTGCTCATCCCTGCTGGGGACCTTCTGCACTGTGCTTTTTCAGGACCGTTTTATCCACACTCCACGCTGATCCCAGGCAGCCCAAGCTGGAGGCTTGAGTGCGCCTTCTCCATGAGTGGTACAAGTGGGGATCAATG